TTTGGTAATATTTTGTTAAGGAATGTGACAGCGCAGTCATGACAGATACGTATGTGCCGTGTTCTTTATGCTGCATTTGTTTGGATGTTGGGAAAATGTTGGTCCGAAGGGATGAGATGGAAGATTTTTCCCCTTCGTCTCCTTTTTGGAAGGGTTTGCAAATCACGGGTTTTAACTATCCTTCCCACAGGAGTTCTGTGTTAATAGGCCAGGTGATGCATATAGTATCAAGTTCGATATAAACTCTAGTAGTTGGCCGTGATGTAGTATTTTATTTATAGCTATGTCTCCCCCCCCCCTTTTTTTTTTTATGAAGTTCTTATTTGTTTATTTGAAATTCAGAGTTACATGCAGAGAGAGAGAGAAAGAGAAAGTAAGTCTTTCATCTGCAGGTCCTCTCCAAATTGGCGCAATGATGGGAGCTGAGCAGATCCGGAGCCAGTATTCGAGCCGGGGCCCGGTGGCAGGATTCTCAGAATGGGGCACCAGATAAAGTCCCTGCTTCTGTTTCAGCCTGGCCCAGCCCTGGCCTTTGTAGCCACCGGGGAGGGGGACGAACACCACCAGATGGCAATCAACTGAGAGAGAGCAAGAGTGCTTGCGATGCCCCATGCACTGGCTTCTCTCCCCAGGCGGCTTCAAAGGCCAGCGCTGGGCCAGGCAGAAGACCAGGCGGCAAGGACTCCTTTCAGGACTCCCAGGAGGGAAGGAGGCAGGATCCAAGTACCTGGGCCATCAGCGGCTGCCTCCCTGGTTCCCAACCTGGAGTAGCGGGACTGGATCGGCCTCTTGGGCGCCCCACACTGGACGTAGCAGCATGCAGATGTGTCCCCATGGGCCATGGCAGCTGCCTGTGGGATGTGAATTTGCGCCCTGCGCTGTGACAGAATTGTACCCGTAGGTACATCTCCTGCTCAGCCATCCTCAGAGGAGTCTGCTCCTCATCTGTTCCTGCCCAAAAGCCTGTCAAGTCTTGAGGAGCCGTCCTCGATGCTGCTTGGCGGAGCCTGAGTGAGACCCAGGTGCCTCCGGGTCAGGCCTGAATCAGAGACACTGCAGCCCGGGACAGCCGCATCAGTTACCTTGCCCTTCTGGAAATGTGTAGGCGCGGGCCTCTTCTTGGGCAGTCTGGAAGTCTACCCCTCGGGACTCGGCTCCTGTTCCAGAGGAGCAGAAACGCTCTTTGGTGAGTTGGGCGCGATGGCCTTGCTGTCGTCACGGGGTAGGTGGGGCCTGGGGTGCAGATAGCAGGCAAGGGGTGTGCATGTGAGGGGTGGAGGGGAGAGGAGGAGGAGAGAGGCGGCCAAGGGAGATTCGGGAGGAGAGAAGAAGGGGGGAGAAGGAAAGGTGGCGTGAAGGTTGGGTGGCGTGGAAGGAAGGGGAAGGAAGGCGTGTGGGGCAGCGTCGAGGGAGGGCGAGTGTGACAGGAGTGCCGGTGGGCTGGTGGAGGCGGGGGTTGGGAGAGGAAGAACTTTTCCCACGGCCCGGGTTCCGTTTTGGGGGTTTCCTGGCCCTGGCGGAATCAGTCTTGGCCGCGTCCGTGAGAAGCGGCCTTGACTCCCCGGCCTCTCTTCTCTGGGTGGTTCTGAACCGTAATGTGTGTGCGGGAACACTGGCCTGGGGCACTCGAATCAACTCGAGGTGATCGTACTGCGGTGGCTTGAACCGACGTCTCTATGAGACTACCTGCCAAAGCAGTGTCTCCATCCTCAGCCTCTACCATGGGATCTACCTCTCCGTTTGCATTGCCTCTTAGACACACACTTGAGTGTCCTGCAGGTACCGCAGACTTCCTGTTCCATTCAAACCTGCTCCACACATTGCACTGATCTCTGTATTGGCGGCTCCATCTGACTTGCCTTCCAAGTTGGGAAGCTTGGCAGCACCCTCTTTACCAGCATCTGTCTCCTAGTAGTCACCGAATCTATGTCAGTGGTGGCTCAGGTCCTACACAAGCCCTCAGGCCGAGGCTGCCTGCTGCCAAGTCTCATTGCTCTCCGGATTCTTTCTTCCAGGCTTTTCTGCTTCAGGCCTGCATACCACCTGCATTTCCCTAGAAAGCACAGGGGACTGTCTGATCTTTTCTCATCTCCTCTTGCATACTTTCAAAAGCCCTAATCCCTTAGGGGGGCATTCCAAGGCCTTGTTCTCAGGTCTGTTCACAGCTTCCTTTTCCAAGCTGCACAGCCCCTGCTTCTGTCATGCCAGACTTGCCACTGCTCTGCAGATAGGCAGCCACTACTTGATGTTCCTCAGTGTTTTCAGCTTGAGAAAGTCGTAGCCATGTTTCAAAATATCCAACTCAAGGGTCTTCCTTCTCTGTGATACTTTTCTCTCATCCTCCCAGGCAGGGATACGTTTCCAGAACTTGCATAACACACTGCTTATCTTCGTAAAGCGCTTAACCCATTTTATCAGCATGTATTTGCTAAATACCTGTATCTCATAGAAGACTGTGAGCTTGTCCAGGGCAGGCCTTTTCTCTCTGCTTTCATTCCTGTAGTCCCTGGTACACAGTTGGTATTCAGCCTATGCAGAACTAACAATACACTCATTGGTGGGTCTTGGGACAGGAACTGATGGTTTATGAAGGGTCTGGTCTCAAGAACAAGGGCACGAGGGCCAAGGAAGGAGACAGCAACAGAATCAGCATTCTTGAAGCACTTTCACTTGTCAGGGTTCTTAGTGTATCATCGTCTCATTTCTAAATAGCAGCACAAGGAGGGAAAGCAAGAGTTTTATTTAATTATACCACATTGTACTGTTTAATCCTCTTCAAAGCTCTGTGAGGAAGGCACTGCTGATCCCCTTTGAAATAGGAGGCTAAAGGAGGTGGGCACCTGTCCTAGGCCATATATCAAAACAGTAAAGCCCCAGTTTAAAACCTGCTCTGCTGTGTCCCTCCTGGGGTTGGAACCCCAGGTTCCAGTAGTTCTAGAGGTGGCGTATCAGAGAGGTGTAGCTCATAAAAACCAGTGGTACTTTTCTTTTGGGCTTGTCTTTGTATGGAGCAGAACCACAGGGACTTGTCCTATGTTACTAAGGACCCTCTTAATAACTCTGTGGCCTCATGCTGTGATTTGTTAATATAGGTCCTGTGTCCTGGTTCCCACCAGTGGTCATCTTTCTTTGAGCTATCGGAGGAGTCTGAGGTGGACATCTTGCCACCCGGGGACTGGAACTGACTTTGAGAGGGACCCTTAGGTATGAAAGGAGATTTGCTGGTAGGGTTAAGACCAGAGGGTTTGAGGGGTCCACAAGGTCCCTGGCGATTAGTCTTTGTTTCTTATTTCTTTACTTTTGAGAGGGACCCTTAGGTATGAAAGGAGATTTGCTGGTAGGGTTAAGACCAGAGGGTTTGAGGGGTCCACAAGGTCCCTGGCGATTAGTCTTTGTTTCTTATTTCTTTATTTCAAAGGAAGAGAGAAATATTTCATCCCTTAGTTTCCTTCCCTAGTGCCCACAACAGCTGGAACTGTATCTGAAGCCAGGGCCTGGGAACTCAATCCAAGTCTCCTATGTGAGTGGCAGGGATGGAAGTACTTGAGCCTTCACCTGCTGCCTCCCAGGGTGGATTAGCAGGAAGCTGGAATCAGGACTTCAGCCAGGACTTGATCCTGGGCACTCTAACATGGGCTGTGGGGATTCCAGCAGTGGCTTAGCCACTATACCAGAAGCCATTCCTTGATTAGTCTTCCGTTCCCTCCTTCACAGGGTGGCTGGCTGCTTGGGAGGGGTTTGCATCACCACTGCTAACAGGGCCTGCTGCATAATTTTGTGAGCGCCTTGTTCCTAAGGCAGGGATAAAGTGCCACTAAAGGTACTAAGTCATAAAGCTCTTTCCTTTCTCCCGCATACCTCCTTGGCTCAGCCTCATGTTCTTTGGACTCGCTTACAAACCGAGGATTTTGAGTCACCACCAGCAGAGGTTTACACCCAGTGAAGGCCCTTCTGAGTACCAGCGCTGTGTGATGGCTCCTTTGTGACCATGTAGGCTGCGCCCGTGAGGTTGGCCTTGGCTGCTGAGTATAATCCATTGGCTGTGACTGTATAAGATTACATTGTATTCCAACATAAGCGGTTGCTATTTTGTATGATAATTCTGATATTTCACCATTAAAGCAATGCTGCAGGGAGCAACGTGGATTATCCATACCAGAGCATTCCTGGAACTGTTTTGATGACTTGTGTTAGTTCAGAATCACTAGGTCTTTGCTAGCATTCTGCAGTAGGCAATGGCATTGCAGGCCAGCTCTCTCCCTAGCACAAGGCTGACCGCGTTGAAATTTACACAGGTGTTGAACAGATCTCCGCACCTGCAGTGTGGAAAAGACTAGAGCAGTGCCCTCTTGTGCCTGACTGCCCTTCTTTCTGCCTCTTTGCTTTGTACATTATTAAATGTGCTCTCAAACCACTAGGACTCACAGCTGAAAATAAAGTAGGTTGGTGGACAGTCACAGACAGCACTGTCCACTCACCAGGCCCGGGTTGTTTCTCCTTAAGCACTGTACCAGATGCCCTACTCCACCCATTAATAACTCTTGTCCTTTCCGAGTTGTTAGCTGTGTCATAAAATTTCTAGATTTCTGAGGGGTTTTGTAAATCTTAAAGTAGAAGATAAGAACTTTTGCTGCCAGTGTTTTGGCTTAGCTGGTAAAGCCGCCCCCCATGATACCAACATCCCATATGGACGCTGATTCAGATTCCCAGATCCACTTCCAATCCAGCTCTCTGCTAATGCACTTGGGAGGGCAGCACAAGATAGCCCCAGTGCTTGGGCTCCTGCACCCACGTGGGAAAGCCAGAAGAGGCTCCTGGCCATTGTGGCCATCTGGGGAGTGAACTAGTGTATGGAAGACCTCTCTCTTTCTCTTTTCTCTTTCTCTTTCTCTTTCTCTCCCTCTCTTTCTGTAACTGTGCCTTTAAAATAAATAAAATGTTTTTTTTTTTTTAAAAAGAACCTTTAACCATTCAAAGAAAGCCTCAAGTAGAAAGAAGAAGAATCTTGCAGACCCACAGTACTCACTGACCTAAAATCTTGCCTGAAATTCTTGTTGAAGTTTGCTGATATTTATAATTTCTGATGATTATAATTTCTGATGATCATCAGAAATGACACATACTGACTTGTGTGAAGTGAGCTAGTAGATATTCTTGGCCTGTGTAAAAGTCACGTCTGCTAGTTTTACAAGATGTAACTGCTACGCTCCTGAGCTACTCGAGAGCTGTTGGGTAGAGATGTTATTACTGGCAGAGTCGTCACACTGCACAGCCCCCATGGGCATCGTTACGCCCTGTGACTGGCATTTCCAGGGCTAGTGCTGTGCACACTGGGGAGGCCTTACCCACAGGTGGTGTGGTGTCTGCACAATGTCTGCATGATGGTTCTCCCTCATTTGGATGGCTGGTAGGGTTCTGTTAGTACACAGCCCCTCAACTTGTGACTTTTCAAAATTGCTCAAGCACGCGTTTTTGAGTCACCTCGGAGGGGAACAGTTGGGGCCCTGGGGGATTGATTGCCCACTGTTCTAGAGACTAGAACAGACCTACCCTTGCCTCCTGGAACTTTCTCTGAGTTAGAAACCTCTTAGAGTTATTATAAATCCTTGAAATATTTTATTTCATGGTGTATCTTTAAGCAGAGGTATCTTAAATTAGTGCAGCAATCATAGACTTATTTTTATTATATTTTTATTAAGTAGGAGGGAGGAAAGCATTGTTGGTCAGCGCACATGGTGCTTAACGTGGAATCTGGAGGTGGAGATGGTGTTTTCTTACTTCAGAGTTTGTGATTTCCAACTCTTGCCAAGGGTAAACACTAGAATTAGGTCTAGGCTGTGGTTCTAGCTGGTATGCCTCTGTTTCAAATTTCATCTCGCTTCTGCTTGGCATCAAGATTTCCAGCTTTCCAAGGCTGGCCGCAAATTCAAATCAAGTGTCTAAACCAGTAGTTAGAGGAAAAGATCCCGCAGTGGTAATGGTACTGCTAAATGACCTAAATACCCATCCTACATTTTTTTTTCCTGTCAAGAAAAAAAAAATGGACACCTGCCAAGGCTGTGTATGAGATTCTAAGCATGATTTTCATCACACTCTGCCCTGAGCAGTAGGGAGAGGAGAGCCTGCCTTCAAAAATCTGTCTTGAGGTGTTCTGAATTTCAGGACCGCCTTAAGTTGGCTGGTGGATGCCCTCAATCTATGTTTCTTTGTAAAAATTTTCTGGTGTTATGGATGGAAGAAAATCATCACTGCTCCCATAAATTGTTTTTAGAAATTTATTTATTTGAAAGTCAGAGTTACAGAGAGAAGGAGAGGCAGAGAGAGAGAGAGAGAGAGAGAGAGCGAGTTTCCATCTGCTGGTTCCCTCCCCAATTGGCAGCAACGGCCAGAGCTAAGCCAATCTGAAGTCAGGAGCCAGGAGCTTCTTCCTGGTCTCCACGCAGATGCAGGGGCCCAAGGACCTGGGCCATCTTCCACTGCTTTCCCAGGCCACAGCAGAGAGCTGGATCAGAAGTGGAGCAGCCGGGGCTCGAACCAGCGCCCATATGGGATGCTGGCATTGCAGGTGGCAGCTTTACCTGCTACGCCACAGTGCCGGCCCCTGCTCCCATACTTTCAAGCGCTGCAGCCAAAGCATTTTTTTCAGTGCCTTACCCTCCACCTGTGCTTCATTAGAATTAAGCACAGAGTAAAGCATTAGTGACTGTGATCCTGCTGTGTGCCAAGGTTATGGGCGCCTGTCTTAGCCCCAGCAACGGGATCACCATGCACCTTCCACCAGGGAGGGATCCAGCTGCACGATTCAATCCTGAAGACAGACTCTCAGTGACCACTCCTGATCTCAATGCTCTTGGTCAAGGTTCCCAAGAAAGCAGAGACTGAGATTTAAAAAAAAAAAAAGTGCTAATAATTTATTAAGACGTGCAGTTTCAGGAAATCCAAGGTCAAGAAGAATGAGGTGGAGCAAGAGGAAGAGCCAACACAGAGGTGCACCACAGAGGTGTCCACGGCTTAGTATCTACACGGCTAATAATTCATTCCCTTGGGGTCATCTTGCAAGAGGCCATTTAAAGTGGGGTGGGCATTTGACCCAGCAATGAAGACTCCAATTAGGATGACCACATCCCGCAGTAGAGTGCCTGGACTTAAGAATGACCTTCAATTCCTGAGAGCAGGAGTGCTTCGGTATACAATGACGTGATGAGCTCTTCCAGCCAGAAGACACTGTCTCACTGTTGGCACCTCTGCTGGGGCCGCTCCTGCAGTATTTCCTGGTGAAAGGACACATAAAGCGAGGGTACATACGCTGATTCGAGTAAGAGAGTGTGCGTTTCAGAACCTCAGCTGAGGACGCCCCGAAAATCATTGAGCGTGCAGAAACCAACAACTCCCTCATGTTAGTTGGATGCTAATTCAGTGTAAGCTGGCTGACTATGCGCTCAACTGTGAGAGAGAATATGACTTAGTAACGCTTCAAATGCTGCAAATTTGTCTTTGGAGACTCTTCCAAAAGGAAGGTGCGAACATAACTTTCTACCATTTTCTAGATTTCTTGCTTCACATCCTTCTGCAGACACTATTTTTTTTCTCTGTAAATGTGACTTTCATGCATGAGAGGACTTTAAAAAGTTTGTGGGAAATGTTTATTATGAAAAAACCATGCATGGATTTCATTGTTTTTACAAAAAAAAAAAAAAGTCCTTTTAGTTCAATTTTTCACAGGCTTTTTGAAGCAGCTTCAGGTATTTTCAGAAGTGTTTTGTGCCATGCAGTGGTGCCACACCATCTTCTTCTTCTTTTTTTAAGATTTATTTGTTTATTTGAAAGTCAGAGTTACACACAGAGAGAAGGAGAGGCAGAGAGAGAGAGAGAGAGCGGTCTTCCATCTACTGGTTCACTCCCCAGTTGGCCACAATGGCCAGAGCTGTGCCGATCCAGAGCCAGGAGCTTTTTCTGGGTCTCCCACGTGGGTGCAGGGGCCCAAGCACTTGGGCCATCTTCCACTGCTTTCCCAGGCCATAGCAGAGAGCTGGATCAGAAGTGGAGCAGCCGGGGCTTGAACCAGCGCCCATATGGGATGCTGGCACTGCAGGCGGCAGCTTAACTCGCTATGCCACAGTGCCTTCCCCACACCATTTTCTTTTGAATGACTTGCAGCAAACATATTTGGGGGAAGGATTGTGAAAAATATCCTCTTGGGTAAATACGAACTGGGAAGATTTAGAGAGAGAAGTAATAAAGCAGATGTTACTGTTGAATGAGTGAACTATCGTGATATCTTATTTTTAAAAAATGGGTAATGCTTAATAGGTTTGCTTTTATAGATCATGGCTACTGCACCTGCTGTGGCAGGTGAAAAGTCAAGCTCCAGTGACAGTGACAGTGACACTGAAAATGATAGCTCTGAAGCCAGTGAGACCACGGAGAGCGTGTCCTCTTTTGATCAATTTGAAGAAGAAGATGACCTGAGCTCAGAAGGCATCGTAGAAGAGCCAACTTCCAGGCAACTGCAGTTTGAAATCAATGAAGAGACACCTCCAGGAGCTGAAGCTACAGTTGAGAACAGCTGTCAGTTGGGAGAATCAGGTGAGGGATTACCCATGCATGTGAGTTTCTTTCATGCTTCTCCTCTTTGGGAAAAGATTTATTATTTATTTATTTCCAAGGTAGAATGACACAACAGAGAAGAAGAGATACAGAGGGTGGAAGATGGGGAAAAGGAGAGGGGAGAGAGAGAGATTGATCAATCTTTCTTTCGCTAGTTCACTCCCCAAATGGCCTCAATAGGCAAGACTAAGCCAGGAGTCAGGAACTCCCTCTGGGTCTCCCACATGGGTGCAGGGGGCCTAAGCACTTGGACCACCCTCTGCTGCTTTCCCAGGAGCATTGTCAGGGAGCTGGATGGGAAGTGGAGCAGCCGGGACTCGAACTGATGCCTAGATGGCATGCTAGTGCTGCAGGCTGGGACTTTAGCCCACTGCGACACAGCGCCGCACCGTGGCAGAACTTTTGAAGGTAGATGTAGATATTTAGAAATTTATATAACTGTTTATTTAACATCTCTCTCTCTGTGTGTGTGTCTCTCCATATAAAATATTCACATGAATTAACTTTGGAAGTGGCACATTGCTCAAGTTTTGTTTACATTTGTATTTTGCAGATTTCTTAAAGATTTATGTATATCATAAAATTCATTTGTGACTGAGAATTTATGAAAAAGCTAATTTCAAAATTGTACGATTTGGCTGCCCTGGCCCACAATCATTCTGTTTAATGAGTGGGGTAGGCAGGCTGTCATTATGGAGACAGCGATGTGTCTTTCACATTCTTAGGAACGTTCCATTGATGTGTTTGCAGCTTTGCATAAAATACAAATATAGTCAAAGTTATCAGCAGAAGTTGTCTTTTAAAACTGAATATGAGAGGGTGGTGTTGTGTCACAGCAGGTTAAGCTGCTGCCTGCAATGCCAGCATCCCCTGTGAGCACCAGTTCGAGTCCTGGCTGCTCCACTTCCAATCCAGCTCCCTGCAAACGTGCCCGGGAAAGCAATGGAAGATGGCCCAGATGTTTGGGCCCCTGCTATCATGTGGGAGACCTAAGCAGAGTTCTGGGCTCCTGGGTCGATCTCTCCCTCCCTTTCTGTTGCTCTGCCTTACAAATAAATCTTTAAAAAAATGAATATTAAACCTCTGTTATTTATTTTGAAAGGATTAACTGAATGTGGGGAAATTCTAAAGAAACTCTCCAGGTACCTTTGGGCCCACCTGTCAAAATCCGAGTAAGTATAACACAAATAGTTCAAAGTCACACATCACGACATGTTATTTCCCTCTGCATGGCATATTTTTTTTTAAATTTTCTTCCTGCTAAGTTGTTTTGTATAACCTTCCAATGGGGTAAAAAGTTAATGTTATTAAAAATAGAGAAATCTTTCCTTGGGAAATGTTATGGTCTAAGTCATTCGGTAGCCAGGAGTAAGTTATTGAAGAATTTGAAGAGGGGTATAAGCGGAGAAAAGACTCAATTTTCTTTTAATACTGCACAATAATAAAGTAGCTGTTTAACTAACATTGTATACCATTTAAAACATTGCGTGAGTTTCATGAAACTGACTTTGGCACAAGTTGACCAACGGTGAAACATTCTATAATATCAGCAACGATGACTGCACCACGCCAGTGTGTTGTGTTGTTTTCCTGACAACCATTTGTGTGTGCTTGCTAATGTGCTAGGGACTTTGCACACCACAGTGAAGAGAGTAAAAATGTTCCTGCCACTGGTGGTTTATTGAGTCTAATCTTGGCATTTGGTACCTCATTCCAATTTTCTCAATTAATTTACAATAGAATAAGTTTAGAATCAAAATGGAATTTATAATACTACAATACCAATTGTATTCAACTACAAAGTAAAATAAAAACTCAAAACATTCTTTATAACAAGCATATTTTAAGTATAGATTATGGCCTAAGCATATTTTGGTTCTAACCACTCATGTTTATCTCATTAATCCTCACAGCAATTGTTTGAAGGATTAGCTGTTCTGAATTCTTTTTTTTTTTTTTTGCAAGTCAAGAAACTGTAGCACAGGATAGACAAGCAATTTGTCTAAAGTCACGTAGGAGCAGGCTTAGAATCCAGAGCATTTGGTCTTAGCCAAAACATTATGTGTTGAAATTTGCGGAAAGTGAATTCTGAAAGAATACATAGAGTTAACATTTTCCTACTGTGTTTGAGTTTTTAGTTTGAGAGGAGCAGGATGGAAAAGAGAGGGAGAGAGGGAGAGAAGGAGAGAGGGAGGGGGAAGGGGAGAGAGAGAGAGTTAGTTTCCACCTGCTGGTTCAGTCTTCAAATGCCTGGGACTGCCGGGCTGGGCTTGGTCAATGCTGGGAGCTGGGAACTTAGTGTGGGTCTCCCGTGTGGGTGGCAGGGAGCCAGCTACTTGAGCCATCACCACTGCCTCCCAGGGTGTGCTTTAGCAGGAAGCTGGAATTGGTAGCTGAAACCAGGACTCAAATCCAGGCACTCGCATGTAGGTTATAGGCATCCTAACAGGCCAAATGCTTTCCTTTAATTAAAAGGAATTATATCTAGTAACAACCCACGTCCTAGCAGTTCTTGTTTTTATACACCACCAGATGTAGCTGGAATAACTTCTGATACCTGCTAAGGCCTGTGTAGCTCTATGATGACTTTGGAAACCGCTTGGTGCTACCCTATAACTTGCAACTCAGTAATTCCATCTGCCTGAGTTCAGTCAAGTGGGCATTGAGGAAACCTGTGTTTCAGGAAGCTAAGAGAATAGTCCTTGCAGCACAGTTGGCAGTATCAAAAAATGCATAGAAACAAGTCAGATGCCCATGGGAAGGAGGACACAGAATCAGTTATGATGTACACATCACAGTGCAGTAGTTCAAGCATAGCATCCTATAACCACATGCGGGATTTTAATCGTAATTAGTACTTGAGTTAAACAAAGAAATTTCAGAAAAGGCGTGGGATGCCTTTCTGATAAAAATTACAAATTAAGCATAATATACATCATAAGAACTTAAAAAGTGAAGTGAGACTGAGTAAAATTGAATTCAAGGCAGTGGCTGCCTCTGAGGGGAGAGGCTGGGTAATGAGCTTTGGAAACGACTCACTGGGAAGATATAAGTTATGAAAAATCTTGGGCACCGGGTTCTAGTCTCGATTGCCCCTCTTCCAGTCCAGCTCTCTGCTGTAGCCCGGGAGTGCAGTGGAGGATGGCCCAAGTGCTTGGGCCCTGCACCCCATGGGAGACCAGGAAGAAGCACCTGGCTCCTGGCTTCGGATCAGCGCAGCACCGGCCGTAGTGGCCATTTGGGGAGTGAACCAATGGAAGGAGGACCTTTCTCTTTGTCTCTCTCTCTCTCACTAACTCTACCTGTCAAAAAAAATTAAAAAAAAAAAAAGAAAATTTTTTTTGTTGCTGGGTTGAGTGAAGACGTCACAGATGTTGATTGTACATTAGCTTAAAAAGCAAATAACTGAACTGAATAAATAAACAGCATATAACTGAACAAGGATAATGACTGATTTAGTGTTTCACATTTGAAGTACATAACAGTAAGCCTGTCAATCTAAAATGTATGTGGAGATGAATTTTTTGCATAAATTTAAGCATACGCGTACACTGAAGTGAGTTGCAGTTCCACTCTTAGGATGTCAGGCTCCAACCAGGGGCTTATTCTATTATCAAAATCATGGCAATGCCCTGGAAAACTGTTAAAGATAACAGAAATTTGTGCTTAGTTTTTTCTTTAAATTTCTTAGACTGGAAGAAGAGTTGCCCACCCAATCAAACTGTACGTTTTCTCTGAGGCGGCTGCTGCTCTGTCCACAGTCTCCGCCTGTTCTGTATTTTATTCAGGAGGGTCAGCTTGCTGAAAGACTTCGTTGAATCTGAATTTTTTTTGATTGATGGAGATTCCTTACTCCTCACTTGTGCTCTCCATGTGAACCTCAAGATGGGGCAAACCCTCCACTTCTTCTACATTATGGAGCGGTTTCTGCACGACTTCATTCAAAAGGAAGCCAGATTTGTAATCGTCTTTTTTAAGGTAACAGATATTTCGTTCTCCGTTCTCATCTTGGAAAACAGAGTCAATCATTTCGAAACGTGGCCCATCATTACTTAACTATTAGCTATATTGCTTCTTCAGTCTGTAACTAGAGGCTCTGCTGAAAGGGCTAATAGTAAATGTTGTACAGAGGAGAATGGCCACCGAGTGTGTTCTTATCTACTTACACTTGTAGAGGCTGTGTAGAACATGTTTAATCATCTTAGCTCTTTCTATCATGTTAGCACAGTAACTCCCATAAGCTTCACAAAAATAACTAGACACTCATTTTTTATCTCTAATACTAACACTTGTTTCCTTTTTTTTTACAGGATGCAGAAAATATATATTTTAACTGCCCTCATTTTCTGGCCCTTCGTACTGCCCTGATTCAACATTTAGAATACAATACTGATGTCACTGTTCATACTGAGTTTTCCAATTGTTTGTCTCCAGAATGGAACACATTTCTTGAGGAATGCTACCCGCATTTCTTGGTCATCTCAGATGAAGGAATAACCGCTCGACAAACAGATTTTTTAAACATTTTTATCATTCATGCTCTTCAGAAGAAAATCAATATAGTACAGCCCTTGGGGCTAGAGTCGGATGTCCTTAGAATTTATGGATACCATACCTCAAGTCGCTTTGAGCACAGACAATTCTTTGAAATGGTAAGTCAGGTTGAACTGCCTAAGAAGAAGTGAGCCGTGTAAATGTGGAAGAAACAACCCTGATAATGTGAGTCCTTGTTCAAGAGGTTGGGCCTAGGAAGGCTCTGAAGGAATCTTTTAACGTGGAAAGCAGGAAGGTTTTGCTCTGGCTTTACAAGTCAGGTTAGTAGAAGTGAGTTCTGAGTTTTGGCAAAGAGAGAAATTCTTGTTGGGGATGAAGCCTTTGGGTGATTCGGTGAGATGAGGAAGAAGGGTGTGGGCCAAGTTCAAGGGCAAGAGGCAATGGAGGCCAGCGCCACAGCTCACTAGGCTAATCCTCCGCCTGTGGCGCCGGCACCCCAGGTTCTAGTCCGGTCAGGGCCCCGCATTCTGTCCCGATTGCCCCTCTTCTGGGCCAGCTCTCTGCTGTGGCCTGGAGTGCAGTGGAGGATGGCTCAAGTGCTTGGGCCCTGCACCGGCACGGGAGACCAGGAGAAGCACCTGGCTCCTGGCTTTGGATCAGTGCGGTGCGCCGGCCGCAGTGGCCATTGTGGGGTGAACCAATGGAAAAGGAAGACCTTTCTCTCTGTCTCTCTCTCTCTCACTGACAGTGGACAGTGAGAGAGAGAGAGAAAAAAAAAAAGAAAGAGGAAATGGAGGGGAGGAACCCAGAGAAACCAGACATGAGAGCACCAAGGTGGGAAATTCTGTTTCTTCTGCATAAATTATACAAATATGTGTGCACGTGACAGCTCATAGGGACACACACTCAGACGTGTACTTGTTTGAATATGTATTACCTAGGAGAGTTCTTCAAAATGTTCGTGGAAAATGGAATTAAAGATGCTAAGTTTGGTGCAAAAAATCGAACATGCATAGTTTTTTTAATAATTTTTTTGTTTTTGTAATATGGACAAATTTTATCTGTACAGTTTTAGAGTACAGTGATACTTCCCACCCTCCCCTCCCTCGTGCCCATGCTCCCACACCCCCCCTTCCTTTGTTATTTTTTTTCTTTTAAAGATTTTTATTTATTTATTTGACAGAGTCACAAAGAGCAGACAGAGAGGGAGAAACAGAGGGAAAGATCTTCCATCCACCAGTTCTCTCTCCAATTGGCTGCAGCGGCTGGAGCTGAGCTGATCTGAAGCTAGAATGCAATCCAGATCTCCCACATGGGAGGCGGGAGCCCAGTTCCCTGAGCTGTCACTGGTTTCCCAGGGTGTGCATTAGCAGGAAGCTGGAGTTAGGAACTGGAGCTGGGAATCAGATCCAAGCATTCCCGTGTGGGATGTGGGTGTCAGTCTCAAGGCTCAGTGCTCATACCATTTGGTACTTTTTAAATAGTTGCTTTTATGGAACTAGGTAGAAGTGTTTTTTGTTGTTGTTGTTAGATTGCAATGTCCTCAGCATTAGTTCAAGAAGACATAATGGAAGTTTATTTGATTTGAATTGATGGCTTTCTTTTTGTTTTCCTGTAGCCAAATAAACATGACTTTCCACCTTGTATTTAGTTTAAGTAGAGGTTTGTGATGTGTACACATACGTGTTTTTTTTTTTTTTTTGTATCTGTGTGTGTAGCATGAGAAACAGCTGCGACATGCCTTACATGCCCATGTGGTTTTCCAAAAGTCACAGGAAGCAAGAATATCTGTGTGTGGTCATTTGAAATTAAATGTGGAAGACCTGCAGAAAGAGGTAATGACTATGCTCCTAAAACTAAAGTTCAGCATGTAGGAAATATACCTTTGATGGCTATTGCTTCTAGCAAACAGGCCTGTCCTACGCTCACCTTCACGCCCCCTGACTCCCTAGCCTTCCATCTCTGGGAAGTGTTCTCTTGCAAGCCGCATTCCTCTGAGGCAGAAAGGGTCTTGCTAAATTGTTATCAAAACATCCTGAAGTTGGTTAAAAATATTTTCTACAAAATACTTTGTATGCAATGTGTGGTGATACTGGCCAGAGGCCAGTGCTGTGATAACGTTAACGATCCCAAGGCTTACTCTTGTGATGGGTGAGGTGGCTCTTGTGGGTGCTGGCTTCCTGGAAGATGGGAATTGTTCAGATCTTGAAAGGAAAGGGATCTTTGAGGTTAGCAAATGCAAGGAAGCCATTGGCCTTTGGGAACGTCTCCGGAAGTTAACCTAAGCCAGTGGTTACTCTGTACTTCTGATTTCCTGAATCATGCCATCTCATGTGGTTCCACAATCCATAGAACAGTGTTTTTGGAAGACTAGGCATGACGTGGTGATGAGACGGGGTTCACCTGACTGTGGAGTCAGTACACGTATGAGCATCCAGATATTTAGTGTCCCCTATTCTAAGGTGAACTAAAAGTCCCCACCTCATTGGATTCTTCTGTCCATTCTCCCTGCATTCGCTCTCTCACTTAACCATACAGCAATATTTGTGACACGGATGCATCGTTCCACATGTCGTGCTAGGTGCTGGACTTACAGTGGTGGACAAGACCAAAAGGGGTCTTGTTTTCATAGGAATTTTAACCTATGTGAGCCAAGTAACCAACTGTAACGTTGCACGGAGAAAGATGCAGGTGATTCCTTGAGCAGCTGTGAGAAGGGGAGGGACTCTTAGAGCTGCAGCGGAGCATTCACTGTGGCTCTAGCTATGGTTTTCATTCGTGTCCTCACTCTCATTCCTGTTTTACATAGGTGGGGTTTTTTAACAGCCTGTGCTCAAGCGTTACCCTGTCCTTCTCTCCTTCCCAAACTTGTAGCCCTTCCTGGGGCTCAGTGGCCCTCCCCTGCTCCTTAGGCCCCCAGGAGCACACAGAGTAGAAATAGGGCTGCCGATTTCATCCTCTGAGTTCCTCTGATTTCAAAGGGCAGCCTATGTGTGCTGATGCTCTCCTGCTCGGAACTCCCTGGGGGTGCTCTTTTCAGTCTTAGTGTAAAGCCCCTGTGAGACCCGACATAGCATGTAGACACTGAACTGACGTCTTTAAGTGAAAGAATTGAGACCAGGTGACTTGTTCAATGACTGTTTCAAGCTTTTAGGAGGTGTTGCGTCTCCTGGTTCAAATCCTGATGCCTCACCACGGACTCAGATAAACATCTTGTCTCCATCGCCCCCGTCTGCTCCTGTCTGCATCTCTTGCTGAGCGCTGTGATTTATCGCGCCTTTGCAACTTTCCCCAAAATACAAGGGTTCTCGTGATCACGCCTTTGGTAGCAGTCGTTCGTATCAGTTTATGGGAGTAGAGCTGTTGATCGTTAGCAGTGTGTATGCCATGCATCTCAGTGTCTTCACTGGCCCCTGGGAAGTGTCTGGGCTGACAACACTGAAGAATCCACAGGTTAATCACACAGAGACCTGTGGATTTGCCATGGCCTGTAGATCAGCAGGAGAAAGTTGTTCATATTAAAATGTCACTTAGGGCCTTATTAAATACCGGCTCAGCATCATTTTCCAAGTTCCGCAGGCCTATCTTATATGTTTTTCTTTAAGTTTTTGAAAGATAAAATTTCAGTATTTTTCTAGAATTAATTACTATGTCAGCTTTGAATCTTGTTTCTTGGAATCACTGTTTTTTTTGTTTTTTTTTGACAAAGTGTTCTATTTCAGGTGCATCAAACCCTGTCCTTGCTTCAGGACCTGTGGCCACAAGGAGCTGAAATCCGAGGTGTTGTCTGCTCCGTTTCATGTTCGGTGGCACTAAAGCTCTACAAAAAAATGTTACTAGATTTAGAAGACCGTGAAAACCCAAACACATACACAGAAAACTGTGATACACAGGTGAGACTCCTTCAAAACCAATGAGCCCGTCTCATGCCACTTTTGATGATGTGACAGTGCTTGTGGGTGGTGGCCCTATGCATAAGCTCAAGGTCAAACAGAAAATACGACGTGTGGATCACATGTTTGCTGGCTAAGCATGGAGATATCATTATGATCTCATTCTTATGAAAGCTGGCAAGATTCTTTATAAGATAGTTGAGATGAATCTGTCACCTCTTTCATCTCTGATCACAGGACAAATATCTTTTGTCCCCTGGCTCAGAGCTGGTCATCATTGCTGCTTGCAATCTCCTGGGCCAGTTTCAATGCATACGTGGTGACATTGCACAGAAGTTAGCATTTGTCAAAGCCGATAGGCAGTGGGACCTGACGATGAGCCCACTGTCCACTTTGTGGCTCAGCATCACGTTTTCTGTAATGATAAGGTTGCTCCTATTTGTAACAGTAGTGAGCTAGTAGAGTCTGAATTACTTGTCAATCCTTGCTGTAGTGGGCATGCAGTCACCAACTTTTTACTGTTCTTGGTGGTCTACTACATGGTAAGTAAAAGTCAAGCAGCTACTCGGGGGCAGAGCTGGGATGCAACCCATTTTTTCCTTTTCTGTTCTGCTACGTTGCTTTACCGTATAGATCACAGCCATGCTCAGCCCTGGTTCTACATAGGAACAGGTGTGACAGGAAGCAGCTTTTCTGCAACCCCTGGTACTTCTGCTCTTGAGGACATGAATAACTGGCTGCTGGACATGTCCTTAAACAGAGGCCATCCCCTACCATTTTATCAAATGCAAGGTTTAGATACAGTGAATTTCGGAACTCCATGTATTAGGCAAAGCTTTCACTCCTAGGCAACACAGCTAGTTGTGTTGTTTTTCATCCATCACATGCTTAGTAGAATTTTTCTAGAGATAAAATTACCCCCAAAAGAATTAAATCGTCACATGGGAGAATTTTGGGTAAGGTGCCTTAAAATATTGTTACTGCATGTCTGAATTTTTTCAAGAAAATTTGACTTCTTGTTTGTATTTTTCTCTTTAAAATTTTTTCTTTCTTTGTTTTTATTTATTTGAAAGGGAGAGCAGAGAGAGAACATGAGCAAGTGCAAGCGAGCCCATCTGCCAATTAATTTCTCAAATGCCCACAACAGCAGGACTGGGCCAGGCTGAAGCCAGGGCTCTGATCTCAGTGTGGTTCTCCCAGCTGAATGGCAGTCATCACCTGGGGTCTTAACGTTAGGAGGTTGGGTGTTAGCAGGAAGTTGGTCTTGGAAGCAAAGCTGGGACTCCATCCTAGACACCTGTTACGGGATGTAGGTGTCCAAGCAGACTCAACCCGTGCACCAAAGGCCCACCTTTGTATCTGAATTTTTATGTTGCCTGTGCAAGTGGACATTTTAAAAATTCATGTTTTTCCAGGATTTGAAGGAGGCACCCACACTCAGTGAAGCAGCAGACCTGTGCCGAATGTACTGTCTCAGTGTGATTTTCCTTCAGCATTTACCTCTGATCCAAAGAGCTAAGAGTAGAATCATTACTCATAAATGGGATGCAACACTTTCTCCATTTCTAAGAATGGTAAGTGAACCACCTGGAGATTCATAAGCGCTCAAAATTCAATAAGGCAAAACTTGGACGGTGCAATCCTGTGTCTCTACTGATGCTGTTTTGCTTTCTATAGTCATCTTAAAAGGTTCTTTGTTTCCTGTATCCATCTTCAACATGGCTACCAACAAACAATGCATGTTTCCTTGAAAAACTGAGTCCTAGATAAAAGCACTCCATACAAAAATGTAGTCCTCCCTAGTATAAAACAACCCCCACACTGAAGAGTTCATTGAGAAAACAACTCTAATGAGTATATATAAATAGTGAAGTAATGAATAAAGAACTTACATTCATTGCGTTTCACACTTCGTAGCCAGTTGAAACAGAGACGACAGGAATACAAAAGTCCTTTGTAAGTTCTTAGGAAATTTAGGAAAATTTGAAAACCTTGGTTTTTTGTACTTAGCACAGTTTGATGCTTTTATGTAGTTAGTTGTGATCTCACTTCTTTTTTTTATTTTTATTTTTTATTTTTTATTTTTATTTTTTGACAGGCAGAGTGGACAGTGAGAGAGAGAGACAGAGAGAAAGGTCTTCCTTTGCCGTTGGTTCACCCTCCAATGGCCGCCGTGGCTGGCACGCTGCGGCCGGCGCACCGCGCTGATCCAAAGGCAGGAGCCAGGTGCTTCTCCTGGTCTCCCATGGGGTGCAGGGCCCAAGCACCTGGGCCATCCTCCACTGTACTCCCTGGCCACAGCAGAGAGCTGGCCTGGAAGAGGGGCAACCGGGACAGAATCCGGCACCCCGACCGGGACTAGAACCCGGTGTGCCAGCGCCGCTAGGCAGAGGATTAGCCTAGTGAGCCGCGGCACTGGCCGATCTCACTTCTTTTTTAAGATTTATTTTATTTCTTTGAAAGACAGAATTACAGAGAGACGTAGAGACACAGAGAGAGGTCTTCTATCCACTGGTTCACTCCCCAAATGGCCGCAGAGAGAGAGAGAGAGAGAGAGAGAGAGAGATCTTTCTTCCACAGGCTCACTCCCCAAATGGTTACAATGGTGGGGGCTGGCCCAGACTGAAGCCAGGAGCTTCTTCTGGGTCTCCCATGTGGGTTCAAGGGCCAAAGACTTGGGCCATCTTCTACTGCTTTCCCAGGCCATAACAAAGAGCTGGATCGGAAGAGCAGCAACCGGGACTCGAACAGGTGCCCATATGGGATGCCGGTGCTTCAAGCCAGGGCTTTAACCCACTGCGCCACAGTGTGTCGGCCCTTGAGCCATCTTCCACTGCTTTCCCAGGTGCATCAGCAGGGAACTGGATTGGAGAAAGAGTGTCTGAGACTTCAACCAGCACCCATATGGGATGCCTAGTAAAGGCCCCATAGACCTAACTCTTGAAATGATACCATAAATAGCTTTTAATTGTAAATCTGTAGTAAAGCAGTTAAATGCCCACTACTTTTATATATTTATTAGTTCGAATCAATGAGGAAGTATTTATTGAAATTATGATTGGGATGAGTTCAGAAGAAAAAATTAATGTTAGCACTGAAAAATACCTCAAAGGTTATACACGGTTATTTCAAAAAGTTCATGGAAAGGGGCTGGCACTGTGGTGTAGCAGGTAAAGCTGCCACCTGCAGTGCCAGCATCCCATATGGATGCCGGTTCAAGTCCTGGCTGCTCCACTTCCAATCCAGCTCTCTTCTATGGCCTGGGAAAGCAGTAGAAGATGGCCCAAGTCCTTGGGCCCCTGCACCCACGTGGGAGACCTGAAAGAAGTTCCTGGCTCCTGGATTGGTGCAGCTCCAGCCATTGTGACCATCTGGGGAGTGACCCAGTGGATGGAAGACCTCTCTCTCTCTCTCTCTCTCTCTCTGCTTCTGCCTCTCTGTAACTCTGCCTTTCAAATAAATAAATAAATATTTTAGTATATGTGCTGCTGAAGCGAGCACAATAAATAAATATTTTTTAAAAATTTCATGGAACTACAAGGTATCGTGAATTTCCACAAACTTTTTGAAGACCCCTTGGATATTGCCCTTGTTATTTTGCAATGGGATGGACCGGAAGAAGGTAACTGGCTCTAAGCTCTTGGTCTTCACTGTATGTCCTTTGTCTTTGTACAAGGAGTAGATGATGCTCAGGGAAACTTAATTGACACAGTCACATTTTTGGAAGATTTTATATCATTAACACCTGTTCCTCTCTCTCTTTTGTCCTTTTGTATTTTTTCCAGCTAAAACAATGTGAATTTCTCATCCTAAAACAATTAAAAGTTACAAATAATTGGAGTGTGGATTTCACCGGCCTCCCTGACTTAACTGATAATATTTTATGGAAAAATATTGCTTATTATTATGAAATTGAGTATCACAGAGGTATGTTTTAAATAGCTGTTCATTAAATAGTTTTTTAAATTCATTGTCCATGCCTGAATGAGAATTGTATCTAATAAATAATGACAGAGGGTTAGTCATGCATCAATTAGGTTGAATTACATAAAAAGTTTCTCTGAAGATATGTTTTTTTTTAAAAAGATGTATTTATTTGAAAGTCAGAGTTATAGAGGGAGAGAAAGAGGGAGAGAGAGAAAGAGAACATTTTCTATCCACTGGTTCCCTGGTTCCCTCCCCAGATGCCTGCAATGGCCAGGTCTGGGCCAGGCTGAAGCCCAGAGCAAGGAGCTTCTTCTGGATCTCCCGTGTGGGTGGAAGGGGCCCAAGGACTTGGGTCATCTTATATTGCTTCTCCCAGGCCAGTATCAGGGAGCTGGATTGGCAGTGGAGCAGCTGGGGCTTGAACTGGCGCCCATATGGGATGCTGGCCAACCACCCTGAAGATATTTTCTGTGGGATGCTGGCCAACCACCCTGAAGATATTTTCTGTGGAAAGTCTGTATTTTCTTTCTTTCTTTCTTTCTTTCTTTCTTTCTTTCTTTCTTTCTTTCTTTCTTTCTTTCTTTCTTTCTTTTTTTTTCTTTTTTTTTTTTTTTTTGACAGGCAGAGTGGATAGTGAGAGAGAGAGACAGGTCTTCCTTTGCCATTGGTTCACCCTCCAATGGCTGCCACGGCTGGCGCTGTGGCCGGCACACCGCACTAATCCGAAGGCAGGATCCAGGTGCTTCTCCTGGTCTCCCATGGGGTGCAGAGCCCAAGCACTTGGTCCATCCTCCACTGCCTTCCCTGGCCACAGGCAGAGAGCTGGCCTGGAAGAGGGGCAACCGGGAAAGAATCCGGCGCCCCGACCAGGACTAGAACCCGGTGTGCCGGCGCCACTAGGTGGAGGATTAGCCTAGTGAGCCGCGGGCGCCGGCCTGGAAAGTCTGTATTTTCACAAGGTTCAGTTGAGAGGTCTTTATAAGAGTTTTTTTTTTTTTTTTTTGAATAATTATGGGGTAATTGATTAGTTACTTGGGGAAAAAAAGGAAGATAAATGGAAAGGAACTACGGAGTTGTAATTTATTCTGTGTCTTCCATATGAGGTGCTTCAAAGTGTTCATGGATAATGGAATTAAATGCCACATCTTCTTTCTTATGTGGAAGGAAAAGAAAAAAGAGACTATCTGAACTTAGAATAGTGACCAGTAGTGCTTGGAGGGGATGGAGGGAGGGAATTAGAGGGAGGTTGGCTATAGGGTCTAAAACCCCACTAGACAGAAGTAACTGGTCCTAGTGTTGCACAGCACAGGGAGAGACCGTAGCCCATAATAACGCATTGCACAGTGTGGAGAGGAGCTGGAGGTGGGCATGCTGATTTCCCGATTTGATCAGCTTTCACTGTTGAAATATTGCACCATGCACCATAATGCTGTGCAAGTATTGCATGTTAATTAAAAATGCAAGAAGTAAAGTATAATAAAATAAGTTGATTTTGGTATAAAAATTTCTGGAATCTCCAAAAACTTTGTGGAAAATGAGTATGAAGAACACCTTATGCATAGATTTCAATTCTTTTTTGCACCAGAATCAACTTTTAGTTCCATTTTTCCATGCAGTTTTTGAAGAACCCTCCTACACCAGATATTGTGTATGTGTTGGAAAATGACAATGTAGCTTTGCTGCTGGCTGCTTCAGATAAGATGTTGTTCCCATGGAAACTGAAGTGGCGTACCAGCTTGGAGCATTTTCTGAAGGATGCTCACTCATGTGTGCATGTGAGAGCGAGAGCAAGAGAGAGAGAGAGAGAGAGAGTGTGTGTGTGTCTTCCATATGCTGGATCACTCTCCAAATAGCCACAATGGTTAGGGCTGGGCCCAGCCAAAGTCAGGAGCTTGGAGCTCCACCTGGATCTCCCATGCAGGTGGCAGGGGCCCAAGCACTTGGACCATCATCTGCTCCTTTCTCAGGAGTGTTAGCAGGAGGTTGGATGGGAAGCAGAGCAGCCGGAACTCCTACTAGTGCTCCAATATGGGATGCCAGTATCACAGGTGTCCAGGATGGGATGCCAGTATCACAAGTGGCAGCTTGACCCACTGTGCCACAATGCTGCTCCCTGCTTTTTTTTGTGGCAGAAAAATATAACAATAGCAGTATCAATTTTATTTTTGCTCTAGCAGTCTTCAAATATTGAGTACGTAATGAAAACATCATATTCTGTCCTGCATTAAGCATCTAACATTAGAAGCTAGTAACTATAAACTTGAATAACTCAGACACCTGTAACACATAAATTCAGACTTTGATTATGAATTGGAATCTGTTACCTTCTCCTCCCTAGGACTGGACTTGGAATTGGGTGACGCTCTGATGCACGCATATCACAAGCTGTGGAACACAACGTTAGCCTTGTCAGAGGGTGGTGACTTTGGAGACTCCATGCCCGTGAGGACAACTTCCAGACTGTTCCTTACACAGAAGGAAACATTGCCTAAAGGTGCTGACAGTTTGCTAGAAAAGATTTGCTTGTTATTTGAAAGACAAAATGGCACAGAGAGAGAGGGAGAGGAGAGAGATCTTCCATCTGCTTTTTCACTTTCCAAATGGCTGCAACCACTGGGCTGGTCCAGGCTGAAGCGAGGAGTCAGAAACTCCATCCAGGTCTCCAACTGAGGTGACAGGGACCAAGCACTTGGGACATCTTCTGTTACTTTTCCAAGAGCATTAGCAGGGAGCTGGATCAGAAGTGGAGCAGCTGGAACAGCACTCATGAGATGCTGATGTTGCAAACAGCTTTAACTTGCTGCACCACAGTGCCAGCCCCAATAGTTTTTTAAAAGTGGATCTCATTCCAGATGGAAAGAGATTAGCAGTGCAATCCTTGTTTAGAAAATAGGTCTGGTCTTTATAAGTTTTGCCTTTTGGCTGGGATAGTCATACTGAATAGCTTCTACTCCTCTAGCAACTCCTTTGCCTTGCGATTGTTTTTATTTATTTTTCTAGTTGGTTTCCCAATCAACCTTGCTGGTGGTATTATCAATCTCATTTTAGAGGTAAGATCTTGGGAAGGTTGTTGTAGATCACACAGCAAATTCATGGAAGAGAGAGGATTTGAATCCGTGTCTGTCTGTCTCCGTAGTCAGGTACAGAAAACGTTGTCATAGCTTTACTACTTTTTTTTTACCAAAGGCAACTTTTTCCCTAAAGCTCTATGAAGAAGTAGCTTAAATTTAAATAGGTCTTAAGGTGTTGTGATTGACACATCAGATGAGTCCATTCATGCAGAAAAAGGTTTGGGATTTGAATGAAATATACAAAAGTTCTTTTGAATTTTCGCTAGCCCGAGATGTGGAAATAAATTAATGCACTTTTTGGTACCGATGTTTAAATTTAAAACATTTTTATTAAACAAATTTATTTCTCTTGGTTTGGCCTATGGAAAAATAAGCAGAGATCTTTCTGTGGTCTAGAATAAATATTTGTCTTTTCTAGGTTACATAGTGATTCTTTGACTCTTAAAATAAATTCTACCTAACTCCATTCAGATATGAGGAGCTTTCAAAAAAATTAATGGAAAATGAGTATTAGGGAAAAACTATGTGGGATTTCAAACAACTTTGCACCAAAATGAACTTATCTTTTAGTATCCTCACACTTTAAATAGTTCATGGAAAATGGAATTTTAAAACAAACTTACATTTTGCCAGATTTTGAAATCTACACCTATGAGTATTTACATTTGTGACTTAATATGTGGAGCAGAAATGTGATTTGAACGCCTACTTTGTAGAAATTCTATTCAGTTTCTATTTATTTGGTAATGAGAGATTACTTAGATTACTTAGGCTTAGTTTTGCTATTGCAGAAATGCCTGCATCAGAATGGTGAATTTTAATTAGAGTTTAGTGTTCAAATATCAATTGTATTTCTGAATATTGCCAGGATCAAATCAAGAAATTCCCAAGCTTGGACTAATTCCTCTGAAATCCGAGGTTATAGAAGATTACGCTGGAGATATTTGGTCCGAACTACCTTTTGTAAGCAGGTATTTATCTTGCTTGTAATAGCTCTGTGGCTGTAACCAAATATCTTTTTTTAAACTTTTATTTAATGAATATAAATTTACAAAGTACAGCTTATGGATTACAATGCCAAATATCTTTGAGTATGGTGGACTGCATCTATTGTATGTGGTGAAAATTCACATTGAGAGATACTTTTTTTTCAACTTGATTGATTGGTATGATTTTAAAAACATTTATGTGTTTGCTTTAAATGACTCTACACTGCTTACATATCTTTACCTTTTTCTCCATAATAATGTCATCATAATTAATAGTATAATGAAAGCAGTGGGTTGTTGAGGTGTGGCTGTAGCAAGACCATAAAAATTCAAGGCCTGATGTTGGATACATCATCTATGTGGATCTTAAAGTCAGCAAAAATGATCAGTGAGAACAAGGAGGTGACAAAGAGAATTGTTGGGTGGCTGGGTTCAGGTTCTTATCTGTAATGCAAGAAAGAATTTGATCTTTAGATGTGAGTAAAGGTTGGCAGAGGAATAAGATTGATTATCCATAAAGTGAAAGTACACACTCAACAGGAAGCGCAGGTGTACCTGAGAGTGAGCTGCACCCAGCCAGGTTTGAGTTACCTCTTTTAGATGAAATTGAGAGATGGGAAGGATAGAATATTCTTAGGAGGTGTTATGTGGGGCAGGGTTTTCTAGGGGTAGGGGGAGAGTCGATATTTGGGCACCTCCCATTTACTTGCCTTTTTAGGAAGTCTTGGAAGAGTCTGGTGTCAGGCACGTGGAGGGAGTGAAGTGTCAGCAGTGATGTCATTGTAACTGGTTGTGGGTATGGTCAGCAGTCATAGGTTCCAGGCAGTTCTGTGGTGATTGTGATTTTGGTTACGTTAGCCGCAGCACAAAAAGGGAGGGATTTGGGGAGTAGGTGAGGTCCTGGGGGAGGGGCTGGTGGCGCCTGTGACAAGGTGATTCAGCAGAGAAGGTTGTTGGAGTTTTTTTAAATTAATTTATTTATTTGAAAGGCAGAGTTACAGAGAGGCAGAGGCAGAGGGGAAGAGAGAGAGAGAGAGAGAGAGAGAGAGAGAGAGGTCTTCCATCTGCTGGTTCCCTCCCCAGATGGCTGCAATGGGTGGAATTTCACCAATCTGAAGCCAGAAGCCAGGAGTTTCTTCCAGGTCTCCCACGCGGGTACAGGGACCCAAGCACTTGAGCCATCCTCCACTGCTTTCCCAGGCCACAGCAGAGAGCTGGATCAGAAGTGGAGCTGGGAATGGAACCAGTGCCCTTATGGGATGCCGGTGCTGCAGATGGCAGCTTTACCTGCTATGCCACAGCGCTGGCCAGGATTATTGGATTAACATGAAGTAAGGTTGCTCCACACCTTTATTTGCTAGAATTGTCAGTGTCACATTGGAGGCATAGGTTTCCGTGTTGTAGAAGTGGGGACGGTGTTCTTGAGACAGCAGTTAAGTGTACTAAAGGCTCAAGAGTAAGAGGATAATTGGTTGAAAAATTAGCCAAACTAGGCCGGCGCTGCGGCTCACTAGGCTAATCCTCTGCCTAGCGGCGCCGGCACACCGGGTTCTAGTCCCGGTCGGGGCGCCGGATTCTGTCCCGGTTGCCCCTCTTCCAGTCCAGCTCTCTGCTGTGGCCCGGGAGTGCAGTGGAGGATGGCCCAAGTGCTTGGGCCCTGCACCCCATGGGAGACCAGGAAAAGCACCTGGCTCCTGGCTCCTACCATCGGATCAGTGCAGTGCGCCGGCCGCGGCGGCCATTGGAGGGTGAACCAACGGCAAAAGGAAGACCTTTCTCTCTGTCTCTCTCTCACTGTCCACTCTACCTGTCAAAAAAAAAAAAAAAAAAAATTAGCCAAACTGAAGAGATAACAAAGGAAGCAGAAAAAATTCCAAATGTAAATGTGTATATGGCAGACAGAATAAAGCAAATCCTTGTGAAAGTAGCAAATTACTTTGCAAATGGTATGTTTTAAAATATCTATATTTATAAAAAATCAAAGTCTCTCTGTACATAACACCATGCCATAAGTCAAATCTTGGTGGTCAGAAATCTAAATGTGAAAGACAACAGTCACATTTTCAGAAGACAATACAGGAAAATACCTTTATGGTGCCAGAGTAGAGACGTCATGGCCTTCAAAGACAGTATAAAACTCCAAGTCATTAGGAAAATAAGGATACATTTGACATTATAAAAATCAATAATAACAAAACAGATTTTGGAAGTCATTTAGAAGGTATATAAGCATCACAGGGTTAGCATAAAAGATTTAGGATAAAGATGTCCTAGAACTCATGAGAAAGACAGGAATGAGACAGTAGAGAAAGAGGAATAGGGAGAAATAGGTCATTAATAGAGAAGCTAGTGGGGAATGGCCCGTAAAACTGTAAAAAGATATCTAAAGGTCCTTGTGCATCTAAGAAATGAAAATTAAAGCTACAGCGAGGCCCTATTCAACACTCTTCCTTTTGATAAAATTTATGACTAAGTAAGGCCAAAGGTGTGAGGCAGTGGGCAGGCTGGTGGCAGAAACAGAACCAGTAAAAGCTACACAGGTTCAAGATGTGCTGTGTCCGCAACCTGCAGCTTCCCTGGAGAAACTCTGATTCTCTGAGTGAGGTGAGTTTGCATCAGTGTCACTGCAGGATTGTTTATATAGATGCAAGCCATCTGTAGGACAAGGAAAAGAATATTGTGGAACAGAATATAAACTAAAAAATATTTGTTGAGAGGCGGACACAGACACACAGAGAAAGAAACAGAGACTCACACACACACACACACACACACACAGCTCTCCTCTATTGAGTCACTCCCCAGATGCCTGCAATAACTGGGTTTGGACTGGGCTGCTGCCCATCCAGTGTCTGCATTTACAGGAAGCCAGAGTCAGGAGCTGGAGCCAGGAATCGAATCTGGGTATTTCCAATGTGGGTGTTTTAACCGCTGGGCTAAATGCCTGCCCCAGTAGTGGGATATTCTTACAATGCAGTACTCCACAGTAAAAATAAATAACTGCATATACATACACACACAGCCATGCACGCATCCACACGGGTGAATTTCCAAACCACACTGCTTATGTAGCTAAGTAAGTTAGAGAGTGTTGTGACTCTCATATCATTTATGGGCACGCTACTTGTTTTTTTTTTTTTTTTTTTTTTTTTTTTTTTTTTTGACAGGCAGAGTGGATAGTGAGAGAGAGAGACAGAGAGAAAGGTCTTTTCTTCCTTTTGCCATTGGTTCACCCTCCAATGGCCACCATGGCTGGCGCGCTGCGGCCGGCGCACCACGCTGATCCGAAGGCAGGAGCCAGGTGCTTCTCCTGGTCTCCCATGGGGTGCAGAGCCCAAGCACTTGGGCCATCCTCCACTGCCTTCCCGGGCCACAGCAGAGAGCTGGCCTGGAAGAGGGGCAACCGGGAAAGAACCCGGCGCCCTGACCAGACTGGAACCTGGTGTGCTGGTGCCGCTAGGTGGAGGATTAGCCTATTGAGCCGCGGCGCTGGCCAGGGGCACACTACTTGTAATGTATGCACATTTATATTGTGCATGGGCATGATATACATATAAGGAAGAAGCTGCTTCTTAGAAGAGAGAATGAGGGGTAGTCTTTGATGCAGCAGCTTAACTCACCACTTGGGATGCCTGCAATCAGAGTGCCTGGTTCAAGGGTCAGCCACTGCACTTCCAATCCTGCTTCCTGCTACTGTGCATCCTGGGAGACCGCAGATGATGGTTAAGGTCCATGAGTCCCTGCCACCCACTTGGGAGACCTGGATGGAGTTCTGGCTCCTTGCTTTGGCCTGGCCCAGCCCTGGCTGTGTGGGCATTTGAGGAGCAAACCAGTGGATAGAAGATTGTTTTCTATCTCTGTCTCTTGTCTCTGTCTCTCGCTCTCTGATTCTTTCAAGGCAAAAAAAAAAAAAAAAGACATAAACATAAAAAAAGAGAAGAATGGAATTTCTGAGAAATATATAGGGGGCTTCAAATATATCTACAGTGGTTTATTTTTTCTTTCTTCATTTGACAGATAGGGTTAGACAATGAGAGAGAGAGACAGAGAGAAAGGTCTTCCTTCCGTTGTTTCTCTCCCCAAATGGCCGCTATGGCCAGAGCTGTGCCCGATCCGAAGCCAGGAGCCAGGTGCTTCCTCCTGGTCTCCCACGCGGGTGCAGGGGCCCAAACACTTGGGCCATCCTCCACTGCCTTCCTGCGCCATAGCAGAGAGCTGGACTGGAAGAGGAGCAACTGAGACTAGAACCTGGCGCCCATATTGGATGCCGGTGCCACAGGCGGAGGATTAACCAAGTGAGCCACAGCGCCAACTCTTATTTTTTTTAAAATCAATGAAATCTGAAACAAACCTGGAAAAAAATTATCAGTTATCAAAATGAGTTGCCATCTCCTTGGTCAACCAATCTCATGACTTGAGGATGAACTGTCGCAAGTATCAAATTCTTAACTCCAGCTACCAGATAAGAATTGGCTGAAAATTCTGTGACTCATGTATTTTTTTTTTAAGATTTATTTATTTATTTGAATGGCAGAATTACAGAGAGGCAGAGGCAGAGGCAGAGAGAGAGAGAGAGAGAGAGAGAGGTCTTCCGTCCACTGGTTCACTCCCTAGATGGCTGCAAATGGCCAGAGCTGGGCTGATCTGACGCCAGGAGCCAGAAGCTTCTTCCAGGTCTCCCATGCAGGTGCAGGGGCCCAAACACTTGGGCCATCTTCCACTGCTTTCCCGGGCCACAGCAGAGAGATGGGTCGGAAGTGGAGCAGCTGGGTCTTGAACCGGCGCCATTATGGGATGCTGGCCCTGCAGGCGGCGGCTTTACCCGCTGCCCCACGGCACTGACCCCGTGACTCGTATCTTGAATCTGCTCTCAGTTGCTGTCTCCTGGGCCCCGTAAACTCACTGTGTGCAATGCCAGCGCCCACTGACCTCACAGGCACCTAGAGGTCCCACCGTGCATCTCTATCATTCTCTCTTCTCTCTCCATGTTTTTCTCATCATCCTTGGCGATGTCCTTGACTTCCCTTTCTGTTTCTCATCTAATCTGGCAGCGAAATCTGTTCTTGTTCCTGCAAGATGCTTCCAGAGCCTGGCCTTCCTTGCTCACCCTGTAGCTGTGCGATCGGCCCCCCATCACCCCAAGTGATCTCCTTCACAGTGGTGTCCAAACATCCGCTGCGGGGAGAGATCAGTTTGTTTCTCCCTGCTCAAACCTGCTAAGGAGCCTGACTCCCTCAGATGGAAAGGACTCCAGGATCTGCTGCTCTGTCCTCTGTCTTACTCTCCCTGCCCCCTTAACCTCATTTGAGCCTAATCTGTCCCCCTCTGAGTACTCCTCCAGGCTGGCCTCCCGCTGTTTCTTGTACACAATTGCTCTCCCAGCTCACAGCCTTTCTATTTTTTTTTTTTTAAGATTTATTTTATTTATATGAAAGACAGAGTCACAGAGAGGTAGAGCCAGAGAGAAAGAGAGGGAGGGAGAGAGGGAGGGAGGGAGAGAGAGAGAGGCCCTCCATCTGATGGTTCACCTCCAAAGGACTGCAACAGCCAGAGCTGAGCTGATGTGGAGGCAGGAGCCAGGAGCCTCCCACGGGTCTCCCATGCAGGCACAGGGGCCCAAGCACCCGGGCCATCCTCCACTGCTCTCCCAGGCCACAGCAGAGAGCTGGATCGGAAGTGGAGCAGCCAGGACTTGAACCGGCCCCCATATGGGATGCTGGCACTGCGCCACTGCGTTGGCCCCCTCACAGCCTTTCTGCCTGTGTTTCTGTTGGTTGGCAATGTTCTGAGCCAGACGACTTTGTACCCTCTGCTCCCATAGCTTCTCAGCCAGGCATTCTTCACCACTCTGCTTTAAGTGGCACCTTCTCCTCCTCCTCCTCTGTCTCTCTGTGTGATTTTTAATCTGTATCACGCACCATCTACCACAGTGTGTATTTTACCTTTGTATCTCTTTATTGTCTGTCAGTCTCTGTGAACACATGAACTCTGTAAAGGGCTCATGTCTGGCCTAGTGTTTAACATGATCCTGTGCTTCTAGGAGCACCTAGATTCACTTCCTGGCTCTGTTCCCGATTCTGGTGCCATGTTTCCGTGCACCCTGAAAGACAGCAGTGATGGTTCAGGTAGTTGAATTCCTGATACCCATGTGGGAGGCTGGATTAAATTTCTGGCTCCCAGTTTTAGCCCAGGCCGGCCCCAGCCAGTAGGGAGTAACCAGTGGTGGGCACATTGTCTGTCTGTCTCTCTGCCTTTCAAATAAAATAAATAAATAAACACTCATTGAAGAGATTTTTATTCTATTTTGTACGCTGATATGTTCTTAGCATCCATAAGAGTTTCTGGCATATAATTAGGACTTAATGGATGTCTTATGAATGAATGCATGGTAGATTCATGGTTATCATTTATTCTCTAATATTTTCTCTATGTTTGAAATATTACACAAATACACATACATACACACAAATAAAAACGCTGCTTTTTTAAAAAAGATTTATTTATTTATTTGAAAGTTAGAGAGGGAGACACACACACACACACAGAGAGAAAGAGAGAGAGAAAGAGAGAGAGAGAGGTCTTCCTTCTGCTAATTCACCCCCCAAATGCCTGCAACACCAGGGGTTGGCCAGGTGGAAGCAAGGCGTTTGGAATCCAATCCAGGTCTCCCACAAGTATACTTGACCCATCATCAGCTGCCTTCCATTGTGGGTTAGCAGGAAATTGCAATCAGAATGGGAGCTGGGACACAAACCGAGGTGCCTGGGTATGGGATACAAGCATCTCAAGTGGGGTCTTAGTTGAACACTGACCTACACATGTGTTTTCTAAATTATACTCCCTCCCTCCCACCGCAGTGATGACCCAGCTATCACCTGTCTTTCTAAGAAGAGAGAGTTTGATGAGCTCATACATTGGCATTCCTCTCAACCTCTAAGTGATGATTTTGAAAGGACAAGAAACAGCGATAGTGGTGAGTATAATTCATACTAGGGAATGTTTCCAGCAGTTTTCTTGTTTAAACAAGCATCATGTGTAGAAGGGAAAAATTACTCATCTGGGGATAGTGACGTCTCACTTACAGTCTCCTCTCTCTCTACCACTGTATGCACTCCCAGTGGCTTGGAGATACAGAAATGGGCAAAAGCTAGTTTCTGTAGGATGAACAATTCTCATAAATCCATTGAGGGGAAAAAAGTCATTGTGTGCAGCCAAGTCATTGTGCCTAGCTTTCTAATTTTCTTAGATTGTTACAACAGTTACTTTATATGTTATTGTTGAAATTCCTTTTGTTCTTTGCTGGTTTGCATAAAAGTCCCCACTGTATTGTTTCACAGGACCTGGTGTTTATATTAATCAGGCACATAGTGTTGTAATTGCCAAAATTAATAATTGTATTTATTACTTGTTATAAAACATTGGTTCATAATTGTATTCATTAATAAAAAATATTTAAATCACCAAAGAATTATTTTGGGTGGTAAGACACCATGAACCAATATAGTTTGTAAACTTGTCTTCTTGGATTTCAAACTGGTGAGGAAAATGGATAGAGGTGTGTATACACAGATACATACAGAGAAAAAGACCAATGACGCATAAGTACGATTCCTCAGGGCGTGGACACTAGCGGCCTGACTGGTGCTGCCAATCTCTGGATGTATTCAGTGTCTGAATTCAGGCGTGCCCTGTCCCTGTCCTTGGCTCTGTGCTGGGCTCTGGACTTGGTCTTGTAGCACTCCTAGGGCAGAGGGAGAGGCGGGATGAGAGCAGCCATGAGAGAGGTCCTTACTGAAAATTCTAGGGAGTGGTACAGCTGGGAGCAAAAGGCAGGGAGGGAGGTGTCCAGGTGTCCGTCGGGAGGACTGGGGGCGACTCTAGCCACACCCGAACCATGCGGAGAGTCCTGCCGGAAGTGGAACAGGCTGTGACCGGAAGTGAGGCGGGCTGTGACCGGAAGTGGGAAGGGCTGGTGACCGAAGCAGCCCGAGAGCCCCAGTGACGTCAGACAAGTCGGTGAGGCGCTAGGGGTTTCGTCTTTCCCAGAACCGAAGAGCAAGGGGAGGCTGCTTAAACGTCTGCCCGGGGGAGCCTGGCGCTCAGGTACTTGTTTAAGGGGAAGGATTTTTGCTTCCACCTTCGTCGTGCGCTCCGTGGCTGGGTGGCCCGCTGGGGCCTTGAGCAGCTGGAACTGCGTTCCTGGCTTCTGGCATCTTCCGTTCAGTTCTCGTAGCGCGGTCCCAGGAACGGCCTCAGAGCAGTCGGGGAGTTAGAGGGAGAGCGGAGCTGTGGTTTGAACTGGACGTGCCCGCTTAATGCAGTGATGATGCTGAGGGCGTGGGGCTGCCTTCCGACGGTGGTTCTCAGCGGGGTTGGTTGCTGGAGCCCGGTTGGACCCCCGTTGCTCTGTAGCTTCCTGGCTCAGCTGCCCTGCAGCCCTCCTCCACCTGAGCTCCGTTCCCTGCCTCGACCCTCAGCATGGCCTGAACCATGGGGCTGCCCAATGTGGGCGTGATGCAGAGTAATCCTTTTTTCTTCCTGAAGTTAGTTTTCTTTTTAAAGATTTACTTATGTATTTGAAAGGCAGAGTTGGAGCGAGGAGAGGCAGAGAGAGAGAGAGAGAGGGGTCTTCCGTCCGCTGGTTCACTCCCCAGGTGACTGCAGTGGCTGGAGCTGCACCGATCCGAAGCCGGGAGCCAGGAGCTTCTTCCAGGGCTCCCACGTGGGTGCAGAGGCCCCCTGAAGTTAGTTTTCTCAGGTATTTTGTTCTAATGATAAAAAGCTGGCAAAAACACCTGCTCAGGCCTCTGAATTTCTTCTGGACGTGGAATATGTAGTAGGTGTGGATGGGTGAGTTGCTGACACTCACCCTGAGGCCATGGGTGTTGCCAGCGATAAACGCCTTTGAGTTCAGCGCTGCCGCAGGCTTAGAGTGGTCTGGGAACTGGTGACATCTTGTTTCCAGAGTCCATTCTCTCCTAGAGCAAGAATCTGGCTGAGTGGTTGTAGCCAAATGTTTCTGGCCAAATTTGGGTATAGTTTTCAGAAACTCTGTTTCCGAGTTCATGCAGTGCTCATGTGCTTCGTTTTTGATCCTGTGTCCAGAGACAGCAACCATGTCCAAGAGCAGGTGTTTTCTTTTGTGGCTTTGATACGCTGTAGGATGAGCAGGTCATATCTCACCCTCGACTTACTCTATGGGATGCACCCATAATGCTTAGTAGTTGTAATAAAATGAATAAGTAAATAACTGATTTGATTTTTAAAAAGATGTGTTTTATTTATTTGAAAGCAGAGTTACTGGGGGGGGGGGATCTTCCATCTGCTGGTTTTTTCTGCGAATGGCCACAACGGCTGGGCTGGGGCAGGCCAAAGCCAGGAGCCTGCAACTCCACCAGGATCTGCCACATGGGTGGCAGGGGCCCAAGTACTTGGACTGTCTTCAGCTGCCTTCCCAGGTGTATTAGCAGGAAGCGGGATCAGAAGTGGAACTGCCAGGACTTGTACTGGTGCTCATATGGGATGCTGGTGTTGCAAGCAGTGGATTAACTAACTCTGAGTCACAATGCCAGCCCCAAGAACAGATGCTAATTTGGATCATCTCATGATATTTAAATATGGTTCAATAATTTTACTTTACATTGCCACATCTCAATCTCTGTAATAGTAATAGCCTCTAATTAGAATATTATGAGTTTCTCAGGGGATTTGTCAAAGCCTTTCTCATGAATGCTCTAGGAGTGCAGCTTTTATATATCAACAGTAGAGTCATGATATTTTAATAACTTTATTTCCCTCAGCTAAATCCAAAGATGCCAAAGAAAGAAGAGATACACAGAAACTGTATCATTTTTATCATGTGTTTGGAAGGTCTTTGGTAGGAAGTAACAGATCAGTAAGGATTACAAAAGCGGGCTCGCTGCCATCTCCAGCAAATTCTTCCAGGCAGAAGAAAAGACAACATCAGGTGCGTTCTTGGGCTAGCGGAGCTCATTGCTGTGGGGGCTTGAGACTCTACTCCCACCCTGTGAGACCTGTGTTAACTTTACTCAGCATGGCAACACTGGTAATCTCATGTTATTGGAGAAAAAAATATTTTGTTTAAAAAAATACTCCCAAGTACTAACCATGAATTATAACAGATAAAGGACCTTATTCTCCTTTTAGAACACTGGGAAAATGAAGGGAGGTGTAACGAAGAAAACAAAATCCTAATGGGACCGGCACAGAATTGAGCACTGGGAATGCTTTGGTGAATTCCCTCAGTCACACTTCTCTCCAGTGTTATTAAACATCTTTTGCAACATAATTTTGTGGATGGATACTCCTCCATAATATGGCAATGTCGTGGTTTGTTTAGTTATTTCTTTGTTGGAATATAGAAAAACAAGTAAGGAAAAGAAAAGAAAAATCCACATTCTCACGTCCCACAAGTAACTGTATGACTATTTTGGCATAAACCTGTGCAGTCCTATATTGTCTGTTGTTTTTTCTATATGTATTCCACATCTACTAATAGTATAGCTGACTTCTTTCTGTATCATTAAATATACAATAAATTCACAATAGTATGTTATTTCCCAAATTTTAAGCAACTTTAATAGAAAAATCCAGCACACACACACACACACACAGCTAATTCAGGCTATTCAGAAAGGTACTTAAAGTGTGAAAAATAACTAACATTTTACCTTCTTCAAAGACCTGGTCCTATTAACTTTGGTGAACATCCTTCCAAATACTTACAGTCTATACACACTTACTAACACGCACAGTTTTACAGTTTACATATGGCTTTATACTTTTTTTTTCCCATTAAACAGTGTGCTTTCTAAAACTTTTTATTGCAATGAGTGAACAATAAACTTTCCCTTTTAATATTTGCATAATATTCCATGTTTATTTTTCTTTGTTTCCTTTTTAATCTTTAATATGTGTGCATTATTTTACTGTTATAACCCTGGTGCTCTTTTCTGTTTAACCACAGAGATACCCAGTATCATTCTGTGAGTGTGCCTGCTTTTTTGTTTAACATCATCTCAACAAGAGATTTTGATTGCAAATTCAAATACCAGTGATATGAGTATTAGTCTATTTGTGTTTCTTCCCCTGTGACTTTCTATTTTATCTCCTTTACTATTTGCCATTGTTATTATTATTTTGCTTATTGACTGCTAAACCCTATGATGAGGGAACTTCAGAAAGTCCGTGGGAGAGTGGGCCTTTGGCACAGTACTAAAGTTGCTGCTTGGGATGCCTGCATCCCGTGTTGGAGTGCTTGGTTCAAGTTCTGGCTGCTCTGCTCCTCATCCAGCTTCCTGATAGCGCACACCCTGGGAAGCAGCAGAGGATGACTCAAACACTGGGGTCCATGCCACTCAAATAGAAGACCTCAGCCCAGCCCAGCCCAGCCCTGACTATTGTGGGCATTTGGGGAGTGGACCAGCAGATGGGAGATCTCTTTTCATCTTTCTATCTTTCTGCCTTTCAAATAAAGTTTGAATTAATAGATATTGAAAAGTTTATGTTCAAATAAAATTAGATAACTTTATATCAGTGCAAAAATTTTGAAATCCAAGCATTTTTTAAAAAATAATATACATTTTGGTGCATTTCTGAAGCCCCCTCTGTATTTGCTTAAAAATTTTTTCTTAGTGCTCATTTTTGGTGCTTTAGGAAGTGCAGTCATGGGGCTGTTATCCTGTAGACCGTACTCTGCAAGCATACTTTCTCCTCTTGCGTAGGGTGTGCACTCCCCTGAGGAGCTGGTGTCATTTGCTAGTGCTCAGATATTCTTAGATGGCCTGTATTTCCATACTGGGGGTGGAAGGCTGGGCTAAGTAAAGATGCGCCCTGGGAACTGGACAAGAGAGTTAGCCAGAGAATGGCCATGGTGGCATTTTCCATTGCAAGCAGTATTCCAGCTATTGCAATTTTAGGTCTGATTTTTATCTATTCATAACTGCTTTCATCATATCCTGTTCTCTTGGCTACCACTGCACAAGAGTTGTATTTGATTTCTATACAGTGCAATGTGTCACACCCCAGGGAGTTTTTGTAATTTTACCAGTTGGTCTGGTCATATAAAAGATACTTATCCTCATTGGACCTTTGTTGGGTGTTTCTTAGACTCAGCACAGATCTGGACTGCCTAAACACTGGCTTTCAGTATAATGGACTAAGGGGTTAGCAGCTGAGAAGATAGAGAAAAGGAATAGCCAATTACCATCTTTGTGTATAAAAAAAGATATTTACATTTAATTCTTTGCAACACCAAAGGTCCAATTTGATGTCCTTAAGTGCTCTAAATGCTAAACTAATAGTCCAAGATATTAAATATTTCCTTCCAAATATAAAAAGTATTAATCTGGAAACAATTGCTTTTATGTTTATTTAATTTTATTTCTATTTTTTAGAAGAAAAATGCAGAAAAACTTATTGAAGAAAATCAAAAGAGACAACTAGCTAAACTAGAGAAAAAGGAGGAAGAGAGATGGAATAATTTGTCTCTATTGAAAAAGAAATTAAAGAGAATCTTCACTCTGGAATCAAAAGACTAGAAGATTTTCTCCAGATATGTGCTGTTAAATCTGTAAAATTTATTGCAGAAATGGTTGGATTGGATGCCTGTTTCAAATTATGGAAAGAATGCTGTCTAAAACCAGGTATATAAGGACATCAATTCTAGAAGTTTCTTGAAATCAGAGATTAATAAGGACAGCAAAAGAGCTGGCATTGATTCTTCTGTGATTATGGAACTCTTGTGAAGTCTTAGAAGGATTTCCTCTTGTTGGATCCACAGTTGTTTGTGTGTGAAAGGCATTGGTGGAAAGAGTCAACTCAGAAGTCAATGCAGCAGACAGTTCTTCATAGCCAGCTATTGGCCAAATACCATACACACACACACACACACACACACAAAATTGTTAAATTCTCACAATTCTTTGGGATAGGCTTCCTATCTTGATATAATACGTAAAGCCCTAGGAGAACCAATTATGTGCCTGAATGTCAGTGACACAGCAACATTTTTAATGAAAAGTTTACTTCAATCTATATGCACAAATTGAATAAGTAATAAATTGGGATATAACCACAGTGTCATGGCTGAAGGCCCAAGAATGAGCAATTTTGATTGGAGATAAGATAAAAAATATTTATCTCTTAATTGTGGTCACAGAAAAGTAATTATTAGAAGAGTAATAAAAGAGTATAGAATGGTCATGTTCTTAGGAAATTATTGTATCATTTTATGTAGATTATTTTGTTTAATCTTGATAATAGCCATGTGAGGTGAGCCCTGTGGTTAATATCTCCCTTATACAGAGAAAGAAAACAAGGCTGAGAGAAGTAATTTGCCATGTTTCTATGTCAGAAAAGGCACGTTAAGTTTGCATTTCAGGTGTGTGATGAATTTTGTGAATATGTGCCCTGTAGTTTTTGTCAAAGCAGGCTTCCTGTTTTTCGCTTGCTAAGTCTAGCAGCACTTTTAGAATCTAGGAGCCCACACTTTTAATTGTCATGCAGAACTGGGAGTTGTGAGTTCTTTGATTATTGTGAGTGGTTCATGTGAATATGCTTTCTTTAAAATCTTAAAATTAAGTCAGCGCTGGGGTAGAGTGTGGGTTGTTATCACTCTCTTGCTTCACTTAGGTCGTGCAATTATTTTACTTCAACAGAAGCAGAATCCAAAGATATAAATGTGGTAATTCAGATGATGAAGAGGATTCACATACTGCACGAGAAATACTCAGAATTGTTACAGAATACACACAGGCAAAAATTAGCCAAATATCTAAAATATATCGGGTTTGACAACTTGGCACACACGTTATGTCCTCAGGTAAATGCCATGGAAGATACTACTTGACATTCGTGTGAGTGTGTGTGTATGTGTGTGTCTGTGAAATATTTTATGGGATATATTGAGAATCAATACCTGTCACCAGAACTGTATATTCTGAATATATTGAGAATCAGTATACATTAGATTAAGCTAATAGTTCACAGTTAACCATGCATTATACTGTATAGACACAGGTCTAATGTTTATGACTGTGTATTTTTCTAGGATTCATATTTATCCACACAACCGACTTCCCATCTTACCCAGGATGCCAGGGCTATACACATCGGGTCCCTAGTTACCTCTGCTACTAGTTCCAACAGATTCTGTTGAGTACAGAGAACTATGTTTGCTGTGGAGTTTTGCGGCAGCTGTTTTCGGTAGTTCATCCCCTCAGCTCATAGCCGGGCTGCTGCTTTTCCCTGTGCCTGTGCCAGATGAATGCAACGCTGTGGTGAGTCTTCACTGGAGACCATCTAGTATTGTGTAGCCTTTCTTACACTCTTCTCCCTACCCAGGAAGCCACTAAGACATGTCCTTATTTCTCTCCTTTTTTTAATTTTAATGTATACAAATTTTGTGTATTTCATATATACGGATTAGGAACATGGTGATACTATACCCTCCTTCCCACCCATGCTCCAACTGTTCTTCCTCCTCCCTCTCCTGTTCCCACTCTCAACTTTTACAATGATATATTTTCAGTTTACTTGAAACTCCTAAGATTAACCCTGCTACACTAAATAGTTCAACAAATAGTATGAAAGAAAAAAAAAAAAAAACCACCATCCCTTAACAGTAGAGACAAGGGCTGTAAACAGTCATCAAATCTCAAAATGTCAATTTAATTCTAATACATTACATTTTAAGTACTCTGTTAGTTACTACAGATCAGGAAAAACATATGGTATCTGTCTTTTTGGGACTGGCTTACTTCACCAAGTATAATGGTTTCCAGTTGCATCCATTTTGTTGCAAAAGTCAAGATTTCATTTTTTTTTATCACTGAGTGGTACTCCATAGTGTATATAAACCATAATTTCTTTATCTAGTCATCAGTTGTTGGACATCTGGGTTGATTCTGTATCTTGGCTATTGTGAATTGAGCTGCAAAGAACTGGGGTTACAGATAACTCTTACACATATGTCATTGTCTGAATTTTTTTGTTTGTATTTTATTCATATGTTCATTGTTTCAAAAATTTGTGTGCAAATTTCATAGAAGTGGAACACTTTTTGGTCATGGTTCTTGTCATGCCTTATCTTTAGTTAACTTTTAGAAGAGAATAAATCTTCCATACACTGATTCACTCCCATAATGGTTGTAATAGCTAGGCCTGGGCTAAGGTGAAGCCAGGAGCCAGGAACTCTATTCTGGTTTCCAATGTGGATCACAGATCCCTAAATACTTAGATCATCTTATGCTGCTTTCCCAGGTGCATTAGCAGAGAGATGGGACTGGAATATGGATGTTGACCTTGCAGGTGGAAGATTAACCCCTTGAGCCACAATGCTGGCCCCAGAGAAAAATTGTAGGTCAAAATATCTCTTCAAGGGGCCAGTGCTGTGGTATAGAGGGTTAAGCCACCACCTGCAGTGCCAGCATCCCATACGGGTGCTGGTTCAAGACCCAGCTGCTCCACTTCCAATCCAGCTCTCTGCTATGGCCTGGGAAAGCAATGGAAGATGGCCCAAGCTCCTGGGTCCTGGCTTCGGATAAGCACAGCTCTAGCCATGGTGCTCAGTTGGGGAGTGAACCAGCAGATGGAACACCTCTCTCTCTCTCTCTCTACTTCTGCCTTTCTCTCTCTGTAAGTCTGCCTTTCAACTAAATAAATTTTTTAAAAAAATCTCTTCAAGTAATGCCTTTAAAATAGTGTTTTTAGAAATTATGAAGACATGCTTGGGGTACTGCATGGTCTTAGAGTGGAGATATTTCTGTAAGTAGAGAAATATAAGGGATGTGGGGAGAGATACCAGCTCAGGGTGAGAAGCCAAAAAGAGGAGATATAGGTAGCTCTCCACTTCCTATGCCAAATCTCCCCATTTTAGGCTTTCTGACTTTCCTTACGCTTCACTGGGACCCCCGTCTTTGCTAGGTTAGCCTTGCTAGGAATCTCAGCAGGGCCTGTGGCCCCTTCCTTGGTGTATCTCGCTCTGCTCATCTCAGGAATACTTTCAACCAGTCTTTGGTGATTCTGTAGATTCACTAAGAGTCTGAGGTCAGGTTTCCTATCATGCAAACATGGAAGGAGCCCTACATCTCTGTTCCCCAAGTGCCACAGACAAAATTTAACTATCCCATCTAATAAGCCTTCTATCAGGAAGACTGACATATTTAAGAAGGCCTTTGAAGCCATGAGGATAGAGAAACTAATTTCATTGGAAAGAATTATCTTAATGCAGGATGTGAACATCAAGAGTGGAAATTATGAGTCTGTCACACAAATCCCTTCCTTTGGTTATTCTATGCCTACCTTATGTTGCACAGGTATAGGGTTTGTCTGAAGGGAGGAGAGCTGTTCCTCACTCCTTTAAGAGACTTGGAGACCTATAAGCTCTAGGAAAGCAACTCTCTCTCTAAAAAAATAAAACAAGAAAACCTTGATGGTGATGATCAGAACGGGAATCTAGCTATTTCCAACAGCTGTAGATTTGAAATAGGATATTTGCTTAAACATTGCATGACCAAAACTGCTATTACTTTTTAATTTCTTAAATGAGAAAGTAAATAAATTTTAAAAAGCTTGTTTTTAAACATTTTCCATTAATATTTTTGGCAATTTTTAAATGAAGTCTTCTCTGCTCCAAGCCATCATTGTGTCCAAACATGTCTTGGTGTTGATTGACAGTGAGAACACTTTGGCACAGAAGTTTATGTTTTCCATGCATGGCTAATATGATCATAATCCAGTTTTGTCAGAACTCTGAGAATGGAGGCTCAGCCAAGCACGTGAATTTCCTGTGATGTTGAGGCCCTGTAGTAAGAGCTGTTGACCCATTGGGTGGAATTCTCTGAGTAAAATAGTTTGACTTGTAAGATGATAGGTATTTGTTATATAGATCTTTACAGAGATATTTATTTTTACCAAAGATGCCTTTTTAAGGTCAGAAAAAATTCCTTAAAGGAAATACAGTTTTAGTGTGTGTGAGTGTGTGTGTGTGTGTGTAATAATTGTGGAACAGTTATCAAAGATTTTACTAATTTGTAACAAAAGATCAATTTCATATTGTCTTTTACTTATATGCCATGGAAAATGATCTTGCCATAAAAATGATATTTAAAAAATTATACTGAATATAGCCTCAATGTTCCCTGTGCTATTGTAATGATATATTAAGTTGAGTGGCACTTTTACCCTCTGGTAACTCCAAAATTGGGTTATCCAGTTTTAAGATTTGCAGCTTATTGAAAGAACATGAAAAAATAATCTCACTGAGGCAAAGCAAACTACAACAGGATTGGGAATAATTCCTGCATGCCCAGGTTAGGAATTGTAAAGTCGTACAGAGGTCTAATGCACCATACTTATTTTAGGGGAAGGAGTCAGGTGCTGGGAAGGATATTTCTAAATACTCAGTTCACATGGGAGCCGCTCGGTTTCAGTTAACGCACATGGGCCCTTACTTGTTCCGAGAAGAAAGAAGTGATCCAGATCCCCGGGTGCATCATTTTATACCGGACACGTGGCAGGTATTTCTCTAAAAGATCTGTCGTATGGAAAGGCAAAGACGCTTCGGTGAAACTGTGTGTTCAGACCTCATTGTGTGCGACAAATTTTGAAAATGCCTGTTGTTCTAGAAAGCGACTTAATGACAAGAAAAGTAAATCATGTCTTGGCCCAAGAGATAAAGCAATGCAGTGACGAGTCAGTTGAGTGACAGATACACTGGTTCTCTTAAATGGAGTATGGGAAGCAATGCATTGAGAAGCAGCAGTTTGACCTGGTTGTGAAGCCATTGGTCAGGACGCCGCGTCCCAAACCATAGTGCTTGGGTGTCACGTGCAGCGCCTGACTCCAGCTCTTGCTAATGCACGCTAGGAGGCAGCAGTGAAAGCTCAAGTGATTGGGATCCTGCCATTCACAGGGGAGACCTGGATTGAGTTCCCAGTTTCTAGCCATTTGGGGAGTGAACCAGCAGATGGGACCTGTCTTTGTCTATCTGTGTCTTTGCCCCTCAAATAAAAACAAAAGCAAAAACAAAACAAACAAGAACCCAACTATACACTCCAATTCTGTGCAGCCACTTAATTCACATAACAAAATAGGTGCCTGATGTATATTTGGCAAAATATACCGTTTTTTTTTTTTTTTAAAGTAGTGTTGCTTTTGGGTTGTCCAATTGTTCAACCACAGTCACTCATAATACATCATGATGTGTCACGGATCCTATTATGTATTTTTTGAAAAACTTCTTTTCTACACCTTAATCATTCGCTGACCATAATTAATGAAACATGGAAATGAAAAGAGCAACAGGTTTTGGTAATTCCGTCTCAGCATGAGGTTTCCCTAATCTGAACTAAAAAGAACTCCAAGAGCCAGGCTACAGACCCATGGCACTGTCCTCTGCTGTATTAGAGGGTTTTTAAATCTAAGTTTAAGTAAGGACTTTCCTGTCTCCAGTGATTTGGGTTATTTGCACATAGCCGGAAGTGGTGATTCCTGCCATCTTGAGCACTAGCAGGTCTCAGAACTGTAAACACTAGTCTAAGAGCTAGTTGAAGCTAACTTAAAAATGGACAGTGAAGATGCATTTTCCAATGAAAGGTGATTTTTTTTCCCTCAGAGGGAACTCCTGGATGTCGTAGATAACAATGAGTCGGCTGTGATTGTTGCTCCAACCTCATCAGGGAAAACCTATGCCTCCTACTACTGCATGGGGAAAGTCCTGCGGGAGAGCGATGACGGAGTGGCCGTGTACGTCGCGCCCACAAAGGTATCGTGCCCTGTGACCCTGCGCTGTTCTAGGGGTGTTCCTCTACCGTAGCCGTGTGTCCCACCTGGTAGTGCCCAGCCTCCAGTGTCACACAGTCGTGGGCTTGGTGCTCATGTGCTGTGTGCCCTTGGCCAGTTTCCTGGCATGTTTTCCACCTGCAAGGAGACACGGCACCACTTACTTTATGCTGTTGTTCCGAGCGTGACCTGAGACAAGGCACACCAGGCATCCAGTGTACTGTCTGGGCATGAATAATGATGCGTAAATGTGCCATTCACAAGCATTTGTTTATTAGTGTTCTCTCATAAATCTCCCTAGGGCCAGCACTTGTGAAAAGACAGGGCTGGACACTTCTGAGAGTCTTGCCAATGGGAATGATTTGGTGTTGGTGCCAGGCTTGTGTACTTAAGAGAGGACAGACAAGTTCAAGAGAGAGAGAGAGAGAGGGAGAGAGGGAGAGAGAGAGAGAGAGAGAGAGAGAGGCGCTTCTCCCCTCAGTTTTACCAGCTCTGGGGTTGGGCAGGTGCCTGATGGAAGAGCCTTGGATTCTTACAGGGGCCATGGGTTTCTTCCTTTGCAGCAGCCTGGGTGAAGTAGAGTTAAAGGGCACTTGCGAAATAAATATTCTTTTTCTCTCAAAAGGGGTTTTGGGATACACTCCTTCCTCTCACTTTCCCTAGCAAAATACTTAATTCCCAGGCTTACAGCTGCACTGCGAGGAGCCAGTGTGGGGAGGGGCCCTGCATCCCACGAGCCACATCCTTCACTGATGAGGACGCAGAAGCTTAGTGAGCTTCAGTGCTGTGCCCATTACTGTACAGCATTGTAAAATACAGGCGCCGTCTAATATTACCTGTATCAGCACATATTACACTGACGGGACGAGGAACCACTGTTTGTGTTTTTGTTGCTGGCCATCCCATCAACAGGCACTGCATTGTATTATATAACATTTAGAAAACTTAAATGGAATTGGTGGAAGGATTTGCTGTGAGGTGTTGCCTTATTAGGGCAGAACTGTTACCAGTTCGGTACTGCATTGTTGCGTATCAGTGGTTCCAGACGTGGGTTTGCTTGAACCAGTGTTTTGCAGCATTGTTGATAGTTTACTGAGTAGCTGCTCACTCTGTCTTTTGTGACTCCAGGCTCTGGTTAACCAGGTGGTGGGAACTGTCTACAATTTGTTTACTAAAGCACTGCCGAAAGGCTCAGTGGTGTGTGGAGTTTTCACAAGGGATTACCGCCACGACACCTTGAACTGTCAGGTATGTCACAGCTGTCCGCATGATGAGTCGTAGTGTGAATGTGGCACTCTGGGAGACACGTAGGGTTTTAATGGGGTAACATGAAACCCACAGCTACCCTGATAGATGTATTTATATTGGGCTAGATGGTTTGTATAATTTTTCTTATCTAAGAATTTGATCACTGATATATTTTAATTCTATATTAATTATTAAATGTTTACATTACATAAATGTTACGTAAAGAGAATGCATTACTTTTCTGAAATTTTAGCCTGAGGAAGCAACTTCCTCTTTAGTAGAGATGGTTTCAGGACATGGTTACTTTTGTATTCCCAGAATACTGTGCCAGAGAATATTTCTTTTTTTTTTTTTAAAGATTTATTTATTTATTTGAAAGAGTTCTACAGAGAGAGGAGAGGCAGAGAGAGAGAGAGGTCTTCCATCTGCTGGTTCGCTCCCCAACTGACCATAATGGCTGGAGCTGTGGTGATCCGAAGCCAGGAGCCAGGAGCTTCTTCCTGGTCTCCCACATGGGTACAGGGGCCCAAGCACTTGGGCCATCCTCTACTGCTTCCCCAAGCCATAGCAGAGAGCTGACTCGGAAGTGGAGCAGCCGAGACTAGAACTGGTGCCCATATGGGATGCTGGCACTGCAGGCAGCGGCTTTACCTGCTACATCACAGCACCAGCCCCAAGAGAATGTTTCTTAATGAAACAAACTTAACTGTTTTTGAGTGTATCAGTGGCAGCATATGTGGGGATCAGTTGTACATATTCATTTTACTTTTACATTAATGAAATATTTTTTTGAACATGGAAATGTCAAGATGGATATAGTGTGTCATAAAATTTCTTATTAATGTTTGGAAATTAAAACAGCTTTTTTTAAAAAAAAAACAGATATTAGTAACAGTGCCTCAGTGTTTGGAAATACTCTTGCTATCACCTCATTATCAGAAATGGACAGAAAGAATGCGCTATGTCATATTTGATGAGGTATGTGCTTTTTATTCCTTTTATCTCAACAGAATATTTTATGTCAACCAAGACCACATGTACCATATGTACTTTAATAAAGATGGCATTCATATGGTTAGTTACTAAAATAAATATAAGTTGTTTATAGAAGGGTTTACCAATAAGTTCTGGGAGAGTTGTTTCCTGTTAACACTGCTTTTGCTGTATCCCACAAATTTTGGTATGTTGTATTGTTGTCTTCATTTGTTTCCAGAAATTTTCTGATTTCTCTTTTGATTTCTTCTATGACCCACTGTGCATTCAGGAACATGTTGTTCATTCTCCATGTGTTTTCATATAATGTAGAGATTCTTGAGTTGTTGATTTTCAGTTTCCTTGCATTGTGGTCCGAGAAGATGCATGACATGATTTGATTTGCTTGAATTTGCTTAGACTTGCTTTATGGCCTAGTATGTGGTCAATCCTATAGAAAGTTCCATGTACCAAGTAGAATAAGATGTACTCTGTGGCTCTAGGGTGGAAGGCTCTATAGATAGCTAATAGGTCTATTTTGTCTATGGTATTGATTAACTCTGTTATTTCTTTTTTGATATTCTGCCTCATTGATCTGTCCATTGCTGAAAGTGGGGTATTGAAGTCCCCCATTACTATTGTATTTGAATCTATATCTCCCTTTACATTTCTTTTAAATAACCAGGTGCCCTGTTATTATGTGCATATACATTTATAATAGTCACATCTTCCTGTTGAATTGATCCTTTAATCATTGTATAGTGCCCTTCTTTATCTCTTTTAATAGTTTTTGTGTTAAAGTTTATTTTGTCTGATTTAGGATGGCCACACCAGCTCTTTTTTGGTTTCTGTTAGCATGGAATATCTTGTTTCATCCTTTCACTTTCAGTCTGCATGCATCTTTGTTGGAAAGATATGTTTCTTGTAGGCAGCAAATAGATGGATTTTCTTTTTTAATCCATTCAGCTAGTCTGTGTCTTTTAACTGGTGAGTTCAGGCCATTTGCATTCACCATGTGTATTGTTAAGTACCGACTTTGCCCTGCCATGTTTCTGTAAATAGTTCTGTTTTTGAATTTTGTTTGTACTTTTGCTGGGTCATTTTCTGCATTCAACTACTTTTGTAGGGATGTTCCTGTTTCTGTGTTTTTGTGTGTAGCACATCCTTGAACATCTTTTTAGGGCTGTGCAGGTAGTTAGAAATTCTTTCAATTTCTGTTTGTTGTGGAAGATCCTTATTTTTCCTTCATTCATAAATGAGAGCTTTGCAGGGTACAGTATTCTGGGTTGACAATTTTTTTCCCTTAGGACTTGGAGTATGTCTTCCATTCTCTCCTTGTCTTTAGGGTTTGTGATGAGAAGTTGGAAGTGAATCTAATTGAGTTTTCTGAGTGTGATTTGTCTTTCTCTCCTGCAGGTTTTAAGATCTTTTCTTTATGCGTTATGGAGGAGAGCTATGCTACAATGTGTCAAGGTGCAGATCTTTTCTCTTCCTGTCTTTTGGGAATTCTGTGTACTTCCTGTACTTGGATGTCTCTTTCTCCAGATTGCTTTCTCCAGATTGCTCCAGTTTTCTGTTATTATTGCATTAAGAAGGCCTTCTAATTCTTTCTCTCCATGCCTTCTGGCAGTCTAGGATCTGTGTGTTGGGTCGTTTGATAGAATCTTGTAGATCTCCTACCATGTTTTTCAGTTTCCTAATTTCTTCTTCTTGTGTTTGGTCTGACCTTATTATTTCCAGAAAATTGTCTTCTAGTCTGATATTCTTTTTTCTGTCTCACTTATTCTATTGTTAAGGCTTTCCACTGCATTTTTTATTTGAACTATGGAATTCTTCATTTCTAGTATTTCATTCTGACTTCTCTTTTTTTTAACTTTTATTTAATAAATATAAATTTCCAAAGTACAGCTTTTGGATTACAGTGCCCCCCCCGTAACTTCCCTCCCACCTGCAACCCTCCCATTTCCAGCTCCCTCTCCCATTCCATTCACATCAAGGTTCATTTTCAATTATCATTATATACAGAAGATCAATTTAGTATATATTAAGTAAAGATTTCAACAGTTTGCACCCACACAGAAACACAAAGTGTAAAGTACTGTTTGAGTACTAGTTATAGCATTAATTTGCATAGTATAACACATTAAGGACAGAGATCCTACATGGGGAGTAAGTGCACAATGACTCCTGTTGTTGACTTAACAATTGACACTCTTGTTTATGGCATCAGTAATCACCCTAGGCTCTTATCATGGGTTGCCAAGGCTATGGAAGCCTTTTGAGTTCACCAACTCCAATCTTATTTAGACAAGGTCATACTGACTTCTCTTTAATATCTCAATTTCTTGGGAACATGTTTCATTTAGATTGTGAGTTTATTTCTGATTGCTTCTAAGTAATCTGATGATTAATTTTCTGAATTCCATTTCTGGCATAACCTCAGCCTCTTCTCCAGCTTCTATTATTGAAGAGTTGTAGTGTTCCTTTGGGAGGGACTCATACTGTCTTTCTTATCCTTATTAAGGTTTTTTCCTTTGTTTTTTGGCATTTCCGGTTGCTTTTCTCTTAAATATGTGTCTTGGTGCTTGTGGTGATGTTACTGTGAATGGCAGAGTTCTTGTCTTTGCAAGAAAGAATTCAGGCGTGAGACAGAGTAGTAGAAGAGTAAAATAGCAAAGTTTATTAGGGAAGGGACATTCGTAAGAACGGATGGGCACCTCTCCAGATAGGACCTGAGAGAGAGTGCGCAGTCACTCGGACTGGGGCGGGCGGGGGGGGGGGGACGAGGTTACATGGTTGAATGGAGAGATTACACCTGGCCAGGCAGGCAGGCAGCTCAGCAGAGAGGCAGAGCGCACCGTCCGGTGGAGGCTGGGGGTTTTTAAGGAGATGAGTATTTGTCTTCACACATCTCCTGAAACAAAGGATTTTATGGATGCAAATAGTAAGAAGCTCCTATCTGGGTTTTCCTCTGAAGGTATCAGACAGGAGGAAGCCTAGCTGGCACCATCCTAACCCAGGATCTGGAGCAGGGTATTTTAAATGCAGATACTGGGCTGCGATTGTGGAAGATTGTCAGGCAGAAGGGGCAGGGACCCCACCTGGCAGATTATGGGGTAGGAAGGGGCAGTGCAGGATGTGAACACTGGGCTGCCCCTGAAATGTTATCGGGATGACTTTGAGATGCAGATGCATATGCTGGACATAGACGTCTTCTCTTTAAGCCTTTATGTCATACACACATAAGCTCATATCTGACTTCCTACCTAACAGTGAGATTTCCCACTGCTATGAGCTGCTATGTGTCTGTGTGTTGCAAATGGAAGCACGCAGGGCCGCCTCCAGGAGTCGTCCTGTTCACTTCTTGATCTTGATGGGGCAGGTACGAGAGCTCTGATGCACTAAGCCCTGCCTTTTGGGGTTGGGCTTGCTTCTCGCTTGTGCATGGAACCAGCTCGAGATTTCGATATTTAGTACTTCTCCTTGTTGTACAGCTTGCTGCTGGTGGTGGGGAAATTACTCTGGAATGTTGTGATCCTATTTCTGGGGTCTTGTGAAGTGGCCCCCCCAATTGACGGACATGAGCATGAGCAGCAAAGCAGTCGCCCCCTGCTTACATTTGAAGATGTAAACAAATAATATGGCTTCTCCCAGCAGGCTGCAGGTCTGATTGTGGGGAGGGGGAGACATGGATGGTAGGAGGTGCCCAACCTCTCCATTTGTTCCCCTGTTCTTCCAGCTTGGAACTTCAAACACAGTTCACCAGGCTCCCCCGCCCACTTCTACCCACAGCTCCGTGGACTTGAGACCTCGTGTCTCGCCTGGTCTGCCGGGGGTGGGGGTGGTGTCAGTCTCGAGGTTCGGTTTCTCCACTGCTCTTCCACCACTTTTTGCTCCCTCAGTGTGGGCCTGCTCAGTCTCTGTTGGACTCCTGGGCTTCTCTGCATGAAATTCTCATGGCTCTGTCACTGCTGGCTTATATACCCCTTCCTTATTAGCTATTTTGCCCTGTGAGACTGGTCCTGTTGCCTTGGTCTGACCTCCCTCCACCCCATTACTATTGTATTTGAGTCCTATCTCCCTTTAGATCCATTAACATTTCTTTAAATAACCAGGTGACTGTAACTAGGTGCATGTACGTTTACAATAGTCACTTCTTCCTGTTGAATTGATCCCTTAATCATTACATGGTGCCCTTCTTTGTCTTTTTCAGCAGTTTTCAAGTTGAAGTTTATTTTGTCTGATATTAGGATCGTATACCAGTTCTTTTTGGTTTCTGTTGGCATGGAGTATCTTTTTCCATCCGTTCACTTTCAGTCTGTTTGTATCTTTGTTGATGAGAGGTGTTTCTTGTAGGCAGCAAATAGATGAGTCTTGTTTTTTAATCCATTCAGCCAGTCTGGTTTTTACTGGAGAGGTGAAGCCATTTACATTCAACATGACTATTGATAAGTAACAACTTGGCTCTGCCATTTTCCCATAATATTCCCATTGTTTACTTTGAATTTCTTTTGTACTTTTACTGGGGGATTTTCTGCCTTTACATTCTTTCATAATGATGGCTATCTCTCTGTGTTTCTGTGTGTAGCACATCCTTAAGGGGGAAGAGAGAGAGAGAGCGAGCGAGCGAGAGCGCGATATCTTCCATGTACTGGTTCACTCCCCAAATGGTCACAACAGCCAGGGCTGGGTCAGGCCAAAGCCAGAAGCTAGGAACTCCATCTGGGTCTCCCACTTGAGTGGCAGGGGCCCAAACACTTGGGATATCGTCTGCTACCTTTCCCAGGTGCATTAGCAGGGAACTGGACCAGAAATGAAGCAGCTGGGACTCAAACAGGGGCTCATTGGGATGCTGGACCGGCTGTGCCACAATGCCAGCCCCTCCACAAATAACTTTTTCATAGCATACATTTTCTGTGAACTTTTTGAAGACCCTTGATACACTTCTGAAAAGTAAGTCAAGTGAAATACAAGTTGATGTCACACTGAGAGGCAGGCGTTTGCCCAGATCCCATGTTGAAGAGCCTGGGTTCCATTCCCAACTCAGACTCTCGACTCCAGCTGCTTGTGAATGTGCACCCAGGGAGGCAGCAGGTGATACCTCAAGTAATTGGGCTCCTATCATGCATGTGGGAGACCCAGGTTGAGTTCCCAGCTCCTGGCTTTGGCTTGGCCCAGGACATTGTGGATATTTGGGGAGTGAGTCAGTAGGTACAGTCTTTGTCCCTTTCTGCCTTTCTCTCTGTTTTTCTTCTCAAATAAAGAACTAAATTAATTGAAAGTAACCTCACATTGAGTCTTACCCATCACAGTGTTGACAATTAGAGTGTCAGGTGTTGCAGAGGAGGAGGAGCAACGGGAAGGCACGGACATTGTGCTGCTTTGGAAATTGTCTCAACAAAACTAGTGATGGTGACAGTACTTCAGGAACAAGGAATTCCACTTGTATATATTCTGAAATAGAAAAACAGGAGTCACGTTTTCAAGAGTAAGACTGAATCAGGCTAGGATACCTGTACAAAATGTTCATAGTCGCATCATTGGTGGTGTTATCAAACTATAAACAACTGAAATGTCCTCCAGAGTAGAAAAAAATAGAAGGTGGCACAGGCATTTGATAAAATACATAGAGTGAGGAAAGTCAATGAAGTGCAGATTAATTTTTTTTTTAATTTTTTGCCAGGCAGAGTTGGACAGAGAGAGAGAAAGAGAGGTCTTCCTTCCATTGATTCACCCCCCAAATGGCCGCTACGGCTGGTGCTGTGCCAACCCGAAGCCAGGAGCTGGGTACTTCCTCCAGGTCTCCCATGTGGGTGTAGGGACCCAAGCACTTGGGCCATCCTCCATTGCCCTCCTGGGCCACAGCAGAGAGCTGGACTGGAAGAGGAGCAACCGGGACTAGAACCCAGGGTGCCAGTGCTGCAGGCGGAGGATTAGCCTAGTGAGCCACGTGCCGGCTGAAATGCAGATTAATTTAAAAATCATGTTGGGCAAAGGAAGTTAGATACAAAGAACACAAGTTAAATAATTCCAGTTATACAATGTTTTAAATGGGCAAAATAAATTTCTATGCTTTATATATAAACATACAAGTACATATATACACATGGACATGTGAAGAAGTAGAATGACCAATGGAATCATAATTTTTTCAAAAATTGATATAGTAACTTCCAAAGAGGGAAGCTGTTATAATCTGGGCTTCTGAAATGCTAGAGGCATTATTTATCTTGATTTACAGGTGCAGTGACAATGACATTTGGTTTACTTCATTTCCATGGATAATACTTTGTGATCTGAAAAATCAAGCTTTATGTAATTTATTGAATCTTATGTTTCACAACAAAATAAAGGTTAGGAAAAGAATACAAGCATTGTGTTAATTAATAATTAAGTATATTGTAACTTATGCATTGCTATACAAAATATAATTGGCATCATTATTTTAATGTTTACTGTGATTGGCATATATTCTAAATAATTTCTAGGAAATTGTATTTCCTCTTTATAAAATGCCTTTGAAGATAGATACTGTTATCTATCAAGACTGTTTAAAGGTGTTGAGATTAGTGATGCATAAGCAAATGTGGGTTTGTATCGAGATTTATCTTAGTATCTGTTTAGGACAATCTCTGTCATTCAACCAGTGTTTCTTTTGTAAATAACACTTAACATGTGTCCTTTTGTTCATGGTGTGCTTGATGCGCTTTCACTACCACGGCAGGCAATAGTACTTGCTTATGGGTCAATCATCACAATGTGTTACAGAGCAAGTCATTCCTAAATACATTATTGTTAAAGTCTGGAACATACTGTGATTCTGCAAAACATATTGGCTTCTTTCACGAGCTTTGTCAGTGGGTAAATGAATGTTACTGAAATGGAGAGTAGAAGGGAAAAGTAGGTCTGGTAGCAAGGTAGTTTATTAACATTAAAAAATAAAACCCCTGTCCCCATTCTGACATTGAGTCTGTTTACACTGACAGGTTCACTGCCTTGGGGGAGAAGTTGGAGCGGAAGTGTGGGAGCATCTCCTTGTTATGATTCGTTGTCCCTTTTTGGCCCTTTCTGCTACTATCAGTAACCCTGAGCATCTCACTGAGTGAGTCTGAGATTTATATTCATTCTTTTTTTTTTTTTGAAAATTAAAGCTTTTCTTGTTTAAAAAATTTTATTTAATTTAAAGTATACAAATTTCATCCATTTCCTGTATGCAGATTCGGGAACGTGTGCAGAGCTCTCTGTGTGCACGGGTCCAGCTGCAGTGGTCTGCCCTGGCAACCTAGGAGTTCTGAAAGTGTGGCTCTGCACCCAGAACTTACCCAGCACCCGCTACACCCTGCCCCCTCTCACAGTCACAGTGTTTTCACAGTCTCAGCACCCTGGGCTCCCACAGACAAGGACTGCAAGAGAGTACACTCTGCCCCGCTAGGCTGTCCTGTCCACAGGGAGGCTGTGTGTTTCACCCTGAGCAGACTCAAAGTCCACAGGGATTTTTCGCCTTGGTAGAATCCCTGGGTTGCAAGCAAGCACAGTACTTGCCATCTGCAGCCCTGCTGCTTTCAGAACTGTGCTGGGTGGGTACAAGAGCCCTGAGGGTGGCGCTTCCCTTTGGTGGGGATGGCTCCCCCTCCCCGCCCTTTGCCATAAGGGTACAGAGGAGCTGGTGTTGTTGGCCTGATGACAGGTGGGGACAGACCCCACCAGTTGATTCGAACTGCTCTGGTTGCCCCTGCCAACAGTTCCCACTAGCTACTGGGTGCGCTCGGAGAAGCTGGAGCCGCTGCTCCGATCATGTGGAATGACGCCAGCTGTCTCCCAGCCTGTTAGCTGCAGGGCGCTGGTGTGGTAGCGGGAGCCGTGGTGAGGGAGGTGCTCGGCTTTTCTTCCCCCACTCTGGGTGAGCAGTCGCCCCAGCTCCCCTGAGGGTTCTGGGCTGGACTCAGATACTGCACAGTCTACTAGATTCTTCTTCCAGCTGCACCAGCCGTGGTGTGGCAAGGGCCGGTGCAGTCTGACCCCACCTGGCTATCCAGGTGGGCTGCTGGTTCCTTTGTTGTGTTCCTGCTCCACGCTCCGAGCTCCTTGCTGTGTGCCTGTGCCTTCCCCTTAGGTCCAGGCCGTTTCCACTGCTTTTGCAAGATCTCCCACTGCAGTTTTCCCGGAGAGTGTGACTTCACTTTTTTTTCTGCTAAGTTCGTGGAGCCTATAGAAGACTTCCCTGTCACTGTTCCACCATCGTGCCTCCCTCCAGTCATATCTGCTTTTTAACATCTTAAGAACAATTTTAAATTTGCAGACAAATTATGAGATACAAAGAGTTACCATATTCCCCTTCACCCAAGTTCTGCTATTACGCTTTATGCTGATATCTTTGTCAAAGTTAATGAACCACACCCATCATTTCCAATTTTTCATTTTATCTTTTTAAAATTTTTTTATTTAAGGTAAACAAATTTCATGTGATTCATATATACAGACTTAGGAACACGTTTTTCTGCAACAATGATTGTTCTCTTTTTGTAACTAGGTGGTTGGCGTTAGTTAAAGGATATTGGCAACGTGTTGAAAGCACAATGGAAAATGCTGATCCATCAAGAAATGCCTTAAAAAGCTCAAAGAGACAACAACGAACAAGAGTAGGAAAGCCATCGTACAAAGTTAGACTGGGTATGGATTTCTTCACTCGGGAGAAGGGGAGTGCAGAGGTAGCAAGCATACCCCGTGTGCTCGTCACATTTGAGGGTGTTCTACATACGCAGAGCAACTTGTTCTTATTGTAACCGTGAAAGGCAGTGCATCTTACTTTCAGTTACAGAGGAAATTAGCTAGATAGGAAACAGCTCTAGGAGGTGATATTCCGTGTTGACGTCCACAGAGCTGACTGACTGAACTTGGAGATCAGATTCTTTCCAAATATTGTCTAATTGGTGTCGTGCGAATTCCTTCATGATTTAATGTGATTGATATGGAGTCATAGCCAAGATAAGCATTTCACTCCTGTTCTGTGAGAAAAGACTCAAACAAACCTAGAGGACAGTTCTGGCTCACTGAACAATGTGTTTCAAAATTTCCTGTTTCACCTGTGGTCCCAGCTTCTGTGCTATCCCCTGTTTCATCTAAGAAATCTTCTCCTTTCAGGACTTTCTTGATAGTTTGGATTATTAATTGTGCTCTGAAATCTGCCTTTGAGTTTCAGTTTTTTTTTCTAGAACGCTCTCCCTGTGTCACTTTCCTCTGTACTTGGCCAAGTCCTGTCTACTCTTTATTGGAAAGATTCTGCCTTGCGGCACATCCCGAACACCACCTTGATTGTTCTAGGTCAGGGCCCATAGGGTGTCCTATGTTACGCAATTTCCTACCACCTGTGGTAGTTATTTTTGTATGTGCCCCTCTTTTCCTTGGAAAATATCCATATCATAATTGTTTTATTATGCACATACTCTAAATGTTTTACTATTGAATTGAGTATTCCTTACCGCATGCATTTGGGACTATTTCGTGAGAATTCTCTGAAGTAGTATAGAATCATGTTTATCTGACTACTTTTTTATTTTTCTTTGTATAACGAGAACAGATTTCAGATATACAATTTGCAGGACATAATGATACTTCCCACTCTCCCTACTACCGTCCTCCATCCTTTCTTTTTTTCCCTTTTAATTTTTGCAATAACATACTTTCAACTTCTTTCATCACAGGGCTAGTCCTCCACTAAATAAAGGATTCCACCCATAGGAAGACCACTGTTCTACAGGGGTGTTGACAAGGGCTATAAGCAATAATCAAATCTCAGGATGTCAGTGTCACTCATATACATGACTTTTTGTGTACTCTATATCTTACTTACCACAAATCAGAAAACCTACTATTGTCTTTTTGGTTCTTGCTTATTTCACTAAGTAAATTGGTTTCCAGTTGCATCCATTTTATTGTAAAAGACAGGATTTCATTCTCTCTCTGTTTTGGTTTTTTTTTTTGTTTTGTTTTGTTTTTTTTTTTTTTGGCTGAATAAATTCCATCATGTATGTATACCACATTTTCTTTATCTAGTAATCAGTTGATGGACATCTAGGTTAATTCCATCTCTTAGCTACTGTGAATTTCAGATTCCTATATGTGACATTCATGCTGTTTTATTTCATTTTTGTTTTAATTTTAAGAATCAATATGCTTATAGATACAAGTCTAAGAACATAATGGTATTCCCTTCCTCCCTCCCAGTCTCCTTCCTGCTACCTTTCTTTTTTTTAGGTTTTGAGATAGCATATTTTAAATTTCCAGTACTGTAAAAAGGCTGAATACTAAAAAAAGGTTAATACCTTACCTAATAAGAAGTTTAACATGTAAAAAGCAAGACGACCCTAGTTTAGTGGGAATATACACAGCGGCTATCAATAATTGAAGAGAAAAAGTGACCATTTCACCCATACATTTTTTAAAATGAAATAGAAGCGATGACAATGTAACATTTAAATATTTCCTGTGTGGTTACAGGATAATGATTAAGTTCATTTAGACTTTAAGCCATTTTACACAGAAGAATAATTTTTGCAGATTGCAATGCAAATAATTATACATTACTTTTTGATACTCTTCATTACCACAGATCAGGGAAAACATATGGTATTTGTTTTTTGGAACTGGCTTATTTCACTAAGTATAATGGTTTCCAGGTACATCCAATTTATTGTGAAAGACAGAATTCCATTTTTTACAGCTGAGTAATATTCCAAAGTGTATGTATTCCACATTTTCTTTGTCCAGTCACCACTTGATGGACACCTGGGTTGATTCCATATCTGAGCTGTTGGAAATTGAGCTGTAATAAACTTGGATGTACAGATAACTCTTTCATATGCTGATTTTACTTTGTTTGGGTAAATTCCCAGGGGTGGGATAACTGGGTCATATGACATATCTTTTTTCAGCTGTCTGAGGAATCGCCATACTGTCTTCCACAATGGCTGTATTAGTTTGCATTCCCACCAACAGTAGATTAGAGAACCTTAAAAAAAAAAAGGTTAATTTATTTGAAAGCAGAGTGACACAGAAAGGGAGAGATTGTCCATTTGCTGGTACATTCTCTCAATGACCATAATAGCTGAGAATGGGCCAGGCTGAAGCCAGGAGCCAGGAGCTCCATCTGACTCTCGTACGTGGTTGGCAGGGGCTGAAGTACTTGGGCCATCATCTGCTTTCTCAGTACAATATCAGGGTGTTGGTGGATGGAAGTGGAGCAGCTGGGACCTGACCTGTCACTCTATGGGATGGCAAGGTTGCAAACAGAAGCTCAACCAGGTGTGCCACACAGGCCCCATATACATGTTTTCACTTGACAATGTCAAAGTACCTCATCTGTGCCAGATCCCACTCAAGTCCCTAGAGATAGAGCAGGAAACAACTCCTTGCTTTCCTAGAGCTTAATTTTTATGGAGATGCAGGGTTAAACAATGCGTAAGTAAAATAGATAACATGTTAGGTAGGTAAATGCTAAATTGTCCTAATTTTAAGTGACATATTAACAAAGCCCTGTGGCATACTGGATTCCTGGATTTAAAAAATGAGTAAATGACAGAAGAAGGCTCGTTTTCTCTGGGAGATGGTGATACTGTTCTCCAAGACAGGGAGATGATCCAGTAACACCCGTGTTTCCTATTGAAATAGTTGAATGGGTTGCAGGCCTTTTTATTCAAACCATGCTCCTTATGCAAAAGCATGCTTTCCAAGAATATTTAGAAAAATATACACTAGGAATTACAAGAAGCAAGGATGGACTGTGACTGAAGATCCAGGCCAGGAGGGCAGGTAAAACATCTGTGTGCGGTATAGGCACATAAGTTCCTCCTCCACTGCATGGCCCTGTTGTCGTTTTGTCGACAGAGGCTTCCAGCACAGCTCTCCCTAGGCCTAGCTGTCTTTAGAAAATCGGAATTACATCATTGCTGAGAGACACAAACCCATCTTAATCCGCATTTTAATTCCACTTTCACAGTGTGTTACAAAGAACGATACAACGATCTAGAAAAGTATGTGTGTTCTCTAAAGGATAACGATTTTGTCATTGCACACTACCACCCGTGCGCTGCACTCACAGTCAACCATGTAAGTACAAAAGCACTTTGGAAAAGGAGGCGTCAAGGTGGTTAAAATCTGCATATGGGACGGAGATCAATGGTTTTGCATTTTCTGCTTTTCAGATAGAGAAGTATGGAGTCCCTGCAGACCTTCAGTTTTCTCCTCGGGAAAGCATACTTCTGTATGATGCTATGGTACACATTTGGCCAGAACGGTCAAGAATGCAGGTGTGTGTATGAAAGTAAACACTAGGAACTGTTTCTCTCTCTGTGTGTGCGTAAATACGTATAATACACTTACATATGTATATATATTTCAAAAATGAGAGGAAATGGAGTTGTAAGTTTGTTTTGGTGCAAAGTAATTTTGAAATTCATGCAGTTTGTTTCACAATACACATTTCCATGAACTTTTTGGAGATTTCTCGTGTGTGTGTGTGTGTGTGCATTTCGTGTATGTCTGTGTATGTGGTGTTTGTGTGCATGCATATTTGCATGTGATGTGTGTATGTGTGTGTGTGAATGTGGTATATGTATGTGTGTGAACGTGATGTATGTGTATGTGTGAATGTGGTGCATGTGCATGTGTGTGTGTACGTGGTGTGTGTGTTCATGGTATGTGTGTATCTGTATGTTGTGTGTGGTGTATGCGTGTATGTGCATGTGGTGTATGTATGTGTATGGTGATATGCGTGTCTGCATGTGTGTTGTGCTTGTGGTGTATGTGTGTATATTGTATATGTGTGCATATGTGTCTGTGAATGGTATGTGTGTGTATGTGTGTGTCTGTGCATGTGGGGTGTGTGTGTATTTGTGGGTATTCCTTAGCTGATATCTCTAGTCCTGTGGCATGATAGTCCATTAAGAATGAACAAATTAGATAATGGTGTTACTCTGATGTAGATGAAGGCGTGGTATTCCATAGTTCAAAGCAGAAACTTCAGAGACTCATTTCTCTAGATTTAGAAAAATTAGTTAAAAGAGCTAATAATGCCTATTTTGTAGCATTGTTATTAACATAAGCCAAATAATTAAAAGTTCTTAGAATAATGCTTTGCTACAGTAAGAATGATATGTCTTTTTTTTTTTTTTTTGATGGGTTTTGTCCCTGCCTGTAACTGAATGTCAAGCTGAGAAGTTTTTTTCCTCCCCCAAAACTGTGCTTAAAAACTCCAGTGCCACGGGCCCCTTCTGGTTTGCCTCTCTTGGGGCCCCCTCCATGCCACTCTGGCTCTAATAAATCTTGCTTTTTTTTTTTTTTTTTTTTGACAGGCAGAGTGGACAGTGAGAGAGAGAGACAGAGAGAAAGGTCTTCCTTTGCCGTTGGTTCACCCTCCAATGGCCTCCGTGGCTGGCGCACTGCGGCAGGCGCACCGCGCTGATCTGATGGCAGGAGCCAGGTACTTATCCTGGTCTCCCATGGGGTGCAGGGCCCAAGCACCTGGGCCATCCTCCGCTGCACTCCCTGGCCACAGCAGAGAGCTGGCCTGGAAGAGGGGCAACCGGGACAGAATCCAGCACCCCAACCGGGACTAGAACCTGGTGTGCCGGCGCCCCAAGGCGGAGGATTAGCCTAGTGAGCCGTGGCGCCGGCCTTAAATCTTGCTTTTTAAATACTTAAAAACATTATGTGTTCAACTCCTCATGTAGTTAACGCTGTTCATAAACATGGATGCAGTGAACTGAGAGATTTGCCTCATAACCGTGCATGTGGCAAACTTTAGACCAGGTGATAACTGTATTTTCTTTGGTATTTGTGCTTCTTCATTTTCAAGGAGTTAGAACCTGAAGAATTCAGCTGCTTCAAAAATAAAGTAGTCATCATGAGGACAGATGCCAAGAAATATGAAGAGGAACTGAAAAAGGAACTGCTTAGTTGGATGCAGCTGGACCCAGGCAAGGTTGTGACAGACATTTAGGATTTTTTATTTAATATAAAATGAATCTGATTTATTCAGTTATGGTAAAGAAAATCCCCATAGGGCTCTTTAGTATTTGAATATGGAAATCCTATTACTGTACTTTGCCATTCTACCTTAAATTTAGCCAGCTAGGTAAAGAAAGATGTAGAGAATCATTACTTTAGTTCCATCCGGGACAGCCCACACCTGCTACTACTATATCCTCTTTGAATGTGCACCTCAGTCAGTAAAACTCACTGGGACAGGCCACACTGATCTGCAAATGTGAAAACCACCTAATGTCCCAAATCATTATTAAATTCATGAGGGGTTCAACCCTGGCTGCTTATCAGGAATCATCTAGGAAGCCCAATCTCATCTAGAGATTCTGAGCTGATTGACCTCCAGTGGACTGGGGCACTGGAATTTTAAAACAACCTCCTATGTAATTTTTAGAAAAAGATTTATTTATTTATTTATTTGAAAGAGTTAAGCAGACAGAGGAGAGAGAGAGAAAGAGAGAGAGAGAGAGAGAGAAATATCTTCCATCTGCTGTTTCAATCCCCGCAACTGCCGTAATGGCAGGAGCTGGCTGATCTGAAGCCAGGAGCCAGGGTCTCCCATGTGGGCACAGGGGCCCATGCACTTGGGCCATCTTCCAGTGCTTTCCCAGGCCGTAAACAAAACAGCCAGGACACGGACCTGCGCCCGTATTGGATGCTGGTGCCATAGGAGGAGGCTTAACCTTCTATGCCACAGTGCCAGCGCCCACCCTACTGAATCTATTACCTTTTCTCTGGTAACTTATACCACGTAAAAATTGTAGCTTAAAAAATAATGAAATATCCTATTAAAATACTATTTGTAGACCATACGTGTATATGTGATATCTATAGATAAGAAAAACTATTTCAGATATTCTTGCCATTAAATGTTGAAGTCATCCTTCTGTAGCCTATATTTACTGATAATGATCAGCATTAAGTCATGATAATCCTTTCAGTAAGCACACACCACAGTATTACATGAACTTGATCACAGTAGTGTAGAACCATGTCATTCAAGTTTTCTGAGGTTTTCATTGTATTTAAATGCTTAGTATATGACTGGTTGAAATCCTAACTTTGTACTTACATTGTCATTCTGAATATACTGTTCAACAGCAACTTGCTTTTCACCCTCAAATATCTGTGCATTCTGTTGCCTTCCTTTGCGGTCGTCAGTACCTTATCTGCCTTTTATTTGTGATAACTTTATTCAGGTGAATCAGTTACTGCAGTACCTTAAGCCTCAAACTTTTGACAGTGCAAGAATTGAAAAGGAACGAATGCTTCCTTGTTTTGTGGAAAAACTTAAAGAAATGGATAGGCTACCAGCAATATTTTTTTCGTAAGTAATTATTTTCTGTGGAAAGCATTATACATTGATTTATATGAATTTGCAGACCATTGAAAAGGAAGAACTTATAATCTGACATATCTTAGAATTTGAGGAATTTGTGAGCATATTGAAGTTATATTTTCTTTTTAAATTTTTAGAATATAGGGAACAGATTTCATGCATTTTATAGATGTACTTTTTTTTTTTTTTTTTTTTTTTTGACAGGCAGAGTGGGCAGTGAGAGAGAGAGACAGAGAGAAAGGTCTTCCTTTTGCCATTGGTTCACCCTCCAATGGCCGCTGGGGCTGGCACACTGCTGGCTGGCGCACCGCGGCCGGCGCACCGCGCTGATCCGATGGCAGGAGCCAGGTACTTATCCTGGTCTCCCATGGGGTGCAGGGCCCAAGCACTTGGGCCATCCTCCACTGCACTCCCTGGCCACAGCAGAGAGCTGGCCTGGAAGAAGGGCAACCGGGACAGAATCCAGCGCCCCGACCGGGACTAGAACCCGGTGTGCCGGCGCCGCAAGGCGGAGGATTAGCCTAGTGAGCCGCTGGCACCGGCTATAGATGTACTTCTAAGATAAGCACAGTTCCCTCTCTACCTCCCTCAATCCACCTTTCTCCTTTCCTTAATTTTCCTTTAATTTTTGCAATAACATATTTTCTGTTTTAAAAAAGATTTATTTTATTTATTTGAAAGACAGAGTTACAGAGAGAGGTAGAGACACAGAGAGAAGTCTTCTATCCACTGGTTCACTCCCCAGATGGCCACAATGGCCAGAGCTGCACTGATCCGAAGCCAGGAGCCAGGAGTTTCCTCCAGGTCTCCCAGGTGGGCGCAGGGGCCCAAGAGCTTGGGCCATCTTGTACTGCTTTCCTAGGCCACAGCAGAGAGCTGGATGGAAGAGGAGCAGCCGGGACTCGAACCGGCACCCATATGGGATGCCAACGCTTCAGGCCAGGGCTTTAACCTGCTGTGCCACGGCGTCAGCCCCTGCAATAACATATTTTCAATCTATTTTATGACCACAGGATTAACACACCACTAACCATGATGTTCAACAAGTAAAAAGTAGGAAGACCAGTGTTCCACAGGAATATAGAAAAGGGTTATAAACAATAATCAAATCATAAGGTATCAGTTTCATTCTGATATGTTATTTTTGTATCTATATCAACTAGCACATATAAGAGATATTTTCTATAGCAACTTGGATATAATACAACAGAAACAAACACTCTCTTACTGAATTTTATTTGAAAATCTAATTGTATGGCTTGGTAGAGTGGAATTTCCTGGGCCATAAGTTAATAGAAAGTTCAACATATTTGTAGAATCAGATATGGTAAAAAGAGTAATGTGTATTTGGCAAAACAGAGTACATACATTAACATACACCTATATACACATATGATGGCATATTGAGTGTTTAGTCTGCCATTTTTCTTTTGTGAAGTTTTATTATATATAAGCTCTCTTTAAGTGGAAAGAAAAGACCTTGAAGAATATTTATGACAATCACTTCAAAGAATTAAAAGAAAAATTAGATAGGGCCTGGTAGCAAGATGATTTAATTAGCAATCATGTTTTCATCAGCTCTTTGTGGGAGGTTTAATTTATGCATATTGTGTATATGTGGGCACTCACCGACATAGAGTATATATATACATATATACTATATATATAAAACTTCAAAATTGGAAGGAAAATATGAGGCCAAATTGTCAATTCTTTAAATGTCTGTATAGGAATGTGCATTGATCTTGTAATAAGTCTGAAAATTTTTGAGAAAAGTGAAGAGAAAAAGGTTAAGCCAAATATGAGGAAGTACAAAAGTACTCCTAGAAATCCAATTCCTAACTCAAACTTCATGTCACAGGTGAAAAGGAACTAACTAGTAACAATGACAAGTAGGTGCTGGTCTGTTCTTTACAAAGATTCAGCAGTCTTAATATGGGAACTGTGTCAAATGAGAAAAGAGCAGTTTTTTTTTTTTTTCCCTAGTAAAGAGCCTTTACCTAACTACTCTTACCATAGTATCAAAATTCACCTTTGTAACTAACTCTGATCTTCCCTTCCATTCACATGAACTCTGATTTAGGAGTTAAATGGGCAAAAATGAATGAATGACAGAGATTGATGTTACCCAAACAAAGGTTCCTACATCCAAAAATTGTCTTTATTAATGAATGCAGGGCTGGACTGGAATGAGCATGCAGTTATCCAGTGTTCTCACATACTTTACTTTAGATTCAACATTCACTCAGTGGAAAGGTCAGCTTCACGCCTTCTTACTAATATGTTGATGAGACAATATACTCGTAGTCACAACTCTGAAGGAGAGAAGAATTTAAACAGGAAACTGGAGAAAGCAATTAAGTCTCAAAGGAGAATGTACGCTGCGTGAGTATTTCTACTGGAATTGTGGAATTCATTGTGAACTGAAACCTTTAAGTGTGCAATTATTTATATAATTAAAATCATATTTCACTGCTTTATGTTTTTATGATACACCAACTTAATTTAATTAGAACATCATTTTGGGGGACTTATGTGGGAGAAGATTATTGAGTATTTCAGTAATTGTACAATGTTTTACAGTAACTTTCTTCAGTTGATTAGCTGATTTCTAACATTTTCTTAGGTCCACAAAGTTTAAGTTTGTGATTAACAACCTAATCATATATTTAAAGTCCCACAACACTCAGTACCATTATAGGGATCAAGCTTCATTATGAGTTCTGGGACAAAATATATTCAAATGATAGCAGATCCAAAAGCTTCCTACTCACTTATTATTTCATTCTTTTTGTTGGTGTTTCTTTAACTAGATAATTGAAATGGTCTGTCTTTGAATTCGTTGATTCTTTCTTTCACTGGATTAAGTTTGCTATGGAAACTCTTGAATTTTTTGTTTCGATGATTTTGTTCTTTGTGGGGAGCAAACCGGACTAGACTGAGTTACTGGAATTAAGACTTATTCTATGCATCTGCTCTCCCACAATATGGCGATGGGAGAGGAGTAAACAGCTTCCGCACAGCTGCCTCCAGTTCAACCAATAAACTGTAGGACTTGCTCCTGATTGGAGAGCAGCGTACTCGGCGTGTGGGCAGCCGAGTTGGGATTGGCGGAGGAGGACTATAAAGGAGGAGAGAGACGGCATGCACCGGGGAACATCTAAGGGGAACATCTAGCTGAAGGAACACCCGTGCAGCCCCCAAGAGAAAGCCGGTCGGCGGTGTGCCGCTCCCCTGCGGAAGTGGGGAATGTGGCCAGGGGGAACTGCCCTTCCACGGAGGTGGAAGGGATAGTAGCCAACCCGGGAAGAACCAGCAGCAAACCCGGGGAGGGCCGAGCAGACAAAAGAACAGCGCAGGGTCCTGTGTCATTCCTCCACGAAGAGGGGGAGCGACAGTTCTTCAGCTTCAGAATTCTTGTTTATCTATCTTTGTTGAACCCTCATTTTGTTCATGTATTATTTTGCTGATTTTTAAAATATTTTCTTTCTATGTTCTCTTATATATTGCTCACTAAACTTCTTTAGGATGATTATCTTGAATTCTTTGTTAGGCAGTTCATAGATCTCCATTTCTTCTGTTTTAAAAAGATCTATTTATTTATTTGAAAGACAAAATTGGGGGGGGGGGGAGAGAATCTTTCATCTGCTGGTTTATTCCACAAAGAGCTGCAACAGTTGTAGCTGGGCCAGTCTGAAATCAGGAGCCGGAAGATTCTTCGGGGTCTCCCATGGGTGTGCAGGGGCTCAAGAACTTGGGCCATCTTCCACTGCTTTCCCAGGTGTGTTAGGGAGCTGGAGTGGAAGTGGAGCAGCCGGGACTTAAACCGGTGTCCATATGGGATGCTGGTACTACAGGCAGTGGCTTTACCCACTGTGCCATAGTGCCAGCCCTAGATCTCCATTTCTTTCTTTTTTTAAAAGATTTATTTATTTATTTGAAAGTCAGAGTTACACAGAAGAGAGGCAGAGAGAGAGAGAGAGGGAGAGGGGCCCTCCATCCGATGTTCACTCCTCAATCGGCCACAATGGCCAGAGCTGCACTGATCCAGAGCCAGGAGCCCCCTCAGGGTCTCCCACACACATGTAGGGGCCCAAGGCCTTGTGCCATCCTCCACTGCTTTCTCAGGCATAGCAGGATTGGAAATAGAGCAGCCGGGCCTCGAACCGGCTCCCACATGGGATGCCGGCACTTTAGGCCAGGGCGTTAACCCGCTGAGCCACAGTGCCAGCCCCTAGATCTCCATTTCTTTAAGCTTCGTTATTGGAATCTTATTTTATTCCTTTGGTGATGTCATGTTTCCCTGATTCTTTGATTCTGGTACCTGCATGTTGCTCTCTGTGCATTTGAAGAAGCAATCATTTCTTCCAATCTTTATAAACTGGCTTTGGCAGTTTTACCAGTTGGCTTGAATGGAGGTTTTAGATGGGCCAGTTAGTGGAGCTTATGGGCTTACTGGCTTGCCAAGTCTGGCGACAGACCTGTTGCTGGAATCCACAGGTGAGCAGGCCTCATACCAGAATCTGTAGTCAAGCAGGACCAAGAATGGTTTTTCTGTTTTCTGTTAAGTAGGTGTCAATGCATATGTTAAAAATAACAGATGGTAAGCAATGAGAATTGAAGTAATTAAGGCCTGGTGAATATCCTTTAATAAGGGCAATCATATTTTGGGTTCAAATTACCAGGCATTCTTTTATGCTGGCACTTACAGACACAATTTCAAATGTTGAAAAGAAGAGGGCATGTTATAATCAATATTCACGACGTTCCTGATTTTTTATATTCAGTTATTTACATTCAAATTCAACTGCTCGAATTCAGAGATTGATTTTATGGGACGCTGAAATAAAGGAAATAAAGAAGAGTCTTAAAAAGAGTAAAGAAGTTCCTCCGGACTGTACTTATGTTGATCGAGCAGGTGTGGATAGCAAGGTAAGAGACGAGAACAGGGGGCATGCCTAGGTGGATGGATTCATTTGCTAAGGCTTCTGCACCAGGGTACCACGTGTTAGGAATTTATTTCTTAACAGTTATGCCTGCTGGAAGTCTGGCACCCAGTAGGATTACTTCCTACTGAGGCTTCAGAGGGCAGGGTCTGCTCCAGGTCTCTCTCCAGGGCTTACATGCATTACTTTAGAGGGCTCATGAAAAACAGAATTAAAAAATAAGTTTATTTTATGCAAAAGAATTTTGAAATCTGCCCACACGAGGCATCTTCCCAGAGGCCATGGAGAATACATGTTATGAGAAAGCTCTGCGTGAATTTCTAAAGTTTTTTGCACTAGAATAAACTTAGTTTTTCGATTTGATTTTTCCATGAACTTGTTGCAGTCCTCTTGTATAATTGGGTACCTTCTCCCTGCTGTCTGTTACCACTACATCGTGTTTCCTCTGTATGTGTCTGTCCGAAATTCCTCTTACAAAGGTAGTAGTCATATTGGATTGCAGCTCACTGTAATGATTTTACTTTTAACTTAATTGTATCAAGTACTTCAAAGTTCAGTTTTGGTGGTGCACAATCTGGCGCATAACCTTATATGTGTGTGTGTGTGTCTATACTGTACTATGCAGTTTATAAAACACAACCTATTTCATCTAAATTGATCTTAATGTATGGGAAACTGGAGTTGGAGGCTGAAGAAGTTAAGATTATATATGTAAGCTTACACAGCTATTAAAAGTGGTTCAAAGATTCATGACGAGGTATAGCAAGTGCAGGCTTTTTCTTTGTGCAGTCGACTGCATCTGTTAAAGTTAATGATAATCTTTTATGTAATAGAAATAGAAATAGAAAAGGTAAAAGTAATCACCAAGAGTCACCCTCCAGTAAGTAAAGAATTCAACAAGCAGTCAGCAAAAAACCCCACTGTTCCTGAAGAGTATAGACAAGGGCCATGAGCAATAATCGAATCTTGTGACTATAAAGTGAATTCAAAGTATATCATTGTAGAAATTAAAAGAAAATAAGAAAGGAAGGAGGAAGTAGATGGGAGCAAGGGAGGGAACAAAGGAGGGTGGGAAGTATCATCATGATATTTTAAAAAAATATTTATTATTTTGAAAGGCAGAATTACACGGATATACACACACACACACACACACACATCTTCCATCTGCTGGTTCACTCCCCAAGTTGCCACATTGGCCAAGACTGGGCCAGGCTGAAGCCAGGAGCCAGGAGCCAGGAGCTTCTCCTAGGTTTCCCACATGGTTGCAGAGATCCAAGCACTTTGGCCATCCTCCACTGCTTTCCCAGGCACATTAGTAGAGGACTGGATAGAAAGTGGAGCAGCTGGGACTCGAACTGGTGTCCATATAGGATGCTGGCACTACAGGCAGTAGCTTTACCCGCTGTACCACAGTGGCGGCCCCATAATTATGTTCTTAAAACTGTATATATAAAATACATGAGATTTGTTCTCCTTATAGCAAATAAAAAATTTAAGAAAAAGAAAAGGTAAATGTTAAATCTCTTTTCTGAGCTAATGCAGTGACTTGCTACCAAGAAATCAAAATCAGATTTGTCTTTCATTTGAAAACTTCTCCCGTTTTCTGTGCTTCATGTCACCAAATCATCCACCACATGCCCAGTTTTACAAACTAGAAACGGTTGCCTTCTCCTCCACTGCTGTGTGTCTCACTCAGAAACTAAGCCCAGAACACTGAGAGATATGCCAGATAACGGGTGTGCATCTGTTGGTTGGTTGACCTACTAGACCATGTAGTCAGATCAATGGTTATTACTTGTGTATGTTTGCTTTTTTCTTTTAGTGATGGTGCAGGTTGGAAAGGGGGAGGGAAGCAGAATAAAAGTAAAAAAGAGGGTGGGAAAGAGAAGAAAGAAAGAAAAAGAGCAATAGTGACTGACAGAGGTAGAAACTGTTCAGGAGCAGACAGGGAGTTTCAGAGAAGGGGCTGCAGGACAGAGATGGGGAGAGAGTGTGGAGAGAGAGACAGGAAGTGAGAAACACAAAGGTGCCAGCCTGGAAGCACAGGGAGACACAGACAGACACGGGCAGACAGTGGTCAGATGTGATTGGAGTGAACAGCGGTTAGTTAGTTTCAAGTCAGCAGCAAAAATAGAGCACAAGGCAGTTGATCATCAGACTCCGCTGAGAGCTGTGTCGGGGCCAGGGATGGATTTTGCTACTTGCCTGGAGGGACGCTGGGCCTGCATGGAGCATCTTCCTCTTGGAATTCTTACTGTGTTGCTTCAGTGTTTCCTCATTACCCCAGGATGAGCTGGAGCTGCCTCCAGCATTGTGGGAATGATGTCAGCAGGTGTATGAGGGAAAATTGGGCACATGGCTGCTGTGAGGAAGGCATGTGAAGAAAGGATCAGTGCATTTGAGGTTGGGCTGCATTCTACTTTCTCAGGTCTTATGCATGAATGCCACTTAGGACAGAACTGCTCTGTTTATGAACTTGAGGTTCTAGCCTAAAACACAACTGCTCTTCCCAGAAATGCATCTAACTCTGCCTGCTAAAGCCTTCTAACACATAAAATCAGGCTTCAGTCAAAGGACATATGCCTTCATTTGATTTTGCAAACTGTGTGTGTGTTTCAGACTTTCAGGAAGATTGTATCCAGGCTGAGATGGACAAGAGGAGGCTCTGGTCTGATCAGGCTGTTACAGCGGGGCATTGGCTACCATCATGGTTTAATGGAGTACAAACAGAGACAAGTTGTTGAGACCCTTTTCAGACTGAAGCACGTCAAGGTAGATGAACTCACTACAAAGCACAGCTTTCACTTTAATTGGGTAGCTGCAGTGGCTATGGGACGGAAGATGCTCTATCTAGCTCTCTCTCTCAATCCCTGCACCTGGGGAGATGCGCCACCTACATTTATCATATTTCCTTCCATACATTTTTACATAGTTAATATGATAATGTGTACCCAATTTGGGATCTTGTCTGCCTTGCCTAATATTATTTTAATAATTAGCATGAGGTAATAAACATGTGTGCAACAGAAAATACACATATTTAATTTACTTAAGCATTATACTGTTAATTTTCTTTCAACATAGACAATCATTTTTTAAAAGATTTATTTATGTATTTGAAAGAGTTACAGAGAGAGAGAGAGAGAGAGAGAGATCTTCCATCTGCTGGTTCACTCCCCAAGTGGCTGTAATGGCTGGAGTTGGGACGATCTGAAGCCAGGAGCCCGGAGCTTCTTCCAGGTCTCCCACTGTGGTGGGTGCAGGAGCCCAAGTGCTTGGGCCATTTTCTGCTGCTTTCCGAGGCCATAGCAGAGTTGGATTGGAAGTGGAGCAGCCAGGACTTGAACTGGCGCCCATATGGGATGCTAGCACTGCAGGCAGTGGCTTTACCCTACTGCACCACAGTATTGGCCCCATCAATCATCATTTTAATTATTTATTTAGAATTGATTGATTCTGCTAAGTGAAAGAAATGTCTCAGAAGGAAAAGGTAGCAGGCTCTGGAAATACATAGCCAAATTTCTTTCCAGGATGACTCTTTTTAACTTCATTTAGATTTTGAGTATTAGGGTTAAAAACTGAAGTTGTTATGATGGTACAGAGAATATCTCATGCCACCCAATTTCTCCTTTTATTAACATCTTACACTATTACAACATATTATTGCCACAGATGAATCCATATTGTTACATTTTTATTAAATAAAATCCATTCTTTTTTTGAAGATGTATTTACTTATTTTAAAGACAGTTACACACACACACACACACACACACACACGGGGGGGGGTGGAATCTTCCCTCTATTGATTCGCTCCCCAAATGACCACAATGGCCACAGTGGGCCAGAATGAAGCCCGGAACCAGGAACTCCATCTGGTCTCCCACATGGGTGTCAAGGGCCCAAGTACTTGGCCATTTTCCACTGTTTTCCCAGGCACTTTAGCAGGGGGCTGGGTAGGCAATGAAACAGCCAGAGCTCAAACTTGCTCTCCTATGGGATGCAGGCACCTCAGGTGGCAGCTTAACCTGCTGAGCTACAGTCCCAGCCCCGAAAGTCCATTCTTTGTTCAGATAGCCCAATCATTCCCCAGTGATCCAGAAAGATAACTGTATAAACTGCAGTGTGAAAATTAAGAGTAAATTAACGGGGTAAAGGAGAACTAATAATGGAAATAAGAAAGTTTATTTATTTATTTATTTTTAAAGAATTATTTATTCATTTGAAAGTCGGGGTTACACAGAGAGAGAAGGAGAGGCAGAGAGAGAGAGGTCTTCCATCTGCTGGTTCACTCCCCAGTTGGCCGCACTGGCTGGAGCTTCGCTTATTGAAGCCAGGAGCCAGGAGCTTCTTCCTGGTCTCTCACGTGGGTGCAGGGGCCCAAGTGCTTGGGCCATCTTGTACTGCTTTCCCAGGCCATAGCAGAGAGCTGGATTGGAAGAGGAGCAGCCGGGACTCGAACCGGCGCCCATATGGGGTGCCAGCACTGCAGGCGGCAGCTTTATCCGCTATGCCACAGCGCCAGCCCCAGAAAATTTATTTATTTGCTAGGTAAATAAAATGCTGTATAGACAAACTTCTGTGATGCAGCTAAGCTAGTAGTTGGAGGAAAATGTATAACCTAACTATGTTTATTTTCAAGAGAAGAAAAGGCTACATGAGAAACAAAAATGTATCTGAGCAACCTTAGGTAGGTTTGAGATAAGACAGTTTCCAGCAGTAGATTGACCTTTCTCTAAGAAATGTGAACCCCTCGGTATCTGCAGGGGACTGATTCTAGGACTTGCACAGATACCAAAATCCATCAGTGCTCTAGTCTTTTATATAAGACAGCATAGCTTTGGCATAGAACCAATGCATATCCTCTGTGTCTCTAGGTTACTTACATTACTTAGTGCAGTGTATTGTATGTAAGTAGTTGCTACAGTATATTATTTAGAAAATAATGACAGGAAAAAAAAAGACTGTAAGTGTTCAGTACACTTTTTTGTCCAAATATTTCCAGTCTTTGGTTGGTTGAATTCACAGATACAGAACTCAGGGACATGGAACCCAGTGCTTTTTCCTTCCACATTAAAACAGCCAGAATACGTCAGCAAGTGCTTATCAACTCTCTCTCTCTCTCTCACACACACACATGCACGCACACACACACGTGCACACACATGCATGTACAGCCCACATCTCTCCACTAGGAATATTTCCTGTTCAATTATGTCATAATATGTTGTCTAGAATAATCTAAAAGCATTCTGTCAGACTTCTACTTTTGGTAATCACCTCCTACAATTATTTCCTCCCAGAGCTGCCAAATCGATCTTGTAAATATTAATTATATCATATTACCTTTCTTTCTTTTTACAATCTACGTCTTAGAATGGTTTTGTCATGCTTATTATGACTTGCTTCCTGCTTAGTCTGACTTTGTATCATTTACTATTTTCTGTTCTTGGAAATCTTTTAACGTGAAAATAAACTCCTTGTATAACATATTGCTCTTATTCATGCCAAACACACACAGACAGTAACACTGAAGGCTTACTGAATGGCTTTGATTTTGTATCATTTTGTTACCTGGAAAATGCTGTATAATTGTAATGTTCAGCAAGAATATGAGAATGAATGAACATCCAAGTGGGATGTAGAGCTGTCTATTCCAAAAGCAAGCATAGAGTTTGATGTTTTGCAATACTGTCTTAACACTGCACTTTTACTCAAGAAAAATAATGTAAGGGGATTTAATTTGGTCAATACTTACTACGTATGCATCTGTGTATGCTACATTAAATATGTTTTCCCAATTTTTTATTTTTTTGCTTTCCATCATAGGTAGTGACAGCTACATCATCCCTTGCTTTGGGAATTAATATGCCCTGTAAAACCGTTGTTTTTACAGAAGACTCTGTTTATTTGGATGCTCTGAACTTTCGACAGGTATTTATAATACATGACTTCTGTTACGGTTCTATATACAGGTATCTGAAATGCTCATTCAGTAGGCCAGGAAAAGCCATTTGTTCTGAAATATTTGGTGGCCATAAAAATATTTGAAACTGAGTTTTTATATATGTATATTAATGAATATGATTACACTTAAAAAACTTGTAAAATATATTGTCAGTAGCTTAGTTTTCCTGAAGATATTCTCAATTTGATAAATATTCTTGAACATAAACAAAAATAATATTGGAGGGAAGTAACTACATCTTTGAGCACCCAATTCATGCCAACCACCAATAATTATATGTTAAGTGTCTATAAGGTTTTGATTTTAGGCTCGTTTCTGGAACTACGTTGGTAAATCAGAAATTGTGCCTGCTTTAAAGGCCATGATTTTAATTTAATTTTATAGGCAGAGAGAGAGAAACGAGAGAGGAAGGAAAAAAGAGACAAAGAGGTTTCCTACCCACTGGTTCAAGCCTCAGACACCTACAGTGGCTAGGGTTAGGCCAGGCTGAAGTCAGGAGTCAGTAACTCAGTCCGGATTTCCAGTGTGAATGATAGGAACCTGACTACTTGAGCTGCCACCTGCTGCCTTCCAGGAAGCTGGGAAGGGGACCAGAGCTGGTGTTTGAACCCAGGCATTCCAATCTAGGTGTCAGGCATCCCAAGCATCCTACACCAAATGCCTTCCCTAAGGTCATGATCTTTATTTGTTTATTTAAAGATTTATTTACTTATTTGAAAGACAGAGTTATAGACAGAGAGAGGTGGGGGGGGGTCTTTCATCGTTTGGTTCACTCCCCAAATGGACCCAAAGGCTGGAGCTAGGCCAATCTGAAGCCAGGCGCTAGGAGCTTCTTCCACATTTCCAACATGGGTGCAGGGACCCCAGCACTTGAGCCATCTTCCAGTGCCTTCTCAGGCCATGAGCAGGGAGCTGGATCTGAAGGGAAGCAGCCGGGACTCCAAGTGGTGCCCATATGGGATGCTGGCACTGTAGGCGGCCCAACCTAGTTAAACCACAGCACCGACCCCAGATCATGATCTCTAAACACAGGAGCTGGTACTCCATTTATTTTTTTAAAAAGAGGCAATACTGTCTTAACACTGGACTTTAAAATGTATCTATAAAAATATATCTATAAAATAAAATAATTCTGCAAGATTTGACAACATCAATATACCAAGAAACAAAAAACTCATTGAAGATTTATTTTCAAATGTTTAATGTTCCACATGGTATAGGTAAGTGAGACATTATTTACAGTGCCAGGATTTGAACTTGCATAAGTTTTGTGGTCATCTCTTTAGATGTCTGGGCGTGCAGGAAGGCGTGGAGAAGATCTTATAGGAAGTGTGATCTTCTATGATATTCCATTACCCAAGATAGACCGGCTCTTGAAGTCTGATGTGCCCAAGCTGAAGGGTCAGTTTCCCCTAAACATCACCTTGGTTCTCAGACTCATGCTGTTGGTTGCCAAAGCAGATGACAAAGAGGATGCCAAAGCAAAGGTACAGTCTCTACCCTCTCTAACAGACATAATCATCTTAGCTCAAGTCTAAAGTAAGCCTCGCCTGTTAGGTATCTTGGAGGGAATAAAATCACAATGTGCAGTTCGCAAACTCTTAGCAACATTTGATTCTTGTCTTAGTGCCTTTCCTTCACACAAGAACATGGTGGTAACTTCTGTACACGTGACAAATTAAGTCCATGATTATAAATACACTCTGCATATATGAGAAATTTTTTCAATAAATATATCTAGCCTAGAACATTTTAAAAGTAAATTTTCAAAGAATTAATGGTTGAAAATGTACTAAATACTGGAATGTTCCTAACTCTTACTTTTATATATTCATAAGCTTACATTTATTTCTCAGTGGTTATGAGTGAAGTTGTCATTGTTCATCTCTCCCAGTAAATTTTTCATCCTATTATGTTTTATTCATACATAGAGAATGTAAAACTTATGGCATATCTGTAATAATTATTTAGAGTATATAATATAACAAAGTCATTAGTGATATCTCAAACTTTATAGCTAGCCTGTCTAACTTTGGTGTTTTGACATGTGTGCATAGGCATTGTCGCTGCTCCAGTATTCCTTGATGTCCTTCAAGCGACCAAAGGTCAAGTGCATGTTAAAATTTTACTTCATATATTCTTTGCAATTCTTGATCAGAGAGGTAAGATTTAAACCTGTTTTCACTAAAGTGTTCGTACATGTATTTAACTTTACTACTGAAATCTCCTTACTTGATGACTTACCTGTTGGGTATTTCTGAGATCTAGGGACTGAGGCTAAATTGTTAAATTGATTCACAGGGATACCTGAATCAAGAATGTGTTCCCGTTGGATATGCTGGCCTTGTGTCCCACCTGCACTACCACGAACCTTCAAACTTTGCTTTAGTAAGCATGCTGGTGAAAGGTCTGTTTCACAAGCTGTGTGTTCCAGTCATCGTAGATGGTGAGCAGCTATCCTTTTCCCAACTCCTACCCCTTACACTGTACATGTACACACACTGACATCCCGTACGACTGCTTCACATATACCTGCACGTTCCCCAGAACTACATTTGCTTTTGATGGTGTGTCATCTTTAAAAGATTGAGAGGGAGGGAGGGACAGGGGGAAGAAGGGGGAGAGACAGGGAAGGAGGGAAGAAGGGAAAGATGGGGAGAGAGGGGGGGAGGAGGGAAAAGAGAGAGAGAGGATGAATGAATGAATGAATGAGCGAGTAGACCAAGAGAAATCTTCCACTGATTTGCTTTCCGATGTCCACAGTAGCTGGTCCTGGGCCAGGTCAAAGTTGGGAGCTGGAAACTCAATCCATGTCTCTCATGTGGGTGGGAAGAACCCAGTCAATCACTTGCGCCATCATCTGCATTAGCAGGAAGTAAGAGCTGGATCTGAATTTTAAACCTGGGTACCCCATATGAGATGTAGGCATCTTAACTGCTAGGCTAAGCATGCATCTTGGTAGGCCATTTTCTGATTGCCCATTCTCCTAATGTATCTTGAAGGTTTTTCTTGTCATTTTACAAAATTAAATATGTTTATAAAATATTATTAGCATCTGAATTTTGTATGTATAATCATAATATAAATATGATTCTTAATGATTATTTAATATACTTTTAAATTTTAAGAAATTATAACCTTTAGCTTTGTTAAAGACAATAAGCATTATTCTACTGAAAAATTTTTGGAAGTTATTTACATAAAACATTGTCATCTGTAATGATTTCCTTTACTATAATTTTAAATTAGTTTTTCCCTTTTCTATAACTGAAACACAATGCTGTAAGGTAAAGAGGGAAATAGAACGGTGTGATCCAAACACAAATGCAGGCAGCTAAGGCTAGAATATACAGTTAGTGACCCATTGTTCTATTTTATTTTTGGAAACATCAACTTTTATCAAAATAGTACAGAAATAATTAAGATGATATGGTAGTATATATCTTTTTAAAAAATATTTATTTATTTATTTGAAAGTCAGAGTTACACAGAGAGAGGAGAGGCAAAGAGAGAGAGAGAGAGGTCTTCCATCTGCTGGTTCACTCCCCAATTGGCTGCAATGGCCAGAGCTGGGACGATCTGAAGCCAGGAGCCAGGAGCTTCTTCCAGTTCTCCCACATGGGTGCAGGGGCCGAAGGACCTGGGTCATCTTCTACTGCTTTCCCAGGCCATAACAGAGAGCTGGATCAGAAGTGGAGCAGCCAGGACTCGAACCGGTGCCCATATGGGATGCCGGCACTGCAGGCCAGGTGTTAACCCACTATGCCACAGTGCTGACCCATGATATCTTAACACTAATAATAAATCAAATCATAAAGCCTTTGATCCATGTGAACCTGTTTTTTTTTTTTTTTCAAGAAAGAGTCATGAATTTTACTTATGATATAAATATTGCGTAGAGGGTCTCAGAATGCTAAAGCAATTTGAAAGCTGGGCACAATTTTCACATGATGCTAACAATGTATAGAAATCAAGTTCGAGCCGGCGCCACAGCTCACTAGGCTAATCCTCCACCTAGCGGCGCCGGCACACCGGGTTCTAGTCCCGGTCGGGGCGCCGGATTCTGTCCCTGTTGCCCCTCTTCCAGGCCAGCTCTCTGCTGTGGCCAGGGAGTGCAGTGGAGGATGGCCCAAGTGCTTGGGCCCTGCACCCCATGGGAGACCAGGAAAAGCACCTGGCTCCTGGCTCCTGCCATTGGATCGGCACGGTGCGCCGGCCGCAGCGCGCCGGCCGCGGCGGCCATTGGAGGGTGAACCAACGGCAAAGGAAGACCTTTCTCTCTGTCTCTCTCTCTCTCACTGTCCACTCTGTCTGTCAAAAAACAAACAAACAAACAAACAAAAAAAAAAGAAATCAAGTTTGAAAGCCTCACTCTGCACGGCATTTCTCTGATAGCCTGTAGCCTGTTTCCTAGTCTCTCATGAGTGCCTGTCATTCAGCTCCTTCATCCATCATGCTCCCAGTGGTCTGGACCCTGGCCCTTTGCAAAATGCTGGAGCAGATCAAATATCGGGAATTTCACATAGGCTTTCCCTCTAGGAGATTTAGTCCCTAGTGTATTGCGAGGGTTTGGGCATAAGAAAATATGGGGAATAAATATTCCACGGAAAAAGCAATATTGGCAGCAAAGGCCTGTCAAGAGGAGCAGGTGCGAGTTCTTTCTGTAACGTGCACCAAAGAGAGAGTGGGCGCAGATTCACGTCACACAGGGCCTGGAAGGGCAGACGAGGAGTTTAGCAAGCAGCTTCGGGCCTTTGTTCCTTGGCAGGGGTTGCACCAAGGTAGAAAAAAATGAGTAGAATGGAGACAGAGGAGCAAAGGGAAGACTTGGAGCCAGTGAGGGAATCCCAGGGCAGTTACAGAGTAGGGGCAACCATCGCTCATTGACCACCAGGCTTCTGCAGGTAAGAGTGGGTAGGAGGATGCAAAGCGTTTTGTAGCAAGATGCCATCAGTTAGCCTGCCATAATTGTGAAATGCTGGTGTAGTTTGTTAAAAAAAAGTCACCAAATTCATAGGAAGTAAGTTTTCAGCTGTGTCTTACACATTACATTTGTTCTCTAAGGTTTTGAAAAATTAAACTTTTTTTTTAAAATAACAAAATACAGGCAAAAAGACATTTTCTGAAGATGTGATGGAAACCTTGGTGGTGGTTTTAGCACATCTTTTTGGAAAGAGATACCTTCCTCCCTGTGCGAAAAAGTTTAAGAAGGTGTTTTCTCATTCAATGGTAAGAAAATAAAATACTGCAATACTCGTACTTTGATGTAACCTCTTTCTGCTTTAATAATAATGAAGTGCAACAGCATTTTCCCAGTAACAAGATTTTGCCATCATTCACTAGAGTTACTTCTTCATGCTCCAGTTAGTCTTTGGGATGCATGAGTGCAGATTTGTATATGAATGCTTTGTTTTTTACTAATATGCGTTCTCCATGAACTTTTTGAAGATCCCTTGTATGAATAGATGTCAGTTTGTTTTGCAGTCAAACTTACCTTTTAATTACAGTTTCCATGAACTTTCTGAAGTGTCATAGTGTAGTAATTGCAGATGAATGGAACTTATTCCTAACAGAGATGAATAGCCAGCTAGTCATTTAATATTAATATTAATAAAGAAGAAGATAAGAAGATCAATCTAACACCTATCTAGAAATAGTGTTCTGGGAATTCTAATCCTTGCCAAATGGAAAGAAAGGAAAATTGGATGGTTTTCATCCGATGCAAAGGTGGGCGAGGTGAACAGCAAAATACTACAGCGTATGATGGAGTAATGTGCTGGGTTACCCGCCCAGCCCTGCCACTGAACTGATGGCACATTTCTGTACCAGACCTGTTTTCTTATCTGAAAACTGGCAATTGGAATAGCACCCACTTCGAAGAGTTGCCATGAGGATTAGATGAGTGAATACCTGCAAAGTGGGGCCAGCATTGTGGCTCAGCGGGTTAAGCCACCACTTGCAATGCAGGAATCCCCTATCAAATGCTGGCTTGAGTCTCAGCTCCTCTGCTTCTGACCCAGCTTCTTGCTAATGTGCCTAGGAAGGCAGTGGAAGGTGACATAAATACTTGGGTCCCTGCAACCTACATGGGAGAGACCACGATGGAGGTCCTGGCTCCTGGTTTTGCCCTGGCCTAGACCTGGCTGTTGTGGCCATTTGGGGAGTGAACCAGCAGATGGAAGATCTCTGTCTGTCTGTCTCTGTCTCTCTCTCTGTCTCTTCCCCTTTCTCTGTTGCTCTGCCTTTCAAATCAATCAATCAATCTTTAAAAATACATGCAAAATGCTTAAAACAATGTTTGGCATATAAAAACACTCAGTAATGTTGGCTCTTATTTTTGTAATTGTTATTTACAGATAAAATCTCTGGCTATGTAAAAAGCCAAGAAAATCAACAGAAAAATGTTTATAATTTGCCAAAATAATCTATTGAAATGTATAACTTTCCCTATACTAAAGTTACAAAGAAAACAAAATGTAAAATCTCAGCTGTAATTAAAGGTAGAAAGTAATAAAATGCTTGGCTCATCTGAAAATGTGGCAAAGATCTCAATGAACAGTTACACTGATCTCATAGATCCTTTAACAACATGCTTTAAGGCGGGCATTTGACTGAGTGGTTCAGGCTGCCAGTTAAGACGCCCATGTTTCATGTTGGAATATCTGGATCAGTGCCTGGTGACAGCTCCAGCTCTCTGTTAATATGCACTTTGGGAGACGGTAGGTGATACTCGAGTACTTTGGTCCCTGCCACCTATGTGGGAGGCCTGGATCACCTTCCTGCTTCCCAGCCCTGATGGTTATTGGCATTTGGGACACAAACCAGCAGATGGGAGCTCTCTGTCTCTCCATTTCTCTGTCTCTCAAATAAATAAATAAAAATTTAAAACATAACAATTGCAAGAGAAAGTGATTATTAAAAAGGAAAACTTTACATACATTTCAAGACTGTTTTGCACCACAATAAGCTTATCTTTTAATTGCATTTTCCCTGAATTCTTTGAAGTTTCTCATAGTTAAAATTGTATGCACTTTCTAGTAAATGTTCCAAAAAAGGGAGGTTGGGTACCTCTTACCAGCTGTGCATTGGCTAGAACAAATAGGAAATTTCTGCTGGCCACTATCACTTTAAGGGTTGCAGGGCTAGAATCATCTAGAAATCCAGCCTCAGGCTGCTGGAAGCCTTGTTAGAGTCTGGTCATGTCTCTTAGTGTGGGATTCGGATGGAGCTGTCCTGTGCCCAGAGTTCTGCAGCATTGGGAGAGAGGAGCTGGCAGGCTGCAAATATAAAGAAAAGGTAAGGAGGGGTCACTGCTGTGGCATAGTGGGTAAACGCTTCGCCGGCAATGCTGGCGTCCCATGTGTGCACTAGTTTGTGTCCCAGCTGCTCCACTACCAGTCTAGCTCCCTGCTAAAGGTGTTGGGAAAACAGTGGAAGATTGCCCAAGTGCTTTAGGCCCTGCAACCCACATGGAAGACCTGATGAAGCTCCTGGCTCCTGGCTTTCACCTGGCTCAGCCTTGGCCATTGCAGCCATTTAGGGAGTGAACCAGTGGATGGAGAGAATCTCTCTCTCCCTCTGTATTCTGACTTCCAAATAAAGAAATCTTTTTTTTTAAAGGTAAGGAAATGGAAAGGCTAATTACCTCATTGATCTGCTTACATGTGATGAAACAGTATACTGTACCCCAGAGAAACGAACAAGTCTTATATGTTCTTCTAAATTTTTTTTTCTTTAGTATTTGAAGTTCTCAGTAGAAATGCGTGATGACCAAGGATTAGTTTCTTAAAGCTGCTCTAATGAAGTGGTACAAACCAGGTAGCTTACATGGCAGAAATGAATTGTCTCAGCTGGCACCGTAGCTCACTAGGCTAATCCTCCGTCTGCGGTACTGGCACCCCAGGTTCTAGTCCCGGTTGGGGCGCCAGATTCTGTCCCGGTTGCTCCTCTTCCAGTCCAGCTCTCTGCTGTGGCCTGGGAGTGCAGTGGAGGATGGCCCAGGTGCTTGAGCCCTGCACCCGCATGGGAGACCAGGAGAAGCACCTGGCTCCTGCCTTCGGATAGGCGCAGTGTGCTGGTCATAGCAGCCATTTGGTTTCTCTCTGTCTCTCTTTCACTGTCGAACTCTGCCTGTCACAAAAAAAAAAAAAAAAAAAAAAAAAAAGAAAAAGAAATGCATTGTCTCGCAGCCCTGTAGATGCAGAAGCATGGCAGAGGTTTCCTTGCTGAGGGCCTCGAGGGAGACTCTGGTCCAGACCTCTCTTCTAGCTTCTGGTGTTGCTGTTGATTTTTGGTGCTCCTTGACTTGTAGAAGCAGCCTTCGGGTCTCTGCCTTTGTGTACACATGGTGTGTGTGTACCTGTGTGCAGACTTCTGCCCCCCCCTTTAAAGATTTATTTATTTGAAAAGCAGAGAGATCTTCATCCATTGGTTCCCTCCCCAAATGGCCGCAACAGCTGGAGCTTGGCCATTCTGAAGCCAGGAGCTGGGACTGGAACCAGCACTCATGTGGGCTGTCAGCGCTGCAGGTGGCAGCTTCACCTGCTACGCCACAGCACTGGACTCACCCCCTCATTTTTTTTTTTTTTTTTTTTTTTTTGGACAGGCAGAGCTAGACAGAGAGAGAGAGAGAAAGGTCTTCCTTTTTCCGTTTGTTCACTCCCCAAATGGCTGCTACGGCCGGCGTGCTGCGCTGATCTGAATGATCTGAAGCCAGGAGCCAGGTGCTTCCTCCTGGTCTCCCACGCGGGTGCAGGGCCCAAGCACTTGGGCCATCTTCCACTGCCCTCCCGGGCCACAGCAGAGAGCTGGACTGGAAGAGGAGCAACCGGGACAGAATCTGGTGCCCCAACCGGTTCTAGAACCCCGTGTGCTGGCGCCGCAGATGGAGGATTAGCCTAGTGAGCCACGGCGCTGGCTCACCCCCTCCTTTAAAAAAAATTATTTACTTATTTGAAAGGCAGAGTTACACACACACATACACACACACACACAAACCAACCAACATTTGCTGCTTGGCTTCCCAAATAGCTGCAGCAGCTAGGGCTGCCCCAGGCAAAAGCCAGGAGCCTGGAACTCTATCCAGATCTTGCAGGTGGGTACAGGGGTCCAAGGGACATCTTCCACTGCCTTCCCTGGCACATTAACAGGGGCCTGGATTGGAAGTGGAGCAGCTGGGACATGAGCTGGTGCCCATATGGGATGCCAGCATTGCAGGTGGTGGCTTTATCTGCTTGCAATGCTGACTGCTAAAATTCTTCTTTTTAAATGAAGTCCATGACATGGGAAAATGCACCAAATACAATGCTGAGTATGAACATTCTGTTGTGAAGCTGCATACTGCACCCTAGTTAGAAGGTGATTCTAATCACCAAAATCTTTATAACCTATATCCCTGAATGGTAGGATTACACATTAGTTTTTACTTCAGTTTATGTATTTGTGTGTCCATGAGTAAAAGAGTTTATATTTAGAAGTACATTTCCATCTATATTTTTAAAATATACATTTTAAATATGCATTTATTTCATCTACTTGCAAAGCAGAGAGCAAGTGGAGGGGGGGAAAGAGAGCACGCACACACGAATGAAAATTCTTCCATTTGCTGGTTCATTCTCCAAATGCCCATAGCAATAGGGGCTGGACCAGGAGCCTCAATCCCAGTCTCTCACATAGCTGGCAGAGGTCCAAGTACTTGTGCCATCATCGGCTGCCTCCCAGGATGCACTGGCAGGCAGCTGATATGGGATGAGGATATCCCAGGCAGCAGCTTAATCGCTGTCCCTAAGAAGATTTTGGCCCCGTGTCTCCCAGACCTTGGCCATGCTCTGCTCCTGGTTTGAGCGGTCAGGCCCATCTGACTCCTTGTTCACAGGTGTTCCTCCGCCATCTTCCAGAGGACTTCGCTGCTGCAGTGAAGGAGTACAATGCCAGGATTCGGAAGAGCTTTGGTTCCTTCCTCCTGACCGTTTCTAAGCTGGCTGATGGGAGCCAGGAATACCGACTCCCTCTTTCAGAAATAGGTAAGAGGAACAGAAGGCCCATAAAGTAAAACATATCTAACTATGCTGAGATAAAACGGAAGTTTGGAAGATAAAGACATAACTATTGCAAGAGAATATACAAAAAAAAAAAACCCTAAAAGTCCTTCAGTTTATGCTGTGGAAATTTTACCCTGATAAAAATCTTTTATTGTCTGGAATTAGGTAAGTCACTGTAGATTTCATTTAACACTAAATGCTTAAAATAGTTCTATTTTCTTCTGGCACAATCATGAAGAAGCACCCCCTTGCCTAGTCTGAATTTATTATAGAATATTTCTTTACCTATTGATATTATTTGTCCTTTAGTGGATATTGACACTCTCCACTTAGTTCAACTTTTCAATGTGAATAGCTTTGAAACTATGAGAAGAGGCATGTTGGCATATTTCTTTAGGACCATCAGTGCGTTGTGACTCCCTCAGTACAAAGTGGGCGGTGAGGGAGATAAGGCATCGCCCATCTGATTCAGGAAGGGAGAAAACTGCACGAGAAAGAAAATGACAAAAATATAAAGAAAAATAATGAATCTATGACAAATAAAGGTTCTGGAAGCAGGTCATGCACTCAGTGTCCTTAGCAGGGAGACAGAGAGAGCTAAGAAGATGTGGGAATGTGGCAGGATTCTGTTTTCATCCACTTCCTGTAGAAACAAGGAGAAAACCGTGGTTCTGGTGGGCTGCTTTGACTTCTTCCTATTTCAGGATCCATGATTATATTGGAATATGGAAGGCGTGTGAGGGACAAGGCAAAATGTTGGCCTTTTCAGCCAGGGAGTGAGAAGTTCACCAGTCATGGGTCAGTTTCGTGGGAAAGAACCCAGTGTCTCCGAGCCATGGCTGTCATCCAGAATTGGAGGGGTGTGGTGCAGTGGGGCGGTGATCTCCTTTTCCTCTGGGGTGACTTCTGGGGTTGGTAGGGTGAGACCCTTCCCCGCCTCCATGGATGTCCGGATCCTCATCTGAGGAGCCTGAATGTTTTGTGGCAAAGGGAGGATGAAGCCTGCAGATCGAATCACATCTTCTGATCTGCTGCTCTTGGCTTGGGGAGACACGCAGACTGTCTGGGTGGACCTGATCAAGTTGAAGAGGGAGGCAGGAGCATCAGAGTGAGAGGACATGGCATGGGAAGAGTTAACCGACCAGCTGGCTCTGAAGGTGGGAGGAACCAGAGAGGCAGCTTCTAGGAGCCCTCCCAGGACGCCCAAAAAGAACAAGCAGAGAGCCCTGCTTATGACTTGTTTTAGCCCAATGACACCAATTTCCACCTTCTGACAGATTTGGCTTACGTTACGCCACAAAGGTGGTGTCCGTTTCTTACATCAGCATTAGGAAACTAATAGAACTTCCAAGAAGAGCCATGTGAACAAGAGATGACAAGTAACAGGCAGCATGTTTTTGCTGTTGTTGAGGTGAAATTCATGTGGCATACATTAACTTCTTTAAGATGTATAAGCCAGAGGCATTTGATACAGTCAGATTGTGCAACCCCTCCCTCAGGTTGCTGTGTGTGGCTACGGGATTGGCTTGGTCCAGCTTCTTGCCCCATCACAGGAAGGAATTCAAGGAAGAGACGTAGGTAGAGGCTAACAGACAAGCAAGATTTATTTACGTGAGAAGTGAAAGTATACAGGAAGGAGTGCAGGCAAAGCCAGGAGAGAGAGTTGCAATCAACATGGCTTGGGGGCTGTCTTTTTATACCATTTGGAGGCATAGGGGCTGTGGGCCTTAATCAGACATTCAAATTCGTGGAGTTTGGAGTTTGGAGTGCCACCTGCTTCCTTGCCCTTTGCAATCAGAAGTGTCATGCTGTCAGGTGTGTGATGGGAACAGGAGTGTCACCCATGGTAACATTAGTGACCCTGTGTTGAGCTGAAGATCATCATGGGGGCACAGCCTGCAGCCATATTGAGTATTTCTAGCTGGCACTGGTTCTAAGTTGCAGCACTGCAGAACCTGCAGTCCTCCGCTACACAGAAGGGGTGGGGGGCTGTGCATGGAAAGGGGATTTGAGTGGTGTGGGGGCAGGCAGTTTGGTAAGTGTGGGCCAGATCGTCACAAGGGCTGGAGCCGGCAGTTCCTCTCTGCTCTTGCTATCTCCCTGCCTCCGTCAAGATGATCATAAAGGTTAAATGTCAAAGGATTATTCTTTATAGGAAAAATAAATCCAAGTTATACATTTAATTGTGGAGGCTTAAGGGTCAGGCATTAAACCTTGGTGTTCATAGTCCCCTCCTAAAGTTGGAATCAAATGAGCAATTAATGTGGGAGTCCTAGGGATGAGACTGAGTAAGAGAACATGGTTTTCACGTTCAGTGAAATAAAGCAAAGCCCTGAGTAGAACACTTGCCCGTCCCCCAGGTAGAACTACAGTGCCTGTCTCTTTTAGATGAACAGAGAAGACAGTAGAATCTATCTCCCTAGTGGTCACATGGACCTGAAATACAGAAAGATCAAAGAAAGGCACAGACTGATGGGGGACGACACAGAGAAGTGTGTGTTAAAAAAGTAAAGAAAAAAGAGACAAAAGCGATGTAGAGACAATCGGAGAGAGAGAGATGAGAAACAAACACAGGAAGATTGTCAGACAGATGGAAATGGAGATGTAAATAGATAAATGCATGGATAGAACGACAGAAGGAGAGAGACAGGAACACAAAGTACAGAGAAAGCTGTGAGGGAAAGAGGAACAGAGGATGGGGTGGGCTTTCGGTGCAGCCGTAAAGTCACTGTTGGGACACCTGATCCCACATCTGAGTGCCTGGTTCAAGTCCCAGCTACTCCACTTCCCATCCAGCTTCCTGCTAATGCACAAGCTGGGAGGCAACAGATGATGGCTCAAGCACTTGGGTCCCCACCACCCACGAGGGAGACCTGATGCAGCTCCAGGCTCCTGGCTTTGGCCCCGTGCCAACTGTTACAGGCCTTTGGGGTGTGACTCAGTAGATGGAAGATTCATGTCTGTCTCTCCACCTTTCAAATAAAATAAAAAGAAAGCTTTTAAAAAGAGGAAGAAATGGGGCAAGGAGGAGCAGAAAGACAGAGAGGAAACAGAAGAGAGCGAATCATTCACAGAGGGAGAGCAGGACACATGGGATCCAAGAAATCAGCACACTAGAAGCACGGAAGGAAGACATGGGGACAGTGGAGAGAGAGAGAGAATGATTTGATTGGACGTTGAGTATCTCCCTCTACCAGACCCACTGTTCAGGCCTGCAGTGAGATGGGTGAGCTGCACAGGGACCGGAAGTGTCCCTCCCCACTTTTGCCTCCTGGTGAGGGAAGTGGGACTTCCTTGCCATCCGCGGGTGTATGCACAGTAGAGTTAACACAGGAGAGTAGGCGGTGAAGCCAGCTTTAACTCCATTACGCGAAACTTGGCAGCTGTAACACTCCCCTGCGTCTTGAGAGGAATCTGAATATGAAGCCGTTGTAGAGGGCAGGTAGGTGACCCCGGTTTTTGAGCTCAGGTCCTTGGATCCAATAGGGCTCAATGAAGCATCTGCATCCCCCTTAGTAAACAGTGTCCACATAAGTTCGCAGTAGGTGGACGCACGGAGCCGCCACATGGGACCACCGAGTGGTAGAGCCACTAGCAGATGCTAGAATGAGTTTGGTTTAGGGAGAAGAAAGTCTTCACAGTGGTGATCCAGCAATACAATCCCCAGAGTGTTTGCTTAAAACAAACCTCCAATAAATTTTCTGGTAATAATGGTATAAATGAATTTGATTAGTTTCAAATGGTTTATGTTTCATAGGAGAATGGTTTTCCATTTGCTTCTTCCTAGACTTTTCAGGTAAAGAGCGTGAAGACTCTGAGCTGGTGTCTCATCTGATGCCCGGGACTGAGAGCAGATCTGCTGTCTCCCCATTTGCTTGCCTGTCCAATATCACGGATCAGGATTTGTTTGGTGTTCACATGACAAATGACGTAAGTCCGTTTTGTTGTGACAATTTCTTTCATTCTGTTTATTCATCGATGAGAAATAGCCTTTATCTGATTAGAACACTAGGTCAGTGTCTCATGTCTGAATAGTGATGCTTCCCAGTGGCGTGGGAAAATACTTTTAAAATAAAAAATACCAGGAAAACAGGGAGGTTTCTCAGTCACCATGGCATTAGTCAGCTTTTCGATACTACAGTGAAATACCAGAGGCAAGGAAAAAAGTTTGTTTAGCTCACAGGTTTGGAGGTTCAAGTCTGGGGACCTGGTGCAGACCCTGGTGAGGCTCTGTATTGTGTGTGCAGGAAAGATCATGTGGTGAGCTAGGAAGCAGAGAGCCTGGGCCCGAGCTCAGGTGTTTGGAACAACCCGCATCACCTGAAGGCCTTCCACTCAGCCCCACCTCCTAAAGGTTTCCCCTCCTCCTAATGCCACCACCTTAGGGAACAGGCTTCTACCATGGGGGCCTTTTGGGGACATGCGACATCCAAAGCCATATCCGGACCACAGCAGCTGTATGCACTGCCTCTCATAAGCCCCTGCTACTCCAGGTGTGAGCCAAGGAGACCTGGCCGTCCACGTCACCTGCCAGCAGTGCAGTCTCGGGAGCGTCTCTGGGTGTTACGTCCAGAGTGCACACTGGAGTTAGATCCTGCTGTCAGTCATTCGAGGGCAATGTGTTTTGTTTCTGTTTTTATTTTTATTTTTTATGTCTGAACGCATAGAGTGGTGTGTGGTGCAGCATGGAGATGTGAATGATTCAGTATGAGCCAAAGCGGTCACTGTGGCATGGTCAGACTTCCAGTCCTGACTGTCCCCGGACAGTTTATTCAGGTAGCAAGTTGACAGAAAATGAGCCCTGATGACTGGGACTGTGTCACTTGCCACGATCTGGTCATTGTGTCCTGGAAAGCAGTATAAGAACAGATATTGTGGAGTGTGGGGAAGAACAACACTCTCACTGTGTGTTGTTGCCAAGATAAAGCTTGGACATTCAGAAATATTTTCTTCAGGGAGAATTAATCTAAGAAATATTTGTAATATGTTTCTGAAGTTGTAAAAGTGGCCGTGTAAATTCTTTTACTTATTGAAAGGCAAAGTTACAGAAAGAGAGAAATAGAGAAATATATAGAGAGAAAATCTCCCATCTGCTGATTACTCCCCAAGTGGCCGCAATGGCTGGGGCTGGGCCAGGCCAAAGCCAGGAGCCCAGAACCTTCCCCAGGTCTCCCACATGTGTGCAGGGGCTCAAGTACTTGGGCCATCCTCCACCACCTTCCCAGGCGCTCTAGCAGGGAGCTGGTTTGGAAGCAGAGCAGCTGGACCGCGAACAGGTGCCCATATTGGATGCAGGCACTGAAGGCAGTGGCCCAACCTGGTACACCACAACAAAGGCCTGACCATGTAAAATTAATTCTAAATAAATTGGAGCCATCATTTCCATGCTTTTAAAAACAGTTTTGATATTTTATCTGGTCAGTCATATTATAGTTTTGGGAAATTTGGTACACTGTTTACTGTCTGATACTAGTACTAAACATGTATTGAGTTATTGTTTTATTTTAAATGATTTATTTATTTATCTGTGAGGCAGAGTGACAGTGGGGTGGGGTGAGAGATGCTGGCTCATTCTCCAAAAGGCCATAGAAGCTGGGGATGGGCCAGTCAATAGCCAGGAGCCAGGAGCTTCTTCTGGGTCTCCTATGTGGGTGCAGGGGCCCAAGCTCCTGGGCCATCCTCCACTGCTTTCCCAGGCACATCAGCAGGGATCTGGATGGGAAGCAGAGCAGGTGGTCTAGAAAAAGCACTTCGATGTGGTGAGCCTTTATTGCAGGTGAGACTTAACCTGCTGTACAACGCTGCCTCCTGGGTTACTGCTTTAACTAGCTACCGACAATGAACCATGGTGACCAGATTTTATAATAAAGGTCACTTTAAGAGAAAAATGTGAGTAACCTGAGGCCTCTGTGTACCCCCAGGCTATCTTACGAACACTCAGTGTGGATGTCAGCAATGTTCCTCTCCTTTGCTTGAACAAACGGGATCAAAGTGGCCGGAAGTATTTCTTGAACGCCTATGCACTGGACTTCTACAAGCATGGTTCCCTGTTCTCACTGGCTTCAGACAACTGGTATGACTGCTCCTACTTTAACATGCTCCAGATACATCTGTGTGTTTGTGTAATGGAGGTTAAGGGGGCTGATGCATTGCTATGGTTTCTGTGGCATTAATTTTAAGATGCAGTGTTTAAGAAGGATAATTAAGAGGCAGTTTGTTTTGAACAATTACAAGGTTTTTTTTTCCTAGAGATGAAGTCTACATGACATAAAATTAACCATTTTTAAGTGAGTAGTACAGTGGCTTTAGGTATATTTGCAGCATTGTGCATGCACTGCTGCTATCTAGTGACAAAACATGCTCATACCCCCAGGGAAAGTCCCTGACCTTCAAGGAATAGTTCCTGTCCTCTCTCTGACACTGCCAGTCTGCCCTCTGGCTCCGTGGGTTTGCCTTGGTCTGGGTGTTTACTATGAAGGGAATCACGTGGCTGTGTAACCTTGCGTGTCTGGCTTCTTTCACTGTAATACTCCAGTGTCCATGCTGGTGCAGGTTTCAGTACTTTGGTCCGTTGTAGGAGGGGTCTTCCAAATGTTCTTGGCAGATGCATATTATGAAAAGAATGCCTGCCTGGATTTCAAAATATTTTTTTGAATGAAAGTAAACGTTTTGTTTTATTTCATTTTTTCCCCAAACACTTTATATTTGTCTTTTATTTGAGAGGCAGAGAGAAGAGACAGAGAGGGATCTTTCATTCACTGATTTACTCCTCAAATGCCAAATATGGCCGTGGCTGGGATCTTAGTCCAGGTCTCTCATGTGGGTGACAGGGACCCAATAACTTGAGCCATTACTGGTGCCTCCCAGGGTACACGTTAGCAGGCAACAGGAATCAGGAATCAGCCAGAACTCAAACCCAGGCACTCTGAGATGGGATAAGACCATCCCAAGCAGCATTTTCACTGCTGCGCCAAATGCGTATCACTGTGTTTTATTTTTGCAGACTTCTTGAAGTGTCCTCGTGTGTACATACACAGTTCTTTTATGTAGTTGAACATTTGGGTTGTTTCCACCTTTGGCAGTTGTGAGCACTGGTGCTATGAACATGCATGCACACGCGTTGCTTTGCATTCCTGTTCTCAATTCTTTTGGATCTGTATGTAGGGATAGAATTGCTGAGTCATGTTAACTCAATGTGTACCATTTTGAGAGACTGAAAATTGTTTTCCACAAAAGTAAACCAGGTTCCATGAAAGTAAACATTGCCCCAGCAATGTACAAGGATTTAAATTTCTCCACCATCTACCATGCTTGTTATTTCATTTTTCTCCTTTATTATAACCATGGTGGTAGGTATCAAGGGGTATCTCATGGTTCTGATCTAAATTTTTCTAAATACTAACAATGCTGAGCATGTGTTCATACACTTGCATGTCATTTGCACCATGGTGTTAAAATTATCCCCTGTGTTAACCTTCTCCAGAGAAAGAGTATCTGTCTAGCAAGTCCCTTTGTATCTATCATCCATCTATCATTTAATTTTTTATTTAAGGAGTTGGCTCAAATGATTATGGAGACTACGAAGACCCAGCCAGAGACCCAGGGAAGTCAGTGCTGTAAATTCTAGCTTGAGTCCCAAAGCCTGAGAACCATGAACTCCTGATAGTTCAGGTTCGAGTTCAAGAGTGGATCAGCATCTCGGGCAGTCAGGCCGAGAGAGAACGCATTCTGCCTTCCTCTGCCTTTTGTCTGTTGAGACGTTGTCATGGAGTATTGAAAACTGATGAGGAATTGCTGGAAGAAAGTTTATTTGAGAATAAAGAGTATACTAAAGCAGTGTGTGTTGGGGGAATTAAAAAACTACGACGACCATGGTGACAAGGTCAACAACATGTACATGCCTAAGGCAGAAGGTTCGCTCAGGGAAAGCGTGAGATGAGCCTACGCTTTCACCTCTCGCAGGTCTCTAGGAACAGTGCAAGAAGGGAGTGAATTTAAGACAAAGATCAAAAACGGAACCAGACAGACGGCAGCAGGTTGTTAGATTGCCTTGCCGTGTTCTCAAGGAGTGCCTGCTGCTTCTCTCTCTCTGAGTGCCGACGCAGGCTCCGCAAGGGCAAGTGCCTCACCCCTCCTTCAGGCGGCCCCTGGACAGCTCAGAACTGACAGGGCGGCTCCGCTCCCCCTGCAACCAGGGAACAAGGGCCCCCACAGCGAGCATGGGCTGCTGTCTTCAACAGTGCCCCTGAGCTCAAGGGGAGGATGGAGGAGGGGGAGTAAAGATGTCACAGTTTTCCCGCCTTTTTCTTGATTCAGAGTTAAGCCTTTGTTTCCCAGAGTCTGATAAAGCTGACTGATAGTTTTTGCCTGCTCTCTATTTTATGCTTTTACTAGGGGATGTGTCCTTACAGCAGCCCACTCTGTCTCTCACTGACTCTCCCGTACTGGACACTGTAATATTAATTCTGGTAATATCAATGCCCTAATATACAAGAGCATGGAAAGTTGTGTCTTTTTTTTAGCCAAATGATGAGCCTGTTTACCAGGCTACCTGGAGCTGAACGCAGAAGCAAAGCATTGGCCCTGCCGAGGGCAAGCCAGAGACTGCGCGCTCCCAGAGCTGCGTTGACAGTGTCTCTGGACAGGCCGACAGTGCAGCATCCATGGATTACTCCCCCTGCTTCGGGGGGCACACCAGAACCCACTTCATTCCCTCACGTGTCATTTTACTCTTGTTTATCTGTAGGTTGAACATGGGCGATGCTTTTCACTTAATCAGAGACTTCACACTGACCATTCAGTCCATCAGGTACCGTACACTTCTCAGTGTTGGAAGCCCATAGAACCAGTTAAACATCTCTAGGCACACATCACAGTGCTAATAAACACTGTATGTTTTTATACAGAATTTCACTAAGTGAGCTGTGCGGTGATGAGGATGACAATGTTGTGTTAGCATTTCAACAACTGAGTGATGCCTTCAGTAAGAAACTTTGGAAACGAAGATGACGCTGTCTGTGTTAAACCAGGTCCTAGGAACTTCCTGGAAGATGAAGACGGCTAAGAGCTCCCTGCACCTTAGCGCTTCAGGAAAGAGGCTTGCAAATGGCTGTGCAGGAACCACCCTTTCCCATAAGACTCTGATAAGACACCCAGCATTCCCTCGCTTCCCTGTGCCAATGCTTGATTCTCCCTCCAAATTCCCATTCATGTCTCCCAAAAAAGCCAGCTGATGTGTTTTCTTCCCTAAGCAATCTGGACATAATAGCAGTTACCTTGACCTGCTCCTGCTTGACCTTGACCTGCTCCAACTTTACTCAGGATTCTTCCCTCCTCACAGGGGTCCTGAACCGTGGCCCACCCTCAGACTAAGCCCCGCTGAGTGGCCTCTCCTTAAACAGCTCCCCAGTGACATCTCAGATGATTGTCCCCGAGCGGCTGTGCTTGCACACATCAGCTGTGACTGGCAGTGTCAGCCCAGGATGTTCCCCGAGCCACTGTTCACCTCACTCTCCCACAGCTGATTCTAGAAGTAAAATACGTTGCCTAGCTAAAGTATAGGTTGCGTAATTATTGAAAGACATCATAGCAAAGAAACCCTTTTTTTAAATACCTGAATTCTCAACAGAATCTAACATTTTCCTTCTATGAGCATTTTAGCATGCAAAAGTAATATATGCTAAATAGCTCAAACAGTTGCTATTTTCAAATTATTTTAATTGTACTTACTTGTGGGCTGCAGTGTGATAATTTGATAGATGTATGCAATGACTATTTTGGCCTTGAAATGTTCAGATCATGAGAATTTAAAACTAGAAGTCAAGCTCGATTTAAAATTATGTGATAACAGCCCTTAGAAGGGAGTTGGAATCTTGACATTGACTTCAGAAGTCTAATTATTGCTGAGAGTTCATGTTGTACCCAAGTCCTGTAATGTGAGTGCTCCATTTCATTCCTCCTATCAGACACTTAGGCTCTGGGTACGTTCCCCCATCCCCCCCGAGACCAGCAGGAGCAAGCACACAGGGACTAGACCATATGCTGTTGAAAAAGTCCCATGTGGGATAAGCACAGTAGAACCCTCACCAGGCCATCCGGCTGGATCGCCTTGCTCAGCCTCACCCACCACCGCTCCCGACCACCCTGGTGTGTTGTCTGCTCTGGCTGAGCCCGGGAGTCTTCTGAGCTAAACTCACCTGTCCCTGCCTCTGCTTTCCTTCGTGGCTGGATTGTGGCATCAGTTTGTGTTCTCTCCCAAATCTGAGCTGAGTGTGTTGCTGACCTGCTGAATTGTGGGAGACAGAGGGAATCGGGCTTTACTGATGGCACAAAGCATTTGAGAGTCTTTGATGCCGATCTGAAGAAGTGAAGACAAAAACGTGGAGCGATGGATTTCCTCACATTGCTTGGGCAACTGATTGGCATTACGCTTGGTTGTTAAGATGCCTGGCGTTGTGGCATAGCAGGTAAAGCTGCTGCCTGCAGTGCCAGCACCCCATATGGATGCTGGTTCAAGTCCTGGCTGTTCCACTTCCAATCCAGCTCTCTGCTATGGCCTGGGAAAGCCGTAGAAGATAGCTCAGGTCCTTGGATGCCTGTACCTGCGTGGGAAACCTGGAAGAAAATCCTGGCTCCTGGCTTCGGATCAGCACAGCTCTGGCCATTGTGGCCAATTGGGGAGTGAACCAGCAGATGGAAGACCTCTCTCTCTCTCTTTGCCTCTCCTCTCTCTGTGTAACTCTGACTTCCAAATAAATAAATACATCTTTAAAAAAAAGCCTTTGTCCCACCTAGTAGTGCTTTTGTTCAGTGCCTGGCTCTGGCTCCTGATTCCAGCTTCCTGCTAATGTGGACCCCTGGTGGTGGGGGTGTGGGTGGTTGGTGATTGCTTAGGTAGTTAGATCTCTGCCATTCACATGGAGAACCAACTTTGGTTCCTGTCTCTTGGTTTTTGTCACAGATGGGAGGTCTCAGCCTGTCAGTTTCTCTGCTTCTCAAAATAAAAATTAGCAGGAGATAAGTTGCCTTTAACAGAGTGTTGTCAAATATGCATATCTTATTAGGACATCCAAGTCTCTTGTGAACTTGATATGCATATGTCTGGCTGCATTTTGCTGCTTTATATGCATTTTATTTTATTTATGTATTTTTTTATTTAGTAAATATAAATTTCCAAAGTACAGTTTATGGATTGCATTGGCTCCCCCCCATAATTTCCCTCCCACTCGCACCCCTCCCATCTTCTGCTCCCTCTCCCATTCCATTCCCATCAAGATTCATTTTCAATTATCTTTATATACAGAAGATCAATTCAGTATATATTAAGTAAAGATTTCATCAGTTTGCACCCACACAGAAACACAAAGTGTAAAAATACTATTTCAGTACTAGTTATAGCATTACTTCACATTGGACAACACATTAAGGACAGATCCCACATGAGAATTAAGTACACAGTGACTCCTGTTGTTGACTTAAAAATTTGACACTCTTGTTTATGGCATCAGTAATCTCCCTAGGCCCTAGTCATGAGTTGTCAAGGCTATGGAAGCCTTTTGGGTTCGCCGACTTTGATCTTATTCTGACAGGGTCATAGTCAAAGTGGAAGTTCTCTCCTCCCTTCAGAGAAAGGTACCTCCTTCTTTGATGGCCCTGTTCTTTCCACTGGGATCTCACTCGCAGATCTCACTTGCAAGAGATCTTTCATTTAGTGTTTTTTTTTTTTTTTTTTTTTTTTTTTTTTTTTTTGCCAGAGTGTCTTGGCTTTCCATGCCTAAAATACTCTCATGGGCTCTTCAGCCAGATCTGAATGTCTTAAGGGATGATTCTGAGGCCAGAGTGCTATTTAGGACATCTGCCATTCTATGAGTCTGCTGTGTATCCCGCTTCCCATGTTGGATCGTTCTCTCCCTTTTTGATTCTATCAGCTAGTATTAGCAGACACTAGTCTTGTTTGTGTGATCCCTTTGACTCTAAGTCCTATCAGTGTGATCAATTGTGAACTGAAATTGATCACTTGGACTAGTGAGATGGCATTGGTACATGCCACCTTGATGGGATTGTATTGGAATCCCCTGGCACATTTCTAACTCCACCATTTGGGGCAAGTCCGATTGAGCATGTCCCAAATTGTACGTATCCTCCCTCTCTTATTGCCACTCTTATATTTAACAGGGATCACTTTTCAGTTAAATTTAAATACCTAAGAATAATTGTGTGTTAATTACAGAGTTCAAACAATAGTACTAGAACAAAAAAATACTAAAATGGTTATGGGACATGTACTCTATAGAATACTATACAGCAGTCAAAAACAATGAAACCCGGTCATTTGCAACAAGATAGAGGAATCTGGAAAACATTATGCTGAGTGAATTAAGCCAGTCCCAAAGGGACAAATATCATATGTTCTCCCTGATTGGCGACAACTAACTGAGCATTTTATTTTAAAGACTGCCATAGGAGTTCACTTGAACTTTATTGTATTTTTACAGAAGTTTGAAAATTCCTCTAAATAGGATGATCACACAATGCATTTTCCTTGCTGTCCCAAAATACACTAAGGAAAGTCTTGAGTAGATTCCCTGTCGGGTACAGATAATTCTCATTTAAATAAAACCTATTCTGGGGCCGGCACAGTGGATTAAGCTGCCACCTGTGACATTAGTATCCCATAAGAACACCCAGCTGCTCTACCTCTGATCCAGTTCCCTGCCAGTGTACCTGGGAAAGCAGACAAAGATGGTTCAAGTGCTTGGGTCCTTGTACCCACATGGAGGACTTGGATGGAGTTCTAGGTTCCTGGCTGCTTGTGGCCATTTGGGTAGTGAACCACAGATGGAGGATCTCTCTCTTTCATTCTCTATCTCTCCCTCTGTGTTAACTCTGCCTTTCAAATGATTAAGTCTTGAAGAAAAACCAAAACACCGTATTCCATGGCAATATTGTTATTATTCCATCATATACAAATTAATTCTTTGATGATCAAATAACAGGTGCAAATCCTTGATCATAGATTTTCATTCATAGATTTTGGAATAATTTTACAGACAGAAGAGAAAATTTGATCTTGTAGTTTGGTGGTGGTGTGAGTGACAACGCATGTGTCACACTCTGTGCTCTGATGTGTCTGTGAAGAGTGCCCGGCGCTCCCCATCCTCCCCTCTGTGTCAGCAGTCCTCCATGTCACCAGCACAGATGGCCAGCAGTGCCTTCTTATAGTGCCCTGAAGCAAAGTGCTGAAAAGGAAAGAAAAAAAAATACAACGTATATGAAATAAAATTGTCGGAGAAACACAGTGTTTCTGAAGTGCAAAATTAGCCTTCCCAAAATTATTCACTTTTTTTTAATCTAAAGATTTAATGTTTCTGAGAATGGTTCCCAGTGAAACCACTGAAACATAATGCTGTGGGGATAGTCAGCAGTGTGTGGGTGAAAGCGCGTTGATTGACGTCTGCTTAGCACAACAGTGACTTGCAGTAGAATTCAATCTCCTCAGCTGTAGAAAGAGCTGTCTTACATTATTATTGGTATAAATCAGGGCGGAGCCTGGGGAAAAATTGTTGCTGCATCTCCAAAGATTTAAAAATGCTCATATTCATGAATGCAGTAATCCTATCTCAGGAAATAGATTTGAAATTATTAGTTATGCTGTGTATAATAGTGAAAAACTGAAAAGCGGTGTAAAATCATGTGAGGTAGCTTAAGTATGTTACAGTTTATAGAGTGGGATACCATGATTCAGTAGAAGGATTCCTTTTATTAATGAGACATATCAGTAGTTATTTATTTTTAAAAGACAACCCAAAGCAGCCATCTATTTGGGTTGCTATAACAAAATACCATCAAGCTGGAATGTTATAAATGACAAGAACTTATTTCTCTTGGATCTGGGTGCTGGAATGGCCAAGATCAAGTTGCTGGCAGATCCGGTGTCTACCCAGGGTCCGTGCTCATATGGACAGCCGCCTTCTCACTCTAACCTCATGTGGTGAACCCCATTCTATGAAGACATTAATCCCATACAGAGGATTAGGAGACTAGGATTTCCCCATCTGAATTTTGTGGGGTCCTCCAACATTCAGACCATAGCAGCACCTACAACAAAATTTTATTCTGCGGTGGAGAATTAGGGAAGTTTTTATTTTTACTTTTTTGCTCTTCTGTAGTTTCTAAATTTCCCCAAACAATGATAGTAATAAATAAAATATGATAAAAATTTATCTTTGTTAAAAAATCAGCTATCGTATTAATGTTCTCTTGCACAATGTTGTCATGTAATTCTCATTCACGGCTTTGAATGCATCCTGAAGTTGCTCTAATTATGTGAACTCTTAGCAGACTTTGAGGTGGCTGAGATTCATTATGCTAAGCAGCTAAGACCTAGCCATTCATGTGGAGAAGGAGTTATGACCTGCATTGCTCCATGGGAAATATTTAGTGTCCCAAACGAGTTGAAGGTTTCGGAGGTTTTAGAGGTGGATGTAAGGAGAGCTTTAGCAAAGATAAAGGAATTGGATTCCCTTAACTGCTCCACCTGGGCTGCAAAGGGCCTGCAAAGTCTTCTGGATTTATGATCTCTGGGTCTTTGGGTTGTTGAATTGCTTCTGGATCACTCTTCCAATAAATTAAAGAGCTGTTTCCAGAAGTTGAAAATTTCCATTGAAAACACATGAACAAGGATACAGCCCTTAGCTCTGTGCAGATGCAAACTATGACATGTTCTCAGTGCCCCATTGCCAGCATCTTTAGAATTAGTTTGAACAAGAGGCCAAGGAGTGTTTATTTTTCACTGGGTCCTAAAAATTACATAGCTGATCTTATGTATTCTGATAGCTTTTATCAAAACCCACAGTAGAGGTTAGAGGTATCAGGATGAAGAGCTGACTTGTTTCCTTCTGATGTGTAGAGTGTTCTACAACCAGTAGTGCCAAACTTCACAGTGGCCGGTTGACAGCGTCTGGCTGGCTGCTTGCTTTCCATGGCTTGTGAGAGCCCAGCTGGACTGGTTTTAGAATCTCTTCACCATTAATATGATCTTGCTGCAAAAACGTGTTTTTCCTCATCCTGATCACACTTCAGAATTTAGCTCATAAGGTGCAATTCTAGGGCATGGATGTTTTATTTGGTTACATCTGTGATTTACCTTAGACTAAGAGGAGTCAGCTCTGTCAATTCAGGTGAAGGGGTTGTCTGCGGCTGCAAACTGTTGTACTCAAAGGCAACAGTAGTAGTTGCTCGAGTAGTAACCCAGACTGCCCCTATTAGGACTCTACCAAGAAAGCATTCAAATCAAAGCGTTTAGCACAGTCACAGTTTCAGAAACGATGAGAAGGGGGTCACGTTGCTCACACGCAGTAGACTTACTCTGATATCATGAAACAGGGATTTCCCATATCTCTCTTTGTACCGTGTTCTTATGGTCATCAAGTCTATTTCACTTCTAGCAATGAGGATCCGGATCACGGTTTTATTATGGAAACCAAAGTCCTAAAAGATACAGAAGGGGAGGGAGGTGGGTTGAGGAAATAGTACTTGAGCATCAAGAGAGATTGAGCCCTTGGCTGGAGCGACTGCTGTTCTCCTAGTCCTCAAATGCAGGCACTGCTGTCCCATCCCATGGTGCTCAGCCTGACCCCGAGAGCTGCCTCTGTGACTTCTGCTCACTTCAAGCGCACTTAGGGTGAGTTATTCTGTTCCACCTGACGTCTCGCCTGCCCTGGGTCATGGCCTTGACTCTGACCCCTGTCCTTTCTTCCTGACTCTGTAATAGTTTCTCCCTTTTCCATCCTGGCCAACCTTCATATTGTCTCTGTCACATTTCATGCTGTAAATGGCAAATCTCATTATGTGTTCTTTCTAGATAAATATCCTGGGGAGGAGAGATTCCAACCTTTATTAGTAGATCATGGATATAAGACATTACATTGTCATTACATTGTCATTCTGTAATCTGGTGATTGTTGAAAAGTTGTAAAAATAAGAGCCCCAGGTGCTTGAAGTACTTTCTGATTTAAATACCCCAGAATACAAGATCAATGGCCATGTACTTCTCGCAGA